ATCGAAGGACTGTAAAATAACTAGAGTATCACAGATGGAGTCTAAAACTAGCATGAACATGTAAAACTATTTTTATTTACGAAGACAGTACAATATAAAAACGGGCTATAGATCGCCAACAACTGAAGGTAGATCACCATACTAGGAACCATGGGGACTTACATTACTTTTGCTACCTGCATGGACCCTAGCTGGATTTACACCATCCCTTCAGCTGTTGGCGATTGTAGGAAAATTTAGCCACAAATTAAAATGACAAGAATACTACGTTTAAAAACACAGGGCGTGAAAATTTTACTTTGAAAGTTTTTGGGACTTGCGTACCCGAGAGATATAAAGAGGTGTGATGTAGTGAGATAGATAGAGGTGTTGTGAAGAGAGATAAAGTGTTTAAGGGTTTAGCCTAATGGTTTTATACTCATTAGAAAAAGTTAATGACTACCGATTCCTCCATATTCCTAGTGCCACGCCATGACTAATTAACCATAGTTACAGGAAAGAATTGTGTCTTGTCGTTAAAGGACTGGTATGTTTACAACACCATCCGTGTAATATTTGGAGAGAACAAAAAACAAGTTTAAGCTTTGTTAGGTATATTAGTAGTATCTTTGTAATAGTATCTCTAAAGTAATGGCTGAGGGATGCACCTCACACCTGATCCCCCTTAGGAATGTTTCTGGTGGATAAATATGTTATGTCAGCTGGGAATATGAGCAGTACGGTTCAGATTCCATCATATCACACAGACTCTGCTCCTAACAGGATGTATTCCATCTGTCGCAGAGAAAACATATTGTCATATCGCCTGTGTAATGAAAATAATTATTCTTAAAAATTCCACTGATCTGTTTGGGCAATTATCATTTTTATTCTGAGTATGGTATAGGAATCCTGAACAAGAACCTACTTCTGTTTTAGATTTCTCGACAGTCGCGGAAATAATTTGTTAAATGATTATGTCGTCGTCTGTCGCAGTTTGGCGAGGATGTTTAATGCAGATTTAATCAATGTGTTTTGGGAGAGAGTTGTGGGGAGACAGTTTGACTGCTGGATGGAGGCGAACGCTCTGTCTACATGTGATGTGTGTTACTTGTTCAAATGAAACATAATACAAATGTCCTTTCCTTTCTGGCTTCATCTCGTTACTATCTGTAGAGATAAACTCTGCATCTTGCTTCACTTCAGAACATATAACATTTTAACAGACTCTTAACATTTATGTGCGAACTCTATACCGAAGCCTGTTCTGGCTGTAGTTGCATCTGTTTACTCAGATCAATTACCATATGTAAAAATATAATATTAAACTGACAAAACATTTGTAAAATGGGGGTTTACATTGATTTTGTTTTACTTTAGGATGGTTGCTGGAATATGCACAATACCATCAAGGCTTTATTCCTCTGGATTGAAGATCCTGTTTGAGATGTTGATGATGTTTAAAATATGAAACACTCTATTCAAAATGTGTTTGAAAGTGCACATTAACAGAAACTTTAGTGACTTAATATAGGAGCTGAGGTTTGTGATGTTTTAAAGTGCTGGATGCACAATACCATCACAGCTGCTTTAAAAAATTGTTTGTTTTTTTGTAGAATAGTTTAATATGTTTTTGTTGTCATGTTAGGAATTGTGTTTTAATAATTTAAGTTGATTTTTGTTAACTCACTGGACATGTCTGTTGAATGATTGAAGATGTCGGCAGCTCTCGAGGAATGTTGAGATGTGTTGATGAGGGAAAGGCCTCTTTAAAATATGAAACACTCTATTCAAAATGTGTTTGAGAATGTTTAGCCCGTTTTGGTGGCCATGGTATCCACAGAAATCGTTTTAAATTTTATTATTTTCTTTAAAAAATTGTTTGTTTTTTGTAGAATAGTTTAATATGTTTTTGTTGTCAGTTCAAAACCTTTTTGGTCTTATGGTTTAAGCTTGTGTTTTAATAATTAAGTTGATTTTTGTTAACTCACTGGAAGTATTTGTTTAAAGATTATGTTATTGAACAATGTCTGTTGAATGGAGTGAAATAGAGAGAAGTAACGGATGGTATCCTCGGCCGTAACATGCTCTTTAAGTTCCTAGCCAGAAGCTACATTTGTATATTTAACAGTAAAATGACATTTTTATTATGATAACTCTGCCTCTCAAGCTGAGAGTATGTAGTGTTGTCTTGTAAATGAATGCAGAATGTCAATGGTAGTTTGTCAGGAGCCCAGAATTTATTGTCACCTTCAAAGGATGTTTGTGTCTGACAAAGCATAAAGTTTACAAACATCAGCATTTATTGCAAAGACAAAGTAGGCCTGCTAGTCATGACCTACGACCTGTCACTCATCTGGGGCACTTTTACCGTTCACTTCCTTGGGGAGGTGATTGGAAGAGCTGCCAGGCAGTTTCCTGTGTCGAGATGTGCAGGAACAAAGTGATAATGAAAACAGAATGTGATGATATATGACAAGTTATGAATCACATCAACTTGATGAGACATGTAGAGACTATGAGAAATAAATAATAATGAAGATTTATCTTTTGAAGTAGTTATGAAAATATGATAAAGATCCATATTCATATTTTCTTGACTAACATATTCTGATGACCCAAGTAACCCCTAATGGCACATGTGTCTACCAAACACCCATTGAAACCATATTTCTTGTGTAAATTAGAATGGTACCAGAGTACAAAGATGCTTAACATATTTAATAGTATAATATTCAGTCTTTGATAATGTTTGTGGTGTTCATGTCCAATGAAGTACTTGTAAAGGGTTAGGTCTACTAATGCCTACAGTGAATAATGCCTACAGGGAATAATAGCTACAACGTTTGCAGTGACAGCGATACGCTTACCTGCACACAAGTAGATTGTTCCACTTAGTGTGCACTATTGCCTACAAAGGGATTAGGGGAGGCCAGCAAGGAGAGTAAAGAGTAAGATCAAGAGTATTAAATCGTTAGCTAGCTTTTGTTTTGATAATTCCATACGCATTTAGTTCTAATAGAGAGATTATTAAAGGGAGAAGGAAATGTATTGCTTTAAAATTGAAGAATAGAGTAATTAATTGAGAGATTATTAAAGGGAGAAGGAAATGTATTGCTTTAAAATGCTTGTGATACAAATCTTCATTGCAAATCATGGCAAATCCCAAGAAAGTCGAATACTTCACATCACAGAAAGGAGGACAGCAGGTACTCTTGGAGGATACCGCTACAGACTCAACAACAACAGGCGACAGACGCGGTGTACACTGGAAGTGTGTTCAAGGTGGCTGCTTTGGCAAGTGTAATGACAGTCGGACAGTTTGTTCGAATCAGACCCCACACAACCACCCACAAGAAGACCAGGTAGCCCTGAAGATTGCCAGTTCCCTGAGGCAGCGGGTACAGACTGAGACGACGCCAGTTCAGGTGATCTACGATGAGGAGATTTCCCGACTTGACCGAGGTGAAGCAGCAACAGTCAAGTCGTTCCATTCTATGAAGAGTGGACTCTACAAGCAGAGACGGAAGATGATGCCGCCACTTCCCCAGACGCTCAGCGAGGTGAATCTACCCGACTTCTTCAGGGAGACTACAGATGGACTGCCCGTCCTCTGCATTGATGACGCCACAAGTGACCGCCTGACCCTCCTGCAAGAAGTGGACACCCTCTACATGGATGGCACCTTCTACTCCTGTCCTCCTCTCTGGGATCAGCTGTACGTCATCCATGGCCTAGTCGGAGGGAAGATGACCCAGTTTGTCTTCTGTCTACTGCCGAATCGTCAACGCCGCACCTATGAACGCCTGCTACGTCTCCTGAACGACAAGATCCAGCAGACAACGGGATCGCCCCTTCAGCCTGATGTCATCAAGACGGATTTCGAAATCGCTGCCATCAACGCTGTTGAGACCATCTTCCCCAACTGCGACGTCCGTGGATGCTATTTCCACTACAGCCAGGCTCTCTGGAGGAAAGTACAGAACCTCGGCTTCAGCGAAGCCTACCAGCAGGATCCTGAGGTCCACAGATGGGTCCGATGAGCAGCAGCACTCCCCCTCCTCCCATAGAGGTCATGGACGACGTCCCTGCCATTGGACAGAAGGATGAGTTCCAGGACTACATCACCAGCACCTGGGTAGACGACCATGCACGGTTCCGAGCCGGACTATGGAATCACCACGACACCAGCGGCCCAAGGATCTAAAAAATCATCTCGAGGGTTGGCATTCGTGATCTCAACAAGACCGGGCCCAGAGAGCCCACCAACATTTTCGCTCTTGTGAAGGTTCTTGTTTAATCCAAATAAATGATTATGTTTATTTATGTAAATTTATTTATCTCAAAACAAACTACTATGTGAAAGATATGAATAAAGTTTAAGAAAATTAAGAAAAATATGACAACAATGTGAAAGATATGTATATGAATGTACATATGTATATGAATGACCAAATAAAATGTCTCGCAACATAGAAAGTTACTGTTTTCTATATACTGTAGGCATTAGTGCACTTTGAAATAGGACCATGCCACTTTATTGAAAGGTTGAAGGCAGGTGCAATCAGCAGCACTGGTGCGTAAAGTTGTTTATTTAACACTGTAGGCATTATTCACTGTAGGCATTAGTAGACTCCACCTTGTAAAGATATTGTAGGAGATGCCATTAAATATAGTCATCTGTCCTTTTCCTTCAGATATGAGTGTGAGTGAGTGAATGAGTTTGGTTTTACGCCGCTTTTAGAAATATTCCAGCAATATCACGCAGGGAACACCAGAAATGGGTTTCACACATTGTACCCATGTGGGGAATCGAACCCGGGTCTTCAGCGTGACAAGCGAAAGCTTTAACCACTAGGCTACCCCACCGCCCCAATATATGAGGGTGAACACTAGATAAGTTTAGTAAGGGTCTTCAATAAGTTTGCCATTGTCTTTACTGAAATGTCACATGGACTGATTAAAGAGGCTGAAATTTTGTGATTTCTGTCTGTGATTAAATGTGTGATATTTTCTTGCAGTGCCACCCTACATCAGCCGTTCCCCCCAGCCCAAGGAAGTGGAGGAGGATGAGGGGGTTGACTTCAACTGCCAGGTGGTCGGCACCCCCTACCCCGTCACCACCATCACCTGGCTCAAGGACAACAGCCCCATACATGTGGTCAGTGCTCCCTCACTCACTCATTCACTCACTCACTCACTCCTGTGTGTTTTCCTTGTTAGCCAATCAGACTGCTTGTAAATGACATGATTGATCTATAGCACAATGGTCAGTTGTATCCAGAGGATGTTACATGGCATTCTTTCCATTTCCAAAGGGTTCTCCACGCCATAGGATGAATCAGCAGTCTGGCGACCTTCATATGTCCAAGGTCATTCTTGAAGATGCAGGTGACTACGCATGTGTGGCAGCAACTGAAGGTCATCCTATCGTTGTGTCCAGTCGAGCCTATCTCAAGGTCAAAAGTAAGTCAAACACTGGCAGTTTTAGCCATTTGGTTTGTCATTTGGAATTCCAACAGTACTTGTATGTTGTTCACCTATAAAGGAGCAGCAATAAGCTGTGAAATGTTGTATAAAGAATAAAAAGAAAGTGTTGTCCATTGTATTCTTGTAAGTTATTCTCAAAGAACAAGATTAAGGTTTGTAAAACTGTATCTCTGTCATCGGGTCAGTAAACGTTTATTGTTATCACAATTTGGTTCTATTTCTTCTAAGTGTTCTATTCTGTTTGAAGGGAAGCTGAAGTTCAGCCCTCAGCCCCAGAACACGCTCCTTGAGCTGCATGGCTATGGAAAGGTAGAGTGTCGTGCGGAGGCTGAGACTAGACCTGCCATCACATGGGTCAAGCATGGACCAACCAACCTGGACTCGCTGGATCATGTGTATCAGGAACGCGGAACGCTGTTCTTCCGCAATGTCCAGATGACAGACGCTGGATACTACACCTGTCACGCCACATCAGGCCAGGTGTTCATAAACACTACCATCTTCATCAAGGTTGTTGGTGAGTAGACTGTTGATCATGGTTAGGTTTATGTGCATGAAAACTGTGAAAATATTTGTATGAACACTACAAGCGAGTCCGGTAATTCCGTGCGTCCGGTAATTCTGCGCAGCTGCAATAGCGTACTTCCATATCGAGGTAAACATCGTCTGCTACCACATTTACTCTTGAAATAGGGACGTTTCTACATGGGACATTGTATAGAGATATGTTCATAAAAGAAGTGGAAAATATTCATGAAAAATGTGGAAAACTGTGAATTAAGATTGTAGAAATATCAGTTCTCATGGTTTCAGAACTGTTTCGTGTTGTTGTTTCAACTGCTTGTTTAGTAGATTGTGACAAATAGCTATTATATCTTGTTGTTTACCCTCCAATCTGACATTTTCTACAGAGCGTCCCAAGTTTGCAATCCGTCCTGAAAACACAACAGCATTTGAAGGCCACTCTGTGATGATCCACTGTCTGACTCTTGGCGACCCCAAACCCCAGGTCGTCTGGGAGCGGAATGGGGATCTCATCCCCCTCGAGTCCCCGAGATACAAGGTGAGACTATAAACTGACTGGGTCAGTCAGAATCCTATAGTGTGCCGGTTTCTAGACCCTGGAATATTGAGCATGATTAAATAGGTAATGTGCCCTCACCTTTAATGAGGTAGAAGGTGTTCCATTTGTCATGGGATTACGTCTATTGAACATACTCTGCTAATAGACCCATTCTTACTTCTGTCTCGCTGACTGAGTCAGGCAGGCATCTTGTGGGAGAGTACTGATGGAGTATTCCAGTGTAAAGATCATAAGGGCATCTTTCATACCATGTATTCCCTGAAGCATTTTCTTTAAAGAAGTTGAGTGTATTGCTTATCTGTTTAACCTCAGATATGTTTCCAGATGTTAAGTCTGATCCCTCCAGTGTAAAGATCAGAGGGGAGAGTACTGTTATTCCAGTGTAAAGAATGTTGTCAACAACATGTCAGCCATGTGATCATTAATCTTTGATGATTATTCAGATGTTACCAACTCTATCATACATACCCAGGTGTTCATCTTGTGGGAGAGTACTGATTATTCCAGTAAACTTAGGTGTTACAAAGATGTTACCCATGCCTGTTTAACCTCCTGCCAGGTGTTATAAGAATTCCTAGTGTTAAGATAGGTGTTTCAAAGATGTTACCCATGCCATGTCCCTGTTAAGTAGGTGTTACCATGTCTTTCCCTGTTAAGTAGGTGTTTCAAAGATGTTACCCATGCCTTATCCTGCCATGTGTTCCCTGGTGTTAAGTAGGTGTTTCAAAGATGTTACCCATGCCATGTCCTGCCATGTGTTCCCTGGTGTTAAGTAGGTGTTTCAAAGATGTTACCTGTGCCTTGTCCTGTCAGGTGTTGAGTAGGTGTTGCAAAGAAGTTACCCATGCCTTGTCCTGCTATTTGTTCTCAGATGTTAAGTAGGTGTTTTAAAGATGTTACCCATGTCTTGTCCTGCCAGGTGTTCCCTGGTGTTAAGTAGGTGTTTTAAAGATGTTACCAATATCTTGTCCTGCCAGGTGTTCCCTGGTGTTAAGTAGGTGTTTTAAAGATGTTACCCATGTCTTGTCCTGCCAGGTGTTCCCTGGTGTTAAGTAGGTGTTTTAAAGATGTTACCCATGCCTTGTCCTGCCATATGTTCTCAGATGTTAAGTAGGTGTTATAAAGATGTTACCCATGCCTTATCCTGCCAGGTGTTCCCTGGTGTTAAGTAGGTGTTTCAAAGATGTTACCCATGTCTTGTCCTGCCATGTGTTCTCTGGTGTTAAGCAGGTGTTTCAAAGATGTTACCCATGCCTTGTCCTGCCATGTGTTCTCTGGTGTTAAGTAGGTGTTATAAAGATGTTACCCATGTCTTGTCCTGCCATGTGTTCCCTGGTGTTAAGTAGGTGTTTTAAAGATGTTACCCATGTCTTGTCCTGCCAGGTGTTCCCTGGTGTTAAGTAGGTGTTTTAAAGATGTTACCCATGTCTTGTCCTGCCAGGTGTTCCCTGGTGTTAAGTAGGTGTTTTAAAGATGTTACCCATGTCTTGTCCTGCCATATGTTCCCAGGTGTTAAGTAGGTGTTATCAAAGATGTTACCCATGTCTTGTCCTGCCATGTGTTCCCTGGTGTTAAGTAGGTGTTTCAAAGATGTTACCCATGTCTTGTCCTGCCATGTGTTCCCTGGTGTTAAGTAGGTGTTTCAAAGATGTTACCCATGTCATGTCCTGCCATGTGTTCCCTGGTGTTAAGTAGGTGTTTTAAAGATGTTACCCATGTCTTGTCCTGCCAGGTGTTCCCTGGTGTTAAGTAGGTGTTATAAAGATGTTACCCATGCCATGTCCTGCCATGTGTTCCCTGGTGTTAAGTAGGTGTTTCAAAGATGTTACCTGTGCCTTGTCCTGTCAGGTGTTGAGTAGGTGTTGCAAAGAAGTTACCCATGCCTTGTCCTGCTATTTGTTCTCAGATGTTAAGTAGGTGTTATAAAGATGTTACCCATGTCTTGTCCTGCCATATGTTCTCAGATGTTAAGCAGGTGTTTTAAAGATGTTACCCATGCCTTGTCCTGCCATATGTTCTCAGATGTTAAGTAGGTGTTATAAAGATGTTACCCATGTCTTGTCCTGCCAGGTGTTCCCTGGTGTTAAGTAGGTGTTTTAAAGATGTTACCCATGCCTTGTCCTGCGATATGTTCTCAGATGTTAAGCAGGTGTTTTAAAGATGTTACCCATGCCTTGTCCTGCCATATGTTCTCAGATGTTAAGTAGGTGTTATAAAGATGTTACCCATGTCTTGTCCTGCCAGGTGTTCCCTGGTGTTAAGTAGGTGTTTTAAAGATGTTACCCATGTCTTGTCATGCCAGGTGTTCCCTGGTGTTAAGTAGGTGTTTTAAAGATGTTACCCATGTCTTGTCCTGCCAGGTGTTCCCTGGTGTTAAGTAGGTGTTTTAAAGATGTTACCCATGTCTTGTCCTGCCAGGTGTTCCCTGGTGTTAAGTAGGTGTTATAAAGATGTTACCCATGTCTTGTCCTGCCAGGTGTTCCCTTGTGTTAAGTAGGTGTTATAAAGATGTTACCCATGTCTTGTCTTGCAGGTGTTCCCAAATGGCACCATCCTGATTGAGAAGGTGTTCATGGAGGACAAAGGGAAATATGGTTGTGCTGCCAACAATACAGCAGGTGTCGTCCGTGCCGAAGTCTACCTTCGAATCACAGGTGAGCCACACCGCCACGTCAACGAGCCTCTTGTCTTCTGGGGCAGACCAGTGAAGATCCGGGTTATAATTGGTCTTCAGTACCCCATGCTTGTCGTAGGAGGTGACTAACAGGATCGGGTGGTCAGGCTCGCCGACTTGGTTGACACATGTCATCGTGCGCCAGTTGTGTAGATGGATGTTCATGATGTTGATCACTGGATTGTCTTGTCCAGACGTGATTATTTACAGACTGTCGCCATAAAGCTGGAATATTGCTGTATGCCATTAAACAACAACAGTCAATCAACTCCTGGGGCATTTTGTTGTATTACAAACATTATGAGTGTAGCATTATGCTGTAGGAGATGGAATTCTGTAATCTGAGATGGAGTATTTTAATATTGGAATTATACTTTTTGATTGGACGCTACTATTTCCTTCGGCTGCAGATGAGGTTGAAAGTTTCAACATGATGAAGACCATCATCATCGCAGTGTGCATTGCTGGTGCATACTTAGCCCTGGTCATCTCCCTCACGGCATTCTGCAGTTACCGTCTGCTGCTACAGAGGAAGAAGAGGAAGGGGCTCAGTGAGTAGTGCATTATGGGACATAGACATGCTTCAGCACACCTAACATTGGCTGTCGACAAAAATATTCCAGTGGAAGAAAACCAATTGGTTTTGTTGTTTATTTAGATTAAATCTTGCCAACAATCAATATTATTTAAAGTCATTTACTAATCTTTTGTTTCCATGGTAATTCCCTGAGGAATATCATTTTCCAGTTTGAAATGAGCTTATACTCCCTCATCAGTGTTGTGTACTTCTCCGTGTATACATGCCCAGAGTTATCACTCCCCTGGGCGTCTTATGATCTGGGTTTCTACACATCAACACACTTGCAATTTTCAAACCTATCAAAATCAGAAAAAGGTAGGGCCTATTGGATAAGGTATTGATACTGATCAAATTATTTCTCAGTTTTTCAAAAGTTTTATGACTTTTTAAGTCAATTTGTGAAAATATGTGGATTCTTTGGCGAAATGTTGAGTCTAACCCAAAAGAAACGAGATCACACATAAAAGCATTAATTCCTATTTTTCATGAACATAGTAGAAAATCATTTAGGAATGAAAAATTTGGATGGTGTCAGCATCATGGACAGGAAAGCTGGGCTAGTGTCTATTACCCGGAGCAGTGGAAAATGTGCAAGTTGATTACCAGTGTCTCTGAAGACTTTATAGTGGCTGAATTAGGTCCCGATATAAAGTATGTATGCGAGAAAAAAGCTGTGTGATATGTCTGTGTTATAACTGACGTACGTTGTGTTAGCACTGTGTGGATGATTGGGTCCCTTGAGGAATTCCCAAATCAATATGTTTCCACCATCAGTCCTTGAAAAGGCTTATTGGGAAGATCACAATTAAATTACCTTTATATTTAAAACCTACCACTTTTCACTTTGTTTAAGAAACCTGATCACGTCCGTTCACCTGACTCTTGTCACAATATTGTTTTTGGCTAGTTGCCCAAAAAACCAAGTAGTTCTTTTTTCCCAAGACAATATAAGCGCCTTTGAGCAGTTGTACTGGATATCGGCGCTATACAAATGTTTGTATGTATGTATGTATGTATGTATTATTCTGCATCTTTGCTGTATCAGGCGATGGAAAGAAGGATGATAATAAGGGATAAGAAAAGAAATAGTTTCTTGAAATTAAATTTTTGTCCTTCTTTTTACAGTGAAGGCAGAGAATGGCGATATCAACCGTGAACAACATGAATTACTGATGAAGGATCGAGACTCCGGGACCCAGTTTCGCAGTGACAGTGACAATCGTTCGCACGTCTCCGGCATGAGCTCACACCAGTCACATTCATCCCAGTCCCAGCAGTCCCGGAGCAGACGGTCAAGCTTTGACCGCTATCACTTCCCACGCCAGGATCTGCAAACTCTGGGCATGATAGGTAAACACAGAGATATTCTGTCCCAATGCGGACAATTTTAAAGGCTTTTCTTTATGTAATTGCAAGAAATCAGATGTTTAATGAATAATTTCTTTTTCAACTTACACACAAGGGTTACTCTTTGCATTTATATCAGGTTCTGAAATCAGGGGAATTCCACTGCACTTCGAAACAGTTACAGTATTTGATGATCTTCTAATGTAAATTCTTTGAGGTGTTTTGTGCAATTGAATTTTCTATATAATTGAATTCGTCGAAATAGTGAAAAACACTTATATGATGTAAGAGAAGGTTGATAGATGTAGTAGCAGCAGAAGTCACTGCTGGAGTATTTATATGGTAACTGTTTCTATGAGGGATGTGTTAAGGGGCACCTGTCACTAAAAGCATGTGTAAAGAGTCAGATCTGACTGAGAGCTTGTGTCAGGAACTTCTGTTACCAGGAGCAGTCTTAAGGGCACATTTCAGTAAGATCTAATGTTGAGGTCCTCCTGTCACTATAAGCGTGGGTTACGGGGCAGTTCATCAATAAGAGCATGTGCTAAGGGGCACCTGTCACTAAGAGTATGTGTTACATAAGCTTGGTGCTAAGAGTCACCTGTCACTAAGAGCATGTGTTCATGATTGTGAATTGCTGAATTGTGAAAAGTATTCACTAAGGGTAACTTTTACAAAGACCATGTGCTAAGATGCACCTGTCACTACATAAGAGTGTGTTCTAAGGGGCACCTGTGTGCTAAGAGCACCTGTCACTAAGCAGTGTTACATAAGAGCGTGTGCTAAGGGGCACCTGTCACTAAGAGCATGTGTTACGGGCAGTTCGTCAATAAGAGCGTGTGCTAAGGGTCACCTGTCACCAAGAGCATGTGCTAAGGGGCACCTGTCACTAAGAGTATGTGTTACATAAGAGCGTGTGCTAAGGGGCACCTGTCACTAAGAGTATGTGTTACATAAGAGCGTGTGCTAAGGGGCACCTGTCACTAAAAGCATGTGTTACGGGGCAGTTCGTCAATAAGAGTGTGAGCTAAGGGGCACCTGTCACTAAGAGCATGTGCTACAGGGCAGTTTGTCAATAAGAGCATGTGCTAAGGGGCACCTGTCACTAAGAGTATGTGTTACATAAGAGCGTGAGCTAAGGGGCACCTGTCACTAAGAGCATGTGTTACGGGGCAGTTTGTCAATAAGAGCACCTGTCAAGGGGTACCTGTCACATAAGAGCATGTGTTAAGGGGCAGTTTGTCACTAAGAGCATGTGCTAAGGCAGCTAAGGGGCACCTGTCACTAAAAGCATGTGTTACGGGGCAGTTCGTCAATAAGAGTGTGAGCTAAGGGTCACCTGTCACTAAGAGCATGTGCTACAGGGCAGTTTGTCAATAAGAGCATGTGCTAAGGGGCACCTGTCACTAAGAGTATGTGTTACATAAGAGCGTGTGCTAAGGGGCACCTGTCACTAAGAGCATGTGCTACAGGGCAGTTTGTCAATAAGAGATTGTGGTTTGTGTTGCAGGGAAAGGACAGTACGGCGATGTGTTTCTGGCCAAGGCACGAGGTATTCGACAAACTGAGATAGAAACACTAGTAGTGGTCAAATCTTTATTGATGAAAGACGAACACACATTTTTCAACTTTCGGCAAGAAATGGACATGTATAGCAAACTTGACCACCCGAATATTGTGCGTCTGCTTAGCGTTTGCCGGGATATGGAGCCTCAGTTTCTCATCACAGAATATTGTGACTGGGTGAGATATACTGAGAAAATATTCACTAATAGACGACATAGCACTTTGTTTTTTTCTCAGGAAAAGTTAGAGAATAAAGAGAATTTCTGTCTTGTACATACTTGTACGGGGAAAGTCAGTTCAACTATAGATGTCTCTTTTGTATTAAGATTCAGTAAATATTTATGCATGGGTTTTTGGGGTTTTTTTTTTTACACTGGCACAGTGCCAACCTTTATATCTTAAAATTAAACAGTACAGTGAAACTGGAAGACAGGAACTCGTGTAACAATATTGTAATTTATGATTTAGCAGATGGATAGTTGCAACATTTTTGCATGGCATTTATTTTGAAAGTGGATGATAAATATAAGGTTTATCAAATGGACAGAAAATATTGAATTCCAGTTGAGACATGTTTTCACTTGGTGTTGAAGTAGCATCAGGTCCTTTGTGGCGCCAGCGTCTTAGCTCAGGGTTGTAGGAAAGATTGAGTCCGATATGGAATGAGTCATGTGACTCTCCAGTATTGTATCACACACACACCCACACTGGCTGTGTGCTGGTCAGTAACTGGACACTGGCTATTACTCGTATCATACCCTTGTATCATGCTTTATCTTATCTCCTGCTGTAATGAGTCTGCAGTCAGTGCTGGTCACCATAACCCACACTCTCAGACACTAACTCTGTGGCCTCTCCTCATTAATGATGCTTCAAGGCAACTCAAGTCATTAACATGGCTCTTGAGGAAACTGGTGATAAAATCTGATGGTTTTATTTTCATTCCATTTGAATCTCTTGACGCTGTGTGTTGTAGTCTCAAGATGTTATATTTTGAGAATTTATTCTTTAGTAATCAGGAGATAAAGTTAGATTTAAATTTGTAAACTCTTTAAGTTAATCAGTGACCAGATGTGTTCAGCAAGTTTGGAAAGAGCTGAGTAGACCAGGGGAGATAACTGTGTTAAGAATAAATGTTCTGCTTATTTCATGGTAGACCCTACTTCAGTTATTTAGGCTTAATAAGAAATGTTGATATTGCTTATTAATTTTGAAGAATTTTTGACATGATGTTTTTATCTGTTTACAGGGCGACCTGAAACAGTTTCTCCTGGCTACAAGAAGTGACAATGGTCGCCGCCCTGCACGGGTCCCACATCTCACCACCCAGCAGAAAGTAAGTATGTGTCACCAGGTGGCTCTAGGAATGGAGCATCTGACAAATCAACGATTTGTTAACAAGGACCTTGCATGTCGAAACATTCTCCTCACTTCGCGGCTGGACCTGAAGATCTCCAATTTATCGTTGTGCTTGGATGTGTACGTTAATGAATACTGCCCCCATAATGGAGTTCTCCTACCGTTGCGGTGGCTGCCCCCAGAGGCAGTGCACGAGGAGGAATACACCTCCAAGACTGATGTGTGGTCGTTTGGTGTTCTTCTGTGGGAGGTGTTTCACTTAGCCGACCTTCCGTACAGACTGAAGAGTGACCAAGAGATTCTCAAGGAGTTGAAAGGGGGAGAAATGTCGCTAGAATTTTCAGAACAATGTCCTCTTGAGATAGCAGACATTGCCAGAAAGTGCATGACAGAACTGCCACAAGACAGACCATCATTCAGTGACCTTTGCATATCCATCAGACTGCTGGACAGTTCTTTCTGACTAGCACCGGGGAGTGGAGGTGGACCATCTACAGAGGACCGCAATAGTCTTCAGCCGGACCTTGGGGAGTACCTGCTTTCCCCCAAGGCAAGCGATCACCACCGGAACAGATCGGAGCTGCTCCCAGACGGGTCAGATTCGCAGCTCGGACTCTACTCCCAATCAGAATACTCGTCAGATTCTCAGTCATCAAGAGTGTTGGACAGGGATGCGAGGGGCAAGATGGATCCACCGCCTCGGTTGGTTGTTCAGTTGCCTCCATCACAGACGGACTCTGTCTGATACTCCACGTAAGACCCGAAGCTGTGACAATCAGACTCTGATCGAGACGATTACAGTACATTCAGACAGTACTTCTGTGATTTCTGGGGCTAAAGTATTTATTCTGACATTTTTGATGTGATGGAGGGTAGTTTACATCAACTCATAGAGCAGGGGTATGGTGGAACCAGCCCACAGATGGACTTGAAGGTCATGTGACTGTGTTCATGTCAGGTGATCTGTCATGTGACTGTGATGTGTGATATATAAATAGCTCCTTGTGACTGTCACCACAGTGACTGAGTGTGAAGTATTGACTATATGACAAATTTCAACAATCAGACTTCAATCCAATAATGACAATCTTTATTATGTTTACATTTTGTTTGCATTTTGTCATGAAAGAAACAAAGTATTATTGAATCTTGAATGAATTTGTTTACAATTTTTACAAATGTTGACGGAATGCAAAATGAATTTGAAAGGGTAAATTACTTGCTCCATGTGAGTGATGCAGTGCTTAAAAAGTAATATATTTGTATGAGGCACTGTGGGTAGATGGAGCCTTGCCTCCGTACCACAGTCTTCTAGCTTGTCTGTGCTACAGTGCTGGTGTCTGGAGCAACCCCAGATGTAGATATTGAAGCAGACGTCGCTCCAGACGGCCAGCAGACGTCAGTCTATGCTACAGTCATGTTTAGGTGTATAAAATCATTGTAGATGGAACTATTCCTGTGAAGGACATTGCACTCCGACTGCTTGAATGGTCTTCATGATAATATGGCTAGGTATTTGACATAATTTCTTGACTAGTTATGTGAGTGTATGTTTTTGTTTTTTATTCAGTTTACATGGTGCTGACTGCCTTTTCCTCATTTTCCAGAATCTTTCTGCTTTGTTAATATGACAATGGTAGCATTTTCTGGGTAACTCAGATGTTTCAAGTGCAGAAATATAGATATTTCATGACTTGGTGTTTTTGAAATTTCATTAAAATCATGATAACAAGAACTATCCATTTGCTTTTGCAACGACACATCCAGCATAATATGTTGTTAATTCTAAAGATAATTGTAGCATAATGCAGTATGTCTCATATTTCACGCGATCATGTGTCTGACTTGAAAAATATATATTGTGTTACGTCTGCTTATATGGTAACTTAGCACCATTGATATTTGGGTCAGTCAAAGATTCCATTGTTGTCTCAACAGCTCTCAGTTTTAGCTCAAACCAGTGCTCATAGTTGGGAGGGACAAGCGTCCAAGTCATGCATAATATAAACATATCCCATATGTCATAGAGTGTACATACACATCATGTGATCATGTCATGTGACCAAAGTTGAGTGTACGTTCTCTTAGTGCCAAATGAACATCGTGTAGACTGCAGAAACTTGTAGTGGGACACTAGCTGACACAATGTACGTGCCTTTTTTTGTGAACACTTCCCCCAAATATGCCACAATCCACTGAAATCCACAGAACACTCCATTATGGCAACACTCTATACATGGTCTTAGATTTTAGGTGTTTTTGAAATGTCCTGTAAATTTTGTCAAAAGAAAAACTATCTGTGTTCCATGTTGCTGCATGTACTTGCTTTTAGTTGTAACTGTTGTCAGTAAAGTGGAACATTTCACTGATTTTATGGAATGTACACGATTTAAATGTTCAAGGCTATATCAAATTAAGTCTCAACATGGCCGCCATGTCGCTGTCGTTTTTGGACCAAGTTTTCTTCTCATGACGTTATGGACTCAGAGCTGTAACCTGTCTCATGGGCTCTGCATCTGTCCTGGATACTGTGTTGGAAGTGGGCTGTGATGTAAATGTAGGAAACTAGGTCTGCTTGTTCAGTCCAAATATCGGCTGGAGATTAAGTCTTTCAGTAGCAATATGCCTTCTGAGGCCACCACGGAAACAATGGCAGTTTCGTGCAAGCCAGTCTTGGTTTTAAATGTTGGTTTGGTAGTAGGGATTTCTGTTTATGATGGCAGATCCTGTTAATGTTGACAGACATATCACTGCTACAAAAGTAACAGTGTGGTTTTATCTGGAGCTTTGAGAGTGAAAACAACATGGGTTTCAGAGTGTAGATGACACTTTGTGATTAGCAATGACTGCCATGCTTGGGTCAGAGAGCAGGTTGACTGTAGCAAACAATGAACATAGGCCTTATATCCTGGGTTTATCCTGTAGATCTTCATCTCATGGCCCAGGTTAACTGTATGACTGCTTTGAAATGTTCCCATGTTCCCAGCTGTTTATGCCCGACTGTTCAGCTGTGTATGTCACCCAATGTACATATCAGCTTCTGGTCAACGAGACTACCCCACTTCAAGCGTTCTTTTACACCCCTTGAAGTCAAATCCCAGTCTTCTACAGTCCAATGGATCTAGATATCCTTCTGTGAAGTTGTACATGGTGCAGACGTTCACCATCCTTTCCACTTTCTATTCTACTGAATGCTTGTTTCAAAATTCAACATTTCTATTTAGTATTTGTCCAACAGACATTGTTGTACCATTGAGGTTTCTAATGCAACATTTGTGCCTATATCTGTTGCTCCAGCTTGCACTGTAAGTGTTGAATGACTGTGTCTGTGGCTACAACCTTCACTATCAGATGATGGCACTGACAGTTAGCTGTGTATATATTGCCTTATTATTTGAAATAAACCTGATATCACTAAATCATATCTTGTCGTCTTCTATACCATACATCTCAATTTAAAGAAATAACAGATCACTGAAATACAATGCAGTCCTTGTTTTGAAAGTGTTAGACAGTTATAACTCCGAAACTTTTCAAGTTTCTACTGTTGTTGGGCAATGATGGTGCAAGCCAAGGTCAAAGACCCACATGTGAGTGCGTGAGTTCAGTTTTACGCCGCACTCAGCAATATTCCAGCTATATGGTCTGTAAATAATCGAGTCTGGTCCAGACAATCCAGTGATCAACAGCAAGGGCATCGATCTGCGCAATCTTACGATCACCTCTTACGACAAGCATGGGTTACTGAAGGTTCATTCTAACACGGACCTTCACGGGTCAAAGACCCACATGTGTGTTAAGAGATCTTAGTGCTACAAGACTGGGTAAGATGGTCTGGGATCCATGTGCATTAAGAAATCTTAGTGTTACTGGAAGGAGTATGCAGTTCCAGTATGCATATGTCTTCAGATATCCTGTGGCTTCTGGATTGAGATGGTCCAAGTTTTTTTATTGATTGCCGCTGCACTCAGCAATATTCCAGCTATATGGCTGCGGTCTGTAAATAATCGAGTCAGGACCAGACAATCCAGTGATCAACAGCATGAGCATCGTTCTACACAATTGGGATACAATGACGTGTCAAGCAAGTCAGCAAGCCTCACATCCTGATCCTGTTAGCTGCCTCTTACGATAAGCATGGGTTGCTGAAGAACAATTCTAAACTGGATCTTCAAATGTCCAGATTCCATGTGAAGTGAGAAATCTTAGTGCTACTGGATTGAGTAAGATGGTTCAGGAGCCATGTGCATTAGTGCAACAGCTGTCTTAGCACTATAACTACTGCCACTCTATTGTCATAGTTACAGAGATGCCAACATCTATGATTTTATCATAGTCGCTACAGATTTTAGCCCCAAACTATGCCAATACGATTGCACAAGAAATTCTACAAAAGTTCAAGAAAATTCATTCAAATTCAGAAAAGAGACAAGAAGAAATGTAATGCTGATAATTTGGAAATCTGCTGTTAGAAGTATGTGAAAGTAAAGCTTCACTCTTGATTAGTGTCATATTATCTTTCTCAGAATCATCATGATTTTAGGTATTTAGTTGACTACTAATGTTATGGTCAAACTACTAATTTTGATCCTTGAAACTACTGTTTGCAGCACTTTGGGGTCGGCATCTCTGTAGTTAGGACTTCCAACCATTGTAGCACTAGCACCCTGGTGTACAAGGATGTCCTGACAAGCATGAATCAGCTTTACATTGTGACCAGGGGTCACCGTGTTCTGGATAGAGGGGTTTACAAGTGTCATGACCCAGTAAATTCCTGAGATGGTATGTCCTTGGGTCAGTGACCTTGACCATCCAGAGTTATCTCCTCCATGACACCAGGGCAGTTCATCTCACCAGGAGTTGGCAACACTGGGATAATGGCAGCAGGGGGAGTTGGGAGTGAAGATGTGTATTAACAAAGAGATGCATAATGGAACCAGATTGTATTTGTTTTCTCCTCATTGAAGTTTAATTATTTTGTTTTGCTGCTCTCAACAGTATTGGTATTTAGTGGCAGTCTGTTAAATCTGGTCAAAACAGCCAGACATGGCATCAATCTTGATATTCGGATTGCAATGAGCCTGACCACCAATCCCTTGCAGTTGCCTCTTAATACAATTCACTCCCTGATCTTCATGAGGATAGTCGTAAGAGGCGGCTAATGGGATCGAGTGGTCAGGCTTGCTGACTTAGTTGACACGTCATTGTATTCCAATTGCGTAGATCGATGCTCATGCAGTTGATCACTGCAGTGTGTGGTCCAAACTCGTGTAACAGGCGGCTGCCATATAGCTAAACTCACTCACTCAAATTGGTAGAGAGTGGGTATACAGTAGCTGCTGTATAGTACATGCAGAAGAGTATAATATGTGAGTTGTGCTTCATGCCACAACAGTATTTACATTACATTACTGTATAATATGGCGGAAAGCCTGAGTTGTGCTTCATGCCACAACCTGGAGTGATTTTGGAGGAAAGCCTGGAGTGATGTAAGTGTTGGACCTGGAGTATGTAAGTGTTGGCGGGAAAGCCTGGAGTAATGTAAGTGTTGGCGGAAAGCCTGGAGTGATGTAAGTGTTGGAGGAAAGCCTGGAGTGATGTAAGTGTTGGAGGAAAGCCTGGAGTGATGTAAGTGTTGGAGGAAAGCCTGGAGTGATGCATGTGTTGGAGGAAAGCCTGGAGTGATGCAAGTGTTGGAGGAAAGCCTGGAGTGATGAAGTGTTGGAGGAAAGCCTGGAGTGATGCAAGTGTGGAGGAAAGCCTGGAGGAAAGCCTGGAGTGATGCCTGGAGTGAGTGTTGGAGGAAAGCCTGGAGTGATGTAAGGAAAGCCTGGAGTGATGGAGGAAAGCCTGGAGTGATGTAAGTGTTGGAGGAAAGCCTGGAGTGATGCATGTGTTGGAGGAAAGCCTGGAGTGATGCAAGTGTTGGAGGAAAGCCTGGAGTGATGCAAGTGTTGGAGGAAAGCCTGGAGTGATGCAAGTGTTGGAGGAAAGCCTGGAGTGATGCAAGTGTTGGAGAGGAAAGCCTGGAGTGATGGAGGAAAGCCTGGAGTGATGCAAGTGTTGGAGGAAAGCCTGGAGTGATGCAAGTGTTGGAGGAAAGCCTGGAGTGATGCATGTGTTGGAGGAAAGCCTGGAGTGATGTAAGTGTTGGAGGAAAGCCTGGAGTGATGCAAGTGTTGGAGGAAAGCCTGGAGTGATGTAAGTGTTGGAGGAAAGCCTGGAGTGATGATGCAAGTGTTGGAGGAAAGCCTGGAGTGATGCAAGTGTTGGAGGCCTGGAGTGATGCCTGGAGTGATGCAAGTGTTGGAGGAAAGCCTGGAGTGATGCAAGTGTTGGAGGAAAGCCTGGAGTGATGCAAGTGTTGGAGGAAAGCCTGGAGTGATGTAAGTGTTGGAGGAAAGCCTGGAGTGATGTAAGTGTTGGAGGAAAGCCTGGAGTGATGCAAGTGTTGGAGGAAAGCCTGGAGTGATGCAAGTGTTGGAGGAAAGCCTGGAGTGATGTAAGTGTTGGAGGAAAGCCTGGAGTGATGCATGTTGTCTACTACTAACACAACAGGTACAGGGCCCACACAGCAGGATTGAGGTGAAGCTGGGATTTGAACACAAAACCACCTGTGCTGACTAATTCAGCACTAAAGTACTGTCGGAAATGCTAGAAAAATGCTTTTTAGCCTTAATATTTTGATAAAGGTGATAAATGTACTATGTTGTCAATATATCAACTCGCCTATAGTGTACCTAATTTTTATTTCAATCGATTTAACATTCCCATGCATTAAAAGGGCAGTTTACAGGAGAGAATATGGTACCAAAACAACAACTTAGGATTTTTTCAGAGTTCAACAACAGAAATCTGAAATAGTCTTTACATTTATGCTAATAATACAGGTGTGTAAAAATATGAATCAACGTTTTTCTTTAACAAATAAATGTTGAATGTTTGTGTTACTTTACTTAATTATCGTTTCTTTATTGAAGAAATATTAATATAAATGTTAAGTCTTGATAAATAAGTTTCCCATCATGCATGCACATCTTTATCACAGCGTCCACTAAGGCCAACTATTTGCAGTCAATTGTTGCAAAGGTTTATAAGTTTTTTGTGCTTGAAAAAGACAGAGGTAAACCTTTCATTAGTTTAGAAAGGGTTTATTACAGAACTTGTAGAGCTGTTGGTATGTCTTACCAACAAGTTTAAAATATTGTAAACAAATCAGACAAGACAGGGACCGTCTCAAAAGCAAAACCGGGACGTAAAACCATCCTTGACAACTTTGACAAGGGAGTACTTAGACGGGCGGTCTACAAATTTTATGAGAAGAAGAATATATATATTCTAAAGAAGCTACACCAGTGACTTCATTAAATCTTTGGCCAATGTTCACAACTAGATTAAACTGACCGAATTACATCCATATTTTTGCAATGAAATATACTGTTGACATGCAAAACATTTATTAAAACGTTGCACATTTCTACAATCAATCGATAAGATAACACAAGTGATAGGATTCTTTCCAATGTACAGTAATTCGTATGTTTATTTCAAAACAAACACACATACACAAATGATCCCTTACATAACCAACACATATTCAACATTTTGAAAAAAACATTTATTGAGATGACCCTTCCCCCGAGCGTGTGCTCAGGTGTCAATTTCACCTGTCGATACCATGCATGCTGATGACATAACACAGGCAATTAATGTTTGTATCAAATAACGTCCCACTACCCGTTATTTTTCTAAGTTTTTTGTATTTTCATCAGTAAAAACACATTTTAGGGCATGTCTCAAAATTTATTCCCTCAGTCTACATTAGGTAGATGTTTCTTAAAGTGATATTTGTTATTTAAGTAACTGTAATACCTCTGAATTTTAAATATAAGTCAAAAAGCATTTCTCTAGCATTTCCAACAGTACTTTAGACCATCCATGCCCCAAACATTAAGATTATGTGATTATTTGTTATTTAAATGGGCAAAAGTGTGCACTAACACATCCAAGTGAATATATAGAAACACAGTAGACAAACAACTGAATGCTACTTGACAATTGGTGGTTCATGGTTCTACGTCATTTGATTGGAAGACCACTTCCTATTCCACATTAAATATACATCACCTTCCACAAATCAGGTCAACAATCTGTGAAACCACCATAGGTGGAAGGGAGGAAGATAATGGCCGCGTTGCCAACAGTGTAATCAGGCAGGCAGCCGACAAACCAGGGGTAGATAGCATGAACATACATTCACACCATCCTAATGACATGATGGCCTGTTAATCTGCAAGATCACAGTAATTGCTTGACTTCAATGCGGTAGCCCACCCATGAGTAATGTCGACACTAGGCTGTGTTGTGCTCACTTCACTCAACAAGGACTTTTATTGCTCCTGTCCAGCTAAGCAGATTACTTTGGCAGTGATCAGAATGTTCCAAGACGCTCCTTCCAGTGATGTGTTATTGCTCTTTGATGTCCCGACACTGAGCTGCAGATACTATTACAGGCATAACACTGATCAAAGAAAACAAAGTAACTAAATATATTTGTATTTGTTTATTACTCTTCCATGCCTTGCAGACCAACACTACTTGGCTATATAGCGTTAGAACACACACTGTAAAACACCTGGGCCTAGATTTCGAAGCTCTCTTAGCGCTAAGATAGTCGTAAGTTAATGTTAATGTATGGCACTTACGACTATCTTAGCGCTAAGAAAGCTTCGAAAATCTAGGCCCTGGTGGTCAAATAAACACTGACCGTACCTGCTGGTCTGTATGTAATCTGGCATTACAGCACAAGCACAACACCTGGTGGCCAAATTAAGACAAACCAAGGTGTTGGGATGTAAAACACACAATGTCTGGATGAATGCTTAGACTTCACCATGTATCAAACTTGCATCACAGGATTCAATGGACCAACAAAATTTGGTGTTACAGCATTACAACATACACTCTCAAACAATCGGTGGCCGACCAAATACCAACCATATTCATGATAGATGCTGGTATATTCTACTGGAAACATACATTCAAGGTTCACCCAGCTCTTTCATATTACATAATTACTCTGAAATTTCATGAAAGAGTACCTATAACTATAGTAATATGTAAGGATTGGATGATCCTTAACTTTATTTGAGTAGTATAAGAAGAATATATCGCAGCTTTCACAATGTACCACTGTTGACTATGAATTCAAAACATATCACTGGGAATATAGACTAAGGTATCACCATACTTGGAGGTTACAGTCTGGATGGTGTACAGCTACTATATCTAACTACCCTCTATCTGTTGCTACACTGTAAGACATACTGACGGTGAGTATGGAAGTCTATGGTGGGTATACATACAGAATGAAAGAATACACCTTCACATACACCGACGACAGAAGCGTTCTCATTCATCCTTCAGTAATGCGAGCGATATAACGACACAAATCTTGATCCAACAGTCTCATTATCTCCCATCAAGAATTGGTCAGCATCGTGAGAAATGGGCATATCTTGCCAATACAAAACACATGGTACTGGTTCCATTAACTTTCTTGGATTTCTATATGATCAGTTCCATGAGTACACTACCTCACTCACTCACTCACTACCTCACACAGCCACAGCATACACATAATTCACTTATAAAACACCTAGGAATCATTCATATTTTTGGAATATCTTTTTCTACAAAATGTTTACAGCATATATAAATAGTTGATGATGATTCACTCGTCTGTTCAGTATGCCCGACTTGACTTTAACACTGTCTAAAATCAAAACACAATAAAAGAATGGATATTCCATAAAAATCAAAACTATTCGCTGAGAGTCTAAACAACTAAAGTAAACATTAGTTTCTTGTTCTATATACAATAAAATCCCTAAATACATGTTGACATGAAAAATTAGATACATTATGGAAAAGTGAAAGTGACAAAGTACAACATGAACGATTTGTCTTCAATCTCTTTGATAAGCAAAATGTTAAATTTCCTGTCTCTTTATTATTCCATATCTTGATCCTCACAAAGTCAAGGATGCTGAAAGGGTAGGATACTGACTGACTGACTGAATTTAGTTTTACGCTGCTTTTAGCAATATTCCAGCAATATCATGGCGGGGGACACCAGAAATGGGCTTCAGGGTAGGATACTACAAAGACAAGTGGTTACATGGATGTCACATTCTGAATGCATTGTTCGAAACAAAGTGAATTCCTCTCCTGTATTCTGCTGATTGGAACTCTTGTAAACTTACATATACAACACAACACAGTATATTATTGGCAGTGACCATGAGTAACTTTGTGGTCCACACAGAGACAAGGGCATTCACTTCACCACCATCACAACCATTCCAGCATGACTTAACACTGGATGTATACTGAACAAAATAACATATGCATCATGACTATTAGGAGGATTTATTTAGGAACTTTTGTGCTCAGTCTTTTTTACAAAACATATCCCAAATATATTAATGATATCTTGCTTAGGTTTTAGTAAATATTTTATTCCTGTTAGCTAGTGATTGGAACTGATTATGGCAGATATCCACACCACGTTTTGGACACAAACTGAGACACTGTTCCTATTGGATGAGTTCTACATACGAAATGCGATGATGCTCAAAGTGAGGTCATGGCAAGAGGTCTGATAATATCATTGAAGCTAAAACTTACACTGTCTATGAAATATACGCCTGTTCTTCCGGTCCGTCAGTGTTCACTGTACAAATGTACTATACAAATAAAACAATGATATATACATAATATATAACACATACATTATATATAATAAAACTATCTATGAACCAAACCAATAAATGACTTTGCTATACAGTATATACAAATTGGTGGTAATATCTTTGATTTAATATCTAAAATTGAATTCATTCACAGATTTGACATACTACCCTGCAGTTGAAGACACTATACACTTATTAGCACTAAAGGTCACTATATGGCTGAAATACTGCCGATGTGTCCATAAACCTCAACTTACTATTAGCACTAAACGGGGTGGGGAAGATACAGTTACATGATACATGATACATAAAGGAAGTATGATACAAGAAAATGCATGGTACATATGATACAAGACAGCACAACAGATGAAAACAAATCACATTATATTGATTAATAAAGTAAGTACTGACACTGGAACACTACAGTTGTTCCGGAATGTTATACATGATAGTTTCACACTGGTTTGGAAATATCACACAAGCTACAAGGATTCATGACTTTCCCAAGATTCCCGCTAATTCACCTGGGATAACTGTGAGCCTGATCTTCACACAACAGAGCAATTCACACGACACTAAAGGAGGCAGAAGACTAGCATTATCGGGTTTTCAATGTCACAAAGTATTTCTACAATATTCATCTGTTTACAAGATTATAAAAGAGACACATGAACTGATTTAATGCCACACCCTTGTTACCCTGGAAACAGGCATCTCTAGACTCAAATTCAGGCAGACCTTTGGTTTCTACTTCATCCTAGAGTACCTGAATAAACCAAATATATACCACTCAACTTTTCATAGGGATTATCAGATGTGTCATTTGATTTAAATGTACAGTAATATATCATGAGAATGATTTTGGTGTATCATGGAAAAGACAAAACACATCCTTATCAACAGTTGAGTAGTATACAAACACTTGGTTTCAATAATGGCTCCATCATAACAAATCCTTCATAGGTTGAACAGTTTGGTAGAAAGAAATGTCCGGGATATCACAACTCTGCTTCATACTCTGAAACTTTGCATCAGCACAAGCAACAACATTTGGATTCCCCCATATAACATGTATCTTACAATCCTAGATATAAAAGTCTTTGGTAACAAGCTTTGGTGTAGTCAAGGCAACAGGCAGATATATCTTATGTACAATGTAGTGATAGATTAACATTGATAAAGGTCAATATAGAAATATATTCTGATAATTTTTTTTCAGCGATAACACACAATATATTTTCACAGGTAAAACAACAGCATTGAAATAATATCGTATTTAAGTATAAGCGGTAAATCGTTTATTTGGCCATCCATATTTTTCCATTTCTGTGTTTCTCGTTCCCAACCTCAATCTGCAACTGGGTGGACGGGCCCAAACAATATAACAATTATTGTGTTACTCATTTTAAGCAATTTTTAAATCCAGATCACTTGTATAGGCTATAATAAGTATAAGTTTATTTTTGAACCAGATCGAGTATCTTTGCTTCGGAGACGATATTTTTATTAAAAACATTCACACATAATTTAAAGAAAGATCAAGATGACCTGGTTTTCTTTGTGAGTGTGCAAGAGTAAAGGTGTTTTAATGTCGAGTCGGCAGAACTTTCACTGCGGCTGTGATTATTGAGAAAAGAAAACTTTCCATTATTTTAAGTTGGAATGACAATTTAGGGCAGGCTGCTGATGGGAAACTGGTAAAAATAAGGGCAGCCTTACAACAAGGGCACTGGAATGTATGCATTTAACGTATTATGTATCTTTATTACATACATAGGTGCAACATGGATCATCATCATCACCATAATCATCTTTATCATCATCATCATCCAGGTTTTGAAAAATTTTCACTCTTGAAATGATGGCATTGTGCCAACCAGCCTAAGATACTGACTAAAATAGGCGACAAGAGCCCAACATTTAAAAAATGGGCTATCTATTAAAACCATACACTTGTTGTCAGAGAGCAGCAGGGAACACAATTATTTCAGGCGTCTGTGAAACTGAAAAGTTTCCTGATAACAGTTACTATGCACTTACATACCCCGTCCTTTTTTATTTACTGTCAACAGGCTGTATACTGAAGTATATACAAGAATATATTGATTGTCATGTCAACTTTCAGGCTCTGTACTGGGCGATTAACGAAGATAACTAACAGACTAGTCCAGCGTTAATCAGGTGGAGCTGTTATGGCCAATATTGTATTACACTGTAAAGTGTCTCCCATAATGACTGTATTGCATTATTAATTCAATACATGACGAAGACAACTTTGACTTTAGTGTTGCATACGTTCTGGCAGATGAGCACAGTATTTCCTTCTGACTGGTCAGCCTCTGCCCCGATACATCACCTCACTGTCCATCTGTGCATTCAGCATCACCAACACAGGCCATGAACCGACACCGTGAGTTGGCTGTGGACGTACTTGACACCGTGACACAGTATTGACATGTTGGTTACCACATGGTGTAAAGCACATCACACTATCCCGGTGAGTGACAGGGTCCTGGTTATAGAGGAACTGTATGGCTTTCAGAATCCTATCAAATATTCACATAGTTATGACTTCGTGTCAAATTCATGTCACCTGTAAATGTGAGTCTCCACATTCCACTCTTGACCTGCACTTTAGGATCTGTAGCCCTGCCGTACTGAACTGAATTATACCATTCATGGGTCTGTAAGCCCTGCCGTACTGAACAGTACTATTCCATTCATAGCTCTGTAGCCCTATTGTACTGAACAGTACTATTCCATTCATGGGTCTGTAGCTCTGCCGTACTGTACTGAACCGTACTATTCCATTCATTGGTCAGTAACTCTGTTTGTACTGAACAGTACTATTCCATTCATGGGTCAGTAACTCTGTTGTACTGAACAGTACTATTCCATTCATGGGTCAGTAACTCTGTTGTACTGAACAGTACTATTCCACCGATATGGGAGGAGCCCTGTACTACTGAACAGCACTGTTCCATTGACGATTCAGTAATGTTTGTCCTTCACAGGATCCTCTACAAGCTCCCTGCAGACATATCCACTAGTCAAGCGATTCTCTTTGAGTCCGACACATTCCTTCACGTTGCTTTTTCCACAAATGCTATGAAGTTCTCTGGTTTAGGTCTGGACTGCGACGGCTTCTCCCAGAGTGTAACACTCCCATCCAGGGCAGAAGCAAACAGGCGCTGGGAATCATGGGTAAATATGACACTGAAAAAATATACAACATTCATGGTACTTCGTATTGAAGAAGTTTAAATTAGGTGTAAGAGTGAACAAGTGAGCTGATGTAGTACACATTTCAGTAACGTCATGTGTGGAAAACTAGTAATGGGTGGTAACCATGTGGTATACTGAACCAGGCCATTGGCAGGACCAACAAAAGCTAATAACACAAGGCCACCCCTCCACCATGGAAAACTAGTAATGGGCTTTACACAATGTAATCATGTGGTATACTGAACCAGGCCATTGGCAGGACCAACAACAGCTAATAACACAAGGCTACCCCTCCACCATGGAAAACTAGTAATGGGCTTTACACAATGTAATCATGTGGTATACTGAACCAGGCCATTGGCAGGACCAACAACAGCTAATAACACAAGGCTACCCCTCCACCATGGAAAACTAGTAATGGGCTTTACACAATGTAATCATGTGGTATACTGAACCAGGCCATTGACAGGACCAACAACAGCTAATAACACAAGGCTACCCCTCCACCATGGAAAACTAGTAATGGGCTTTACACAATGTAATCATGTGGTATACTGAACCAGGCCATTGACAGGACCAAAACAGCTAATAACACAAGGCTACCCCTCCACCATGGAAAACTAGTAATGGGCTTTACACAATGTAATCATGTGGTATACTGAACCAGGCCATTGGCAGGACCAACAAAAAGCTAATAACACAAGGCTACCCTCCACCATGGAAAACTAGTAACCATGGAAACTTTAGTACACAATGTAATCATGTGGTATACTGAACCAGGCCATTGACAGGACCAAAAACAGTTAATAACACAAGGCTACCCCTCCACCATGGAAAACTAGTAATGGGCTTTACACAATGTAACCATGTGGTATACTGAACCAGGCCACTGGCAGGACCAACAACAGCTAATAACACAAGGCTACCCCTCCACCATGGAGCAGTATTAGGATCAAACTGAGTGGTATGTATAAGATAATCTCACCTGACAACTGGCCTTGCTATGGAATGCTCATGGCTGAGATCTCGCAGGACGGTGAGGTCCCAGCTGCTCCACAACCTGATACAGATACACAGGTACTGATACATTGGTACATATATTGGGATACAAGGATACAGAGGCAGCAATACATAGGTACATATACTGGGATACAAGGATATGGAGGTACTGATACTGAGCTACTGATCCACTGATCCTGAACTACTGATTCACAGAGACAGAGCTACTGATTCACAGAGACTGAGCTACTGAGTTACAAATACTGAGCTACTGATACACAGATACTGAAATACTGATCCACAGAGACTGAGCTACTGATCTAAAGAGACAGGGCTACTGAGTTACAAATACTGAGCTACTGATCTAAAGAGACTGGGCTACTGAGTAACAAATACTGAGCTACTGATCTACAGGAACTGGGCTACTGAGTTACAAATACTGAGGTACTGATCTAAAGAGATCCACAGATACTGAGCTACTGATCCTGGGCACTGAGACAAATACTGAGGTACTGATCTAAAGAGACTGGGCTACTGAGTTACAAATACTGAGCTACTGATCTAAAGAGACTGGGCTACTGAGTTACAAATACTGAGCTACTGATCCACAGATACTGAACTACTGATCTAAAGAGACTGAGCTACTGATCTAAAGAGACTGGGCTACTGAGTTACAAATACTGAGCTACTGATCTAAAGAGACTGGGCTACTGAGTTACAAATACTGAGCTACTGATCTAAAGAGACTGGGCTACTGAGTTACAAATACTGAGCTACTGATCTAAAGAGACTGGGCTACAGAGTTACAAATACTGAGCTACTGATCTAAAGAGACTGGGCTACTGAGTTACAAATACTGAGCTACTGATCTAAAGAGACTGGGCTACTGAGTTACAAATACTGAGCTACTGATCCACAGATACTGAACTACTGATCTAAAGAGACTGAGCTACTGATCTAAAGAGACTGGGCTACTGAGTTACAAATACTGAGCTACTGATCTAAAGAGACTGGGCTACTGAGTTACAAATACTGAGCTACTGATCTAAAGAGACTGGGCTACTGAGTTACAAATACTGAGCTACTGATCTAAAGAGACTGGGCTACAGAGTTACAAATACTGAGCTACTGATCTAAAGAGACTGGGCTACTGAGTTACAAATATTGAGCTACTGATCTAAAGAGACTGGGCTACTGAGTTACAAATACTGAGCTACTGATCTGGATACTCAGCTACTGATCCACAGACTCACTGAAGCAGATACTGAGGTACATATGCTGATATACTGTACCCAGCCCTCACAGTCTGTATCCATGTTGGGAAGAAATGTTGTCCTACCTGACCACGCCTGTGCTGAGTCCGCCAGCGATGACGTTGATGGCCCGACCCTCTGGGGCACGGGAGAAAGCCAGGCAGTTGATGGTGAACTCATCACACTTTCTTGAAGCCACAAACTGACCGTTTATTGTGTGGAGCTGAAGGAAACTACCCAGAGCTGAAACACAAGCACTGGATGTAAACACATCGTCAAGAGCTGTAACACACACATCAGAGTGAGTGAGTGAGTGAGTTTAGTTTTACGCTGCTTTTAGCAATATTCCAGCAATATGACGGCAATATTACGGGGGAAACACCAGAAATGGGCTTCACGCATTGTACCCATGTGGGGAATCGAACCCGGGTCTTAGGTGTGACGAGCAAACGCTCTAACCACTAGGCTACCCCACCGCCCCCACAAACATCAGATATACATATCCATACAGTAGAGGTTGTAACACATTTATCACACAAATCCAAATACATTCATGACACTGTTTACAATATTTTCACAAATCACAAAGTTTATGAGTACCCAGAGCCTACCTTATAGTATAGGTGGTAACATTCGGTGACTTCTGTGATCATGTGTCATAGCAACTTGACAGTGTCGATTGTTGCTTGCAATATCAACCACTTGGTTGTGTGGCGAGAATATTTAAAGATCGTCTGACATTAGCAACACAGAGTGAGTGAGTGAGTGAGTGAGTGAGTTTGGTTTTATGCCGCTTTTAGCAATATTCCAGCAATATCACGGCGGGGGACACCAGAAATGAGCTTCACACAATGTACCCATGAGGGGATTCGAACCCGGGTCTTCGGCGTAACGAGCGAACGCTTTAACCACTAGACTACCCCACCGCCCAGCAACACAGAGTCTGAAGTGACCTACCCCGAGGGCTGACGCTAGCGATGTCGCCCATGGTGTCGCTGACAGCCAGAGTCTTCACACTGGCATTGTGGCTGCTGATTGACCGCACATACGACAGTCTGAAATATCAACCAGATATTCAAAATGTTTGTACCAGAAAACTATAATCTATTTCAACAGCATAAGGCTGCTATTATGTTTGAATCTAGTCTGTCAGGCAGACCCTGAAACAACTATATCAATACAGCTCATGAAATATGTGGCAAGTCTAAATTAGGTAGTTTCTTGGTACATAAGTAAGAAACTGGGCCCAATTTAATTATTTTTAAAGAAGAAATTAAAATATGTTCATATCAGAGACAAGAAGTCTAGTTGAATGCTTCAAGAATCAGAACTACCAGCATACAACCAAAATGAAATTTTTAGAGTAAAATTAATATTTTTATACTTATCCTGACTCATGTTTATTTGCTTGTCTTCTTCTTCTGGCGAACCTAGTGGAACACTTGTATCTCCCAATTGAAGCTCCCTTCAATAAAAAATCACTCACTAGTACTCACCCCGAGTTATCTCCCTTTCCGTAAGCGCGGGAAGGAGGGCGCCACCCAAGCCCATGTGCCTCACTCTCTCCTTTTTTGTTTTGAGCCCAACACTTTATTTTGTCCTGAGAAATCCAAAGTGTTAAGTGGGGAGGACGGGAGGGCTTAATTTTACTCTAAAAATTTCATATTTTTTCTTATCCTGACTCATGTTTATTTGCTTGTAGAATCCTACGGAATAGGAGGTGGGATTATATATACTTTGGATTTTACTAATTAGTGATTTGAACTGAGATGATTGTAATAACCCTAAGGGAACTTCATGAAGGCACTGAACTGAATTCCTGCTGTTAAATTAACAGCTGCCTTTAAATAGGTTATTACAATTTACTGAATAAAAGTATATAGAACATTAATTAAGCTAAAGCCATTAATGTGGTAGTATAAACTGTTGATAGTTTATAATGAATACTTTTATAAGAACCAAAGTAGTAAGCTTACAATATGCATATATATAAGCTATAACATAACTGTGCCTAAGGTATAATGATAACTTAAGCTGTATAATAGTAACCAACTACTGAGAGTTTGTTAACTAATACATGTTATGAAATGAACATATGATAGAGCTTAAGGATTAACTTAAGCTGAACATATATATAATAGTAAAACTCGTAAGAGTTGTAAGTATATATATATTATGATATAGAATCATAGTACTGAGCTTAAGATAATATGTTAACTTAAAGAACCACTAAACTTTGTTTTTTGTTACTCTTTTAACCATTACATATGAAAGATTTGTGGTTAGTCTTATGCGGAACACCAAATTTATTCTTTAAAAACTTGTGGTTAATTAATAGCGAGCGATTAAAAGTGGCCAAAAAGTCGCCTGCTTCCCTCTCGCCCGCGAACGAAACCACAGACAGGTTACGTAACTCTGTCGCCAGAGCACTGCAGTGACGTCATATGAGGAACGATTTTCAGTTAGTTGTATAGAAAGTGTGTAGCACGCTCATCATTTTGTTGATTTCTCGACATGAACGACGACATGCCGAATCGTTGCTTTGTCGTCAATTGCCCCTAGGGTCGGGTGATGGTGTCACCATGCACAGATTTCCACAGGACCCCGCAGTTCGTGCTAAAAATGGGTTATGTTTGTGAGTGCGAAGCGAGCGTTGTGGAAGCCTGAAACGATATCTTACTTGTGTTCAGATCGCTTCACGGAAGTTAAAGAATCAAAACTACTTACTAGTTATAGTAAAATATGTATATGATTGATGACCATAAAGATTTTCCATAACACAACTTGTAACATAACGATTTCTTCCTCGGAAGTGAGGTTGTGGTCGAAGTAACAATAATATTGTAAGTAGTATTATATTGACACCCACCTCGCTGCCAGGAGAGAAATTGTTATGTTATACGCTATGTCATGCAAACTCCTATTGGCCATCAATAAAATACATATTTTACTACCAGTAGAAAGTAGTTTTGATTTTGTAACTCGGTGAAAACAAACCTAAATAGCATTTATCCACAGACTTGCGGATGTTCCCGACAGGGCGCCGCCATTTTTGAAAATCGTAAAGTCTGTTAGAATTAATGAGATTATAGTTTGTTTTCATCAAGTTAGCAAATCAAAACTTCTTTCTACTCGTAATTAAATATGTATTGGAATCATAACCAAAAGGATTTTGCATGACACAACTCATAACATAACGATTTCTTCCACGGAAGCGAGGTGGGGGTCGAAGTCACAATACTGCGCGATAACTTTCTTGCTACATTCCCATGGTTAATGTCCACTCACCAGTATGTAGATACTAGTCAATGTGCGTCTTTATATTTGGTCTTATAACCCTAATTAAATACTTGTATGCATTTTGAAACTAAATAAAAAGCAGACGATCTGCTGAATACTTATAGTGAATTTATAACAGAACTGTAATATCTAGACATTTTATAGTTTGCCAATGTGAATCATAATTTGCACACACCCCCCTAGTGCATGTTGTCTGTCTCATTACACTTCACGGCGAAAACAATGATTCTGTTGATATGCTACGACAAATGAATAAAAACAAAATGCAAATATTAAAATTAAAACAGATTAAACTTATAGGAACAATATCAGGCCATTACCTTGTTCGAGGAATGTATCCATCAATATCAACAAAACTGTTCCAAATGATGTGCCTTTAAACAGTTTAATATACGAAAAAGTGATAAATCTTTTCAGGTATTGGTGTATAGTCTCATTGGTCACCCAAGATAGCACACCTGGCAACTAATTGCATAATGTCCGCCTTTCTTTAAAAACAGTAATTTAGTTAGCCAATAATGGGCAATCAATCAATGTATTGCCGGTTAATCCTTTGAAAGAAGGACGTTGTTTTTACGCAGACACCGACACGACAGAGTGTATTCAGTATAGATTAGTAAATCTACTACTTACATAAACACTACCTTTGACAATTCCGCTGTGTAAGATAAAAGTAATTAATCAATCAGCGTGTTATCGGTTAATCCTTTGATCGATGTTTATAATGTTGAATATTTACTCCAGACACAAGAAATGCCAAATGGGAACCTTTGTCGGGTAATCTAAGTGTGTTACCACTAATTATACCTGTTATAAATTCATTAACTGACCATCAAGTGAATGATGACAAATAACATATGTAGGTATATACCACCTAACACGGGTTACAACAAGGGAGTATTAATTGCTGTATTGCATGTGAAAACTTATGGGCCGACACTGTTTTGAGAATACAAACAGATTTTTACATGACATGATTAAATATCGAGGTAAAAAAACACAGAAATGGGATCAATTTGAATCAGTCATTATACAAATATGGCCTAACGACACCAATCGATTTTGACAGAATCGCCTATGAAAACAAGTTGTAACTCGAAACTAGGCAAAGCAGGAGACAAAACTAAATGACAGTAGATTGTGAGAACATATAGCTTTCATTTTCCACAACAATTGTCACGATTTCAGGTTTATACAAGCCTGTAAACAAGATAATTTAAGCCCTAAAATGTAGATGAATTCTGCATCGGCCCTCAAAGCTATTCCTCATATGACGTCACAGATGCGCGCCGCTCTGATTGGTTGAAATTTTGTTCGCGGGTGAGAATTGTGCACTGTTGTCAAAAAGGTCGATTTAAGTCAATTAAAGGTCGAAATGAGTAGTTTTAATGACGGGGTTTCATTTATAACGATGCCAGTTAGTGATTTATGTATTTTTACCCCCTAGGGTTTATGTGACCTTTAAGCAAATATATATATAGATAGCATACAGCTATTAGTAGTGTTATCAGATAAGTATAAAATCAGCAAGATAGACTTATCTTCTCCGTGGAACTGTCAACTGTTGAGCGAGGACCATGGGACCGAAATGGTGGATACCTGAGATGTCCTTGGTGGTGATATCTCTCAGATAATGGTTTGCAAACACCATCTCGGACCTCCCAAAACATCCCTCCATAATGGTATTCAAAGAACAATTTCCATGTAAAGCCAAAGTTGAGGCTAGTGCTCTAATTTCGTGGGGATTAGCAGCACTTGGAGGGTTCAGTCCAGCTGCCTTGTAGGCTTTTAGTATGACAGTTCTGATCCAAATAGAAATGGTAGTGCGCGACACTTCTGTCTGTGAAGCGGTAGATATAGGGATAAACAATCTTTTGAATTTCCCTCTACTCTGCTTGGATCTTTGGAGATATATTTTCAGTGCACGTACAGGGCAAAGTGATAAGTCCATCGTATCCCTGCGGCCCAAGTATGGATGAGAGAGCTGGGACATGGAACAACCTGTCTGGTTGACCTGGTAGTTGATTTTTAAGCTATAAAATCCCAGCCAGAAGTCCCAGATGAGCGATGTTGTGAATATCATCAAATCGTGTTCTCTCATAGTCCAAAGCGTGAATTTCCGACATTCTGGCAGCAGTGGCTAACGCTAGCAGGAATAAGGTTTTGTGGGTCAATGATTCATATGACGCAGATAACAATGGTTAAGTAAGCCTCACTTGTGAGGTGTTGAAGTATCACATTTAGATCCCAGGCTGGCGCTTGAAACTTCCGTTTCTGATCTTCCAATCGGAAGGCGTAGCAAAGGCGAAGTAACTCCGTGTTCTGGTCAGTTTGGCGCCCGTTCTCATAGTAATGACTGAGCTTATGGCTGTAAGATAAGTGGACAGTGTAGATCCTTTGAGATTCTTAGTTTGACGTAGGAAACATAAGAAATCTGCCACTTGAGGATGTGTAGCAAATCTGGCTGAAAATCCTTTCTTAGCCGCATAATTGACAAATCTGAGCCATTTATCATCGTATATAATTACGAGTGGAGTTACGTAGTGCAAAGCGTGACCGCCTTAGCCGCTCTGTTGGAATAACCTCTCTTATTCAAACACCTTGATACAATCCACACGTGAAGTCGGAATGCTTCTGGTGTTTTGTGCACTTGTTTGGTGTGTGGATGTATCAGTAGATTGGAGCGCAGTGGGAGCTGAAGTACTGGTTTTCCGATTCTTCGTGTATGAGGTCTGGAAACCACGTTCGCGCTGGCCAGTAAAGCGAGACCAAAATCAGATCGAGGCTCTTCGTTTGACTGATTTTTAGCAAGACTTGTGGGATCAACGCAGGAGGCAGGAAAGTGTACGCGTTTAGTCCCTCCCACGATATGCTTAGTGCGTCTGTTGCCCATGCTAGTGGGTCTGGTACTGGCGATACGAAGGTTGTCAGTTGATTGTTGAATCGGGTGGCAAATAGATCTATCAGAGGAGATCCTATTTCCATGATTATCTGATTGAATATTTCTGTGTGGAGCATCCATTCTGTCGGCGATGGTTGGTGTGGCCGAGACAGAGCGTCTGCTAACACATTCTTTGCTCCTGGAATGTGGCAGGCTTTGATACGTATGTTTAGACTGTCGACTAGATCGAACAGTTTGAAACATCGAGTGAGTAGATTCAGTGATCTTGTTGACCCTTGTTTGTTCACATAGAACGCCACTGTGGAGTTGTCTGTATGAATCATTAACTGAGCGTTCTGTAATAGGTTGCTCCAGTGATCTATGGCGTTTATGGCTGCTTGCATCTCTAGCAGATTTATGTGACATAAGCTCTCCTGAATGCTCCATAAGCCTGGCTGTCCTGCGGAAAGGTGGGCTCCCAACCTTTTAGTGACGCATCCACGTAAAGATGTGTTTCCGATTCCGCTCTAGTAAGGAGACGCCTGCGCGCGAGACATTCAATCTCTTGGTCCACCAGAGTAGATGTGGTTTGACGTAATCTGGTAGACTGAACGGTAGAGAGTCCTCGAGATGGGCATTGATGAGGACTTGTAATGGACGCAATTGGAGCCTGCCTCTGAGTGTCAAGTCTTGAGCCGATGTGAGTAGTCCCAGTAGACTCTGCCACTGTCGTAGTGGTAACGGAGAGAGTAGGGCTTGGGGGATCAGTTGTTGTATCTTGATCCATCTGTCCTCCGGGACTATCATACGGTTCTGAGCTGTAAGGAATCGTATACCTAGAAACTGCAGATCTTGCGTGGGCTCTAGGTCCGACTTGAGTAGATTTACTAACCAGCCTAACTGCGTTAGTAGCTTGATTGTAAATTCCAGCTGTAGTCTGAGACGCTGTGGATGTGGATCCACCTGTATGCCGTCGTCTAGGTAAAATGCACTCCGCAGGCCTTGACGATGTAGATATGAGACCATAGGCTTGGTTATTCTTGTGAATATCCATGGGGCCGAAGTGATTCCGAAGGGAAGTACTTTCCATTGGTAGTGTATGCCGTCTAGCATGAATCTCAGATATTTCCTTGAACTGGGATGAATCGGAATGTGTAGGTATGCATCCTGCAGATCTATACTTACCATGTAATCTAGTGGACGAATTAGATGACGAAGTTGAGGTAAATGTATCATGCGAAACGCTGGTGGTTTGCATAGAAATTCTCTGTTGAATATGCTCATGTTGTATATTAGACGATACTTCTCTTTGGAATTCTTTTTCGGCACTAGGAAGACTGGGGAGTAGAAACCTGGTATGATGTTTTGCTGATCGAGAACTTCTAAGGCCTGTTTGTTTAGTAGAGACTGTACTGTTTCTCTTAACATGGGTAGTAATGCCAGTTGAACGTTGAACCCTGGTGGGTTGACTGTTAACGGTGGCTTGGCCTTGAGTTGTAGACGATATCCGTATCGAAGGATGTTGGATACGTACGGGTCTTGAAGTATCTCCCAGTTTTCCCAGTGAAGTTGTAGTCGTCCACCCACTTGAGACGGTTGTACTGGGACGACTGGGGGTGGAAGACTCCAGTCGTTCCGAACCTGACTTTCATCGTTTAAATCCACGGCCACCTCTGGATGATCTGCCTCTAGCTGATCCTCCTCTGAACTTGTTGTAGGGGCGACGAAAAGAATCCTTGGGATTATTAGCGGCCGCTAATTTCTTATCCCGTGCTCTCTGTAGCCCTGAGAATTTAGCCTTACCCGAGTACCTCTGTGCTGAATGTTTGAAGACGTTGGCTAACGTATCCATAGATCTAATCATCAGTACTTCTCTAGAATCTTTAGATACTTCCTTGGAGACCTTGTTAATGTTGCCACCAAACAGTAAAGGTGAAGACCATGGAGCTGTGTACAGGGGCTCTGTGAATTGATTATTCCAAGAGCATGAGGCTAGTAATCCTTGCCGACGTGTCATGGTAGTAGTTTCAGTAAGAGCTGAAAGATGGTCTGTAAGGAATTGTTGATCTTTCTTCTGCATAAGTAGAGCTGAATAGATCATCCTGTCCTCCTCATCCGTAGAGTTCTTGAACTTGGTGATGAGAGTTTCGTTAATAGTCCTAGATCTATTAAGTCCGAAGAACATTCTTCTGGCAATGGTATCTAACTGGGCTATCTTACGATCGTCAATCCTATAACTTCTGGACTTGGAATCACTGATAATCTTGAAGTTTTCATCAATCTCCTGAGTCTTGAAAAAAGGCTCCATATTATGTCCATAAAAATGCTTGGCATTGAAGATCGGTAAGTGAGGAAGATGGGATTTAGTAGATTTGGAGAAAGTTGTATCCAGTTTAGCAGGAACGGCTGCGATAGGATCCACAGGAGGTATGGTGATATGATCTACGTCATCATCTTTCATCAGGTAAGTTTGGGCTGTATCCTCGTTCTTGGAGGGAGAGGCCAGCTGTAATTCATTTACCATCCAATACCTTATCTCAGCCTCTGAGAAAATAATACCATCGTCTTCCTCTGACGTATGGTCGTATGTCGGAGACCTCGATCTGTAAGAAGATCTATGTGAGGACTGAGGAGAACGGACTGACGAGTGGCTAGTGTATGCAGATCTTGGAGACGACATCCTTCGCGGAGACTGTGGGCTACGCGAACGTTGATGGCTTCGCCGACGCTCTGGGCTTCTCGAACGTTGAGGGCTGCGCGAACGTCTTGTAGGCGTTGTAGAACCACTTAGCCTTCGCGTCTTGCGCGAATGTCTGGAGTCAGTGTCCGCTCCGACATATGAGTGCTTGCTTTGCGAACGCCCTTCGTACATGACAAGGTGCGTGCTAGGCGAAGCACTCCTTCTCCGCGAAGCCTCTTGCAAAGGGTCAGACTCTAGCTCCTTCCCGGAGGCGGCCTGGGATACCTTGTGCAAAGAGCTCACTCCGGGCAGGGTTGCCCTTCGCGGAGGCGCGTCTATGGGCTCAGGGGCCCTACGCGAAGTCAAGGCGGGCTCTGGGGCCCTGTATGACTTAGTATGGGGTGGGCTCTGGGGCCCGTGGCTCTGAGGCCTCTGTAAGCCGTAGCGGTCTTCCATCATTCTCATAATGTGGTTGATCAAGTCATCTGGGACGTTCTGCGTTGATGAGGGATGTCTCTCTGCAGAGGTGACGGGACCCTCAGATAAATGTATTGGTGATAGCGTCGGCATCTCGGTTGTGTGTTCGTCTGCGCTGAGGTGATAGTCGCAGAAACGGGCCGTTTCTTGTGACGAACTTCTGGAATGATAATAGGCATATCATCATCATATAATGCTAATTCTGTAACTGGTAAGATATCAGAGGCAAATTTATTAGATTTAGTTGACTTCCCTTTAGATGGCGGTGTAGATCTTGGAGTGCATGAGAGTGCGAGATGATATGGCTGGTTTCCTCGACTTGGACTGAGGCGGCGGCAGCTCTTGAGATGCAGGTAAACTTCTTGGACATAGCGGACTGCGTCCCCACGCTTATCCTCGAGGGAAACTCAGGCATGCCACCAGCCGGTGACGAGTCCTCAGTCAACAGTTGACATGAAACATTAATTTGCGATCTATTAGCCATGTTTGAAATCTGTTTACGAGATTTATCTGCCTTCCGTCTGTAAACGGAACATAAATATTTGTCAAAGGCAGAGATAGGTAAATTGCTACACAATTTACAACGAGAATCAAAGGAACATGGAGTAATGCAACTAGGGCATTTTAAATGAGGATCGGTATCAGAGTAACGTAGTTTACAATCTGTGCAAATTTTCATTAATGTAGCCTACTGAACAATCACGGCAAAGCGTGAATAAACAGCAGAAACACAATTAATAATCAATGCAAATTGAATAAATATACTAGCACTACCTCTATACTAGCGTATAAGAGGAACTAAACTAGATTTAAATAAAGGATATATGTGTTGGGAGACACAGGTGCTCTCACGTCCAGCTCACTGGGCGAAGAAGGAGAGAGTGAGGCACATGGGCTTGGGTGGCGCCCTCCTTCCCGCGCTTACGGAAAGGGAGATAACTCGGGGTGAGTACTAATGAGTGATTTTTTATTGAAGGGAGCTTCAATTGGGAGATACAAGTGTTCCACTAGGTTCGCCAGAAGAAGAAGACAAGCAAATAAACATGAGTCAGGATAAGAAAAAATATGTAATTTTTCAAGTAAAAGGGAGGAAACTCGTGGGTGAGTGTATTTTTACGTCCGCTTCGGGAACTTCAAGGGATTCAAGTGTCGCAAAGGAAAGGGAGATAAGCAAAAGATCATGAGTCAGGATAAGAAAAAATTATGATATAGGGAGTTAACTCCCCATATTGTTGTAAGGGAGGTAACTCTCAATACAGACCTGTTGAGATCCCAGATGATGCAGGTTCCGTCTTCACTCCCACTGACAAGCACACTGTAGGACTTACACACACACAACACATTGATCGGACCGGAGTGGCCATACAGTGCTGTCCGTGTATTAAACACCTGGAGATTGCTGGCCTGAAAGGTAAACTTTGTCTGTGAGATCGGGGTATGATTGTACACATGATGAAAATGACAAAAATCTCATCTGAGAGACAGCTGTGCTCTAGTAATATGTAAAATACATATTTTGTTTATTGGTAAGGTATGATATCCTATTTTGAATCAATTTAATACACTGAATGGTATTGTATGTGAACTTCTTACAGTTCCAATTTTTGTAACAATGACCTAAAATATGGAGGTTGTAACGAATGATATGCCGTAAGAACATTTAGTTTGTTCGGTTGCCGCATTATTTCAGCAATATGAGAGTTCTAACAATCAAGTTATACTTGGGGCAGACAATCCTGTGACTGATGTCAAGGACATTTATCTACACAATTTGGTCATGACGACACACATCACCCAATTCAGCAAGCCTGACCACCAAATGTAGTCAGCTTCCTCTTACGATCAGCTAGTGACCCATTATGTGTACAAGTCTCCGCCTGTGCACCAATCTCCCCGTGTCTGCCCACTCACCTTGGCCCGGTTGTAGGTCACATGGTACACATTGACAATACCAGCAGACCCAGCGGTGAACAGCAGACGACAGTCCGGCACAGACGCACAGCAAGATATCTAGCAGAACAAAAAACAGAAGTGCAGAATGTACAGCTGTCTTCTCCTTAACAATAATATCCAAACCTGGACACAATTTCTGCTCTCAACCATCCTCACAGTTTGACATATCCCTGCATGGTTCATGTCGTTTAACTCATTCACTCACTATACAAAAAAAGTAATTTCTCTAAAGATCTAATCCTAAATTCAAGTATTTGTCCAAACAGTATAGCTAACTTCAATGTTTATACCCATACAAGTAGATACATTGTTTAACTCTAAACGAATTGGTGTTTTAAAAGAATATGTACTTTTCGTAATATCATCATGAAAACCATCCTGGGCCCTGTTTCACAAAGCTCTCGTAGGCCTAAGGTCTCGTAACTTTTCTCGTTGCATTCGTACCTCCAATACTGTAACATAGGGAGTATGAATGCTACGAGAAAAGTTACGAGATCTTAGGCTTATGAGAGCTTTGTGAAACGGGTCCCTGACATCCTATGTACTCTTAACTATATATTTGTACCTCTTATGCCGACATTCATGAAGAATGAACTTAGTCCTAAGATGCACTAACATACAGAGGGACACATCTACACACAGCCTACAACCCCGGAGCACCCACCTCGTCATAGGGGGTTTTCTGGGAGGAAGTTGACCATGGGTCGGTTGAACTGGTTCCTGACCCGCAGGATCCGGTCTGTGTGGCCCCAGCTGACGATGGCCGCCCACATGACGTCCGTGGAGTTCACCACAAGGTCAGCTGAAAACAGCCGTCAGGGCATGTACAATCACGTTCTGTATATATCTCGTATCTTGGTCAGAATGTATATGTGTATTATTAATGTTTTCATTCATTACTGACAGAGTATGGGCTAGGGGAAGATTAGAGGTTAAAGCATTTGGCCATCACGCCGAAGACCCGGGTTTGATTCCTGACATGGGTACAATGTGTGAAGCCCATTTCTGGTGTTCCCACTGTGATATTGCTGGAATGTTGCTAAGAGTGGTGTTAATCTAAACTCACTCACTCACCCTTGACAGAGTAACTATTGTAAAGTAGAAGAGCCATGTGTCTTAAGTTGTTTTGAGTAGTATAAGTGAGGTGAATCAGAATCTGCCCAGGACCCCCTGGTTAATGATAAGCGGTGTTTCTGGATGTCAGTCATTGATTGCACTCTATTGTCACAACCAGCTGTGAGGAACATGTGACACTGATGGTGTCAGCGTACAACATCCCACCATGGAGATTGTCAGCTCACCCCTGTCTTTAGCATGGAGAACCAGGGCGCAGGAGTTGGCCTCCAGCCCAAACACATAGCCTGTGGGTAGAGGGACCAGGGTGGTGATGACGACCGGGTACACCTTCCTCCACACCGTCACTGGCGTACCACCCTCAGGGGAACCCACAAAGTTGCCCCACCGCAGACCGTTGATGTTGGAGATTGGACGGCGCTGCAATAGGAGGGGATTACATGATCAGATTTAGGATATCAAATGTTATCTCAACTGTTGGTGACCTTACAAAGGGAGAGCATGCACTTCCATGCATGTTTATAATGATATATATGTATACATATGAACAACAGTATGACAGACAAGCATAATGAGGGCAATGCTAAACATATTAGCTGTCATTAGTTTCACAGCAAAGAGAAAAATGAAAGTAGAATTGTTACATGAACAGTGAAAAGGGGCATGGTGGGTTTACAAAGGGTATAAGGTGGTGAACGGGTGGTGTTTGGTGGGGTGTTTAGTGGGGTATTTGGGTGGTGGTGGAGATGGGTGTTTGGTGGGGTGTTTAGTGGGGTATTATGGTGGTGGGTGGTGGTGGTGGAGACGGGTGTTTGGTGGGGTGTTTAGTGGGGTATTATGGTGGTGGGTGGTGGTGGTGGTGGTGGAGACGGGTGTATTATGGTGGTGGTGTTTAGTGGGGTAGGAGCGGGTTATGGTGTTTAGTGGGGTGGTGGTGGTGGTGGTGGTGGTGGAGACGGGTATGTTTAGTGGGGTATTATGGTGGTGGGTGGTGGTGGTGGAGACGGCTATTTGGAGGGGTGTTTAGTGGGGTATTATGGTGGGTGGTGGTGGTGGTGGTGGAGACGGGTGTTTGGTGGGGGGTGAGTGTAGTGAGTATTCAGGGAGGATAAGACAGTAAAGGGTTGATGTATGGTCGGGTGTGCATTGGATGTTTGTGGGAGTGTATGGTAGGTGTTAAGATTCTGTACAACTGGTGAAGGGTTGGTGTGTCATGTGGTTGTCATTCAGCCGGTTGTATGGTTGGTGAAGGGTTGATGGGGCATATGGTAGATATTTGGTTGGATGTATGGTGATTGTTTGGTGGAGTATGATGGGTGTGGATGGTATGGTAGGTAAATGGTGTGTTATTTCATAGGGTGTGGGCACAAGGGGTGCAAGTTTATACAGGTGGAATCAATTCAAGAACTAAGTCCTAACAAACGCACACACGCACACATGCACACACACACAAGCATGACCTGCCTTACATGTCTTCAGTAGAATGAATCACATGATCACTCAGACAATCCAATTCCAGTTTACATGAATTACTTCTCCATCACTAAACCAATGTCTGTAATTTTTGTGTCAATCAACCTGTTGGGCTGTTCCAGGAGTCTTTGTCATTTTTACTGAGTCATTTTGGTTTAACGCCATGTTTGCATGAAGTTAAGAATCTTCATTGTTTGATGTTGAGAGTCCCTTCCAAGGTCGATGTACATGTCTTGGTTCGGGACACAGGAGGGTTGATGATGAAGGAGCAGGATAAGCTACCTACTGCATCAGGAGCCGATTATCTACAAACCTTAGTGAGCTAGTTCTCCAAAATGTTAGTGCACATCAACATCAAGCTGGGCGGCATGCTCTAAGGGAGATAACTTACAATATAAGACAGACGCTTTACCTCCCGACCAGCAAGGTGAGGGTCAGACAACAGGGGCGTGGCAGGCGGGGTCCCTGTCACCATACCCTGGCGGTGTGGGGTGCGGAACAGCTGTTTGGGGGTCTGGCCGTACGTCTTGATCATTGTGAGCACTGCCTGGCGTTTCAGAGGATCAGTGATATCGCTCAGGTCCACTCCGAAGTAAGTCTACACAGTTCAAAGAGAAGCATTTGTTCAAGCAGTGATTATAAGCATGTATCATATCAATGTGGTAAAGGTATAAAAGTGAGAAGAATTTGTATGATTACATCATAGTGAGTGAGTATGGTTTTATGACGCTTTTAGCAATATTCCAGCAATATCATGGCAAGGGACACCAGAAATGGGCTTCACACATTGTACACATGTGGAGAATCAAACCCGGGACTGCAGCATGACAAACGGATGCTTTAACCATTAGGCTACCCCACCGCCCCTAATTATATCGTCATTGAATCATATATTATTATCATACAGGAAGTACAACAAGTCAGTGCTCTTAAACTATTCAGTTTGTAAATATGCAGTAATTAAAAAGGTTCACCATTACAATCATGCAAGCGAGTCATTGAGTTGAGTTATACTGCCAGTATTACTCCAGTTATATCATGACATGTCAACTTTTTGTGGGACTGATTGACTGACTGAGTTTGGTTTTACGCTGCTTTTAGCAATATTCCAGCAATATCACGGCAGGGGACACCAGAAATGGGCTTCACTCATTGTACCCATGTGGGGATTCGAACCCAGGTCTTCGATAGGCGCCCGACGACAAGCAACGCTTTAACCACTAGGCTACCCCACCGCCCTTTTGTGGGAGGAAAGCTCAGAGTGATTCCGATGTTTACCACTTTCATAGATCACACAAGCTGAAGGACAGTGCTGACAAACACTGAAACATGGTCGAGGCAAACCAGGATTCGAACCCACAACCACACGATCAGATTCCTATTGCAACAGGACCACCTCCAACAAATATTCCAGTGTTAGAATAGAACTTACTGATGGGTGGAAGACATTGATGGCTTTGATAGACTCCTCTCCCATCTGCTTGTAGCCGAACACCAGGTCGATCCACTGATGGATGTGGCGGGTGACGTGTGGTGACTCCAGGGCTTGGCGGAGCACCATCACAAACAGGCGTGAATCACCTCGTGCCCAGGGTGGCAAGGTCACATCCCACACCACGTTCCCATTCTGGCTCTTGCCGAAATTGTAACCGAAATTGTAACCTAAAGGAAAAACTAAAGTGTCAACGTCTGGAATGAAAATAGAGAAAGAACAGTAATGTGCAATGTTGAAGCACACATCAGTTTGCAGAGTATGTCTTCACTGATAAACAATAACAGGGTAGGCATAGAGTAATACTGTGTGGTACAGACTCTCCAGGGTAAGCATAGAGTAATACTGTGTGGTACAGACTCTCCAGGGTAAGCAGAGAGTAATACTGTGTGGTACAGACTCCTGTGGTCAGCATAGAGTAATACTGTGTGGTACAGACTCTCCTGGGTCAGCATAGAGTAATACTGTGTGGTACAGACTCTCCAGGGTCAGCATAGAGTAATACTGTGTGGTACAGACTCTCCTGGGTCAGCATAGAGTAATACTGTGTGGTACAGACTCTCCTGGGTAAGCATAGAGTAATACTGTGTGGTACAGACTCTCCTGGGTAAGCATAGAGTAATACTGTGTGGGGTATAGAGTAATACAGTGAGTAATACTGTGTGGTACAGACTCTCCTGGGTACAGAGCATAGAGTAATACTGTGTGTGGTACAGACTCTCCTGGGTAAGCATATAATACTGTGTGGGGGTAAGCAGAGTAATACTGTGTGGTACAGACTCTCCTGGGTAAGCATAGAGTAATACTGTGTGGTACAGACTCTCCTGGGTCAGCATAGAGTAATACAGACTCTCCAGGGTCAGCATAGGTGGTAATACTGTGGTACAGACTCTCCTGGGTACAGACTCTCCTGGGTAAGCATAGAGTAATACTGTGTGGTACAGACTCTCCTGGGTAAGCATAGAGTAATACTGTGTGGTACAGACTCTCCTGGGTCAGCATAGAGTAATACTGTGTGGTACAGACTCTCCTGGGTAAGCATAGAGTAATACTGTGTGGTACAGACTCTCCTGGGTCAGCATAGAGTAATACTGTGTGGTACAGACTCTCCTGGGTAAGCATAGAGTAATACTGTGTGGTACAGACTCTCCTGGGAAGAAGGTGAAAATATCGTCTGGCACAACAGTCAGAAACATTATAGCTGTTGTAGGGAATTCAGTCATTGAATAGAAGGCGTCACTTTCTGACAGGGTTAACCTCTATGTTTATGCATCTCACAAACAAAAAATGACATCAGACCCCGATTTCTCGAAACAAACTTAAGTTTTTACTCAAATTTCAAACTGAGTTGACAATTTGAAACAGCTGAATTTTAACTCAGCTGCATTTTTAAATAAAAAAAGACCAAACAACTTCAGTATTCTATTCACCAAACTTAAATTATCTACTATGTTTGAATTAAATATCGATTTCAGCTCATTCTGGGAAATGGGTTTTCTCAAATTTGAGTAAAAACTCTAACTTAAGTCAAAACTCAGACTTAAGTTTGTTTCGAGAAATCGGGGCCTGGACCAGGTGAACCTAGGTTGACAGCATGAACAATTAACAGTGTTACTTTGAAATGATGACACAAAGTAGGCCATATCATTGTTACCACCTAATCCTATCTTAATCAGCTCACATCACCAACAGCAAGGGTTAAGGAACTCTTCTACCCATTACTTTTCATTGAATAATTAACTTCCCAAATTTGACTTCCTCCTCTGCAAACTACACACTTCTAACAGAACATATAACATGGAACTGTCAACAGAGTTCTCCCCAAAGGACACGACCAACACAAAATCAGTGAGTTGGTATTAATGCCAGTTGAAACACTCTTTCAGTTACATCATGACAACTCCAAGTGATGCAGGTATGAGACACCCTCGAGTTTGGTGAAACGTTCTCACAGTTATGATGCTGACGAATCTGGTAACATGAACAGGGTGCCATGGAAACAAATAATACTGAACATTGTACAGCGTCATACCTTCTCCATTCTTGAGGAATTCTGGGAGGAAGTAGAACTCTGGGATCAGTTCCTTCACGTCCGATGTTGACTCAAAGCTGGACAGTCGCCATGATGTTGCTATACTATGGAATGTTCGGTCCGGGATATCAAAGTTCCTGTCTATTAACATAACACAGACATTTATTAAGATGATGCTAGACATGCATAGAAGAAGAGTGACATTGAAAAAGTCAACCACTATGCAGGAAAATTCCGAGAACACAAAATGATCTTGAAGGACATGCCTTGATATGAAAGGAACATCTTTGTAAAGGGAGGTAATCTGACAAGGTAGTGGAGCACAGTGCCGCTGTTGGAGTAGTGGCTGCCGTAGTGGTATGGTCGTATGCGGATGTAGTCGTTTGAGCTTGATGGCTTCTCAAATTCTTGACGTAGGAACTGCAAACAGAAATATGTTGCCGCATTTTGTATTTCATAAAAACAATTCAAAGATTGAAAGTATGCTATGGTATGAAAGCAGCAACATCTATAGTCTGTTGATATTTACCATCTCCATACATCTCAACCAAACAGACCTGGGAAACCAACGACAAATCTTGTGTTCTCACCTCATAGTTCTCTTTGTATTTGAGTTCTCTTCCCTTGACTTGCACAGCAATTGGTTTGGCCAGATCCCTGAAACGAACGTAAAATGTTCATACTTAAAGGGTTTGACAATGGACCTGTCTACACAAGAAGGTTTGGCCATGGATCTGTTAACAGAGTAAAGGTTTGGTGATGGATCTGTTTGGCCATGGATCTGTTTACAGAGTAAAGGTTTGGCCATGGATCTGTTTACAGAGTAAAGGTTTGGTGATGGATCTGTTTGGCCATGGATCTGTTTACAGAGTAAAGGTTTGGTGATGGATCTGTTTGGCCATGGGGATCTGTTTACAGAGTAAGGTTTGGCCATGGATCTGTTTACAGAGTAAAGGTTTGGCCATGGATCTGTTTACTGAGTAAAGGTTTGGCCATGGATCTGTTTACAGAGTAAAGGTTTGGTGATGGATCTGTTTACAGAGTAAAGGTTTGGTGATGGATCTGTTTACAGAGTAAGGTTTGGTGATGGATCTGTTTACAGAGTAAGGTTTGGTGATGGATCTGTTTACAGAGTAAGGTTTGGTGATGGATCTGTTTACAGAGTAAAGGTTTGATGATGGATCTGTTTACAGAGTAAGGTTTGGCCATGGATCTGTTTACAGAGTAAAGGTTTGGTGATGGATCTGTTTACAGAGTAAAGGTTTGGTGATGGATCTGTTTACAGAGTAAAGGTTTGTTTGGCCATGGATCTGTTTACAGAGTATGGTTTGGCCATGGATCTGTTTACAGAGTAAGGTTTGGTGATGGATCTGTTTACAGAGTAAAGGTTTGGTGATGGATCTGTTTACAGAGTAAGGTTTGGCCATGGATCTGTTTACAGAGTAAAGGTTTGGCCATGGATCTGTTTACAGAGTAAAGGTTTGGCCATGGATCTGTTTACAGAGTAAGGTTTGGTGTATGGATGGGTGATGGATCTGTTTGACCATGAACCTGTCTATACACAGCTCCTGGATTGGACAGAACTCAGAACAAACATAGACAAGTCTAACACAGTTATATTGGTCCCTTTCAGTGGATATTCTCTCAGATGTTACCTGTAGACTTCATTATCATCCAGATTGAGCTCATCACTCTCATAGTCCTTGAGGATGAACGGGAAGATCGGGTACTGCATGAGGTCGTTGAAGGAGCGGCCAGATATCTTGTTGAGGTAGGTGAGGTAGTCGGAGTTGGTGAGGATTCCGTCCAGCCACAGACGCTGCACTGCGGCCAGGTTCTCCGAGGGGGGCAGGAGGTTGGGCAGCTCGACGGACTGGAGGAGGTGCTGGTACAACTCATCCCGGATCTGACAATAGATGTAGACACTCATCAACTTGGAAGTACACTGACCTACTAGGATCAACAGTCACGAACTGTAGAACTGTCTCATGCACCTACCTTGGTAGTTTTGAAAGCCAACAGGAATGTCCGGCCATTTGTAAGGAAGATCTCGAGACCCACATCATTAAGCTGAAACCACCGCTTGTGCAGCTCCTTGATGTCTGCGTGAGGCCATGTCATAGAAAGTTGCTCTTGGTTACCTAGCAACACCTGTTGGGATGTAAGAAGGAATCTGTCCACATGATGTGTAATAATCAAACCTGGTGAATCTTGTAGATGATGCGAATAATACACCCTCTTATATATCCTATGGTTGGCAGAAGTGGTAAGAAACATAATGTACGATCATGGCCAGTAAGTAACATACTGTAGCAAAATGTAAGTAACATATTGTAGCTCCACGAGCCACTAAGTAACAGACTGTAGCACAATGGGCCAGTACATAACACAATGTAACACAATTAACCTAATCACTGAATGAATAAATACTCTAAATTAATTGATCAAGCAAAATGCTTTCATGATCTTTATCAAATGAAAAGATGTAATGAAAGGAAAGGTATCAACATCTATGTTGAGCATTCATTAACTCCACATCCATTAACATTAACATCTGATGATATAACTTTCAATACAATCTGTATCATCAAAGCAGTTATATGACTCTTTATATTTATAAGGATAGCATTAAAATCAGTCAAGACCTACCTGTGTGTAGTTGGCATCTGTGATAGCCTCATCCGCCACAAAGAAGATGGACATCTCCCCTGGAGGAAAACAACCAATCATTATGTAGATGTACATACTGTGCACTCTTTCTAATTCGGACCGGCTTGTCACCGACTACAAAGTCCTAATTAGACAGCAGTCCGAGGAACACATATTTTATCAGGGTTATCTCCCTTTGACGAGCAAATGATTGTGCATGAATCACATATTACATGAATGCGTATAAAGACGAACACTTACTGACAAAGTACATGTACATTTGTTTATTACATACATGCATATAAAAGCTTTAGTTTGTGAAGAAATCAGTCATCAAAGACTGTGACTGACTTTTAAGTGAGTGTTTTAGGATCATAGTTTCTGTACAGGCTTGAGCACTATGTCTTGAGGGTGGGACGGAGCATTGTCAATGAACAAGAGGATATGCCTCTTTCTTTTCCTCATCTGTCTGTTGACTTGATCTAGCCAATCACTGAATATGTGTGAGGTCATCCACGCCTTCCGATTGGCTCGCCAAGTCACGGGGGAGTGTCTCCATATTCACATTCTTGAAACAGCGTGGGCTCTCAGCTTTACCGATTACCGACATTGACACTGAGTTTACATGATCATCTCAGTTATAGTTTACAAAATTAGTGTTAATCGCATCAAAGGTAAATAAGTATCCACCGCTAGACCAAGCGGTCTTGGCCAAGCGTTCTTCCTGCTCAGTAAATAAGACAAAATACACAAACCAATCAACAGATTGTTTATTGAAGGTTTATTGGCCAAGTGGACTTCCTCCTCAGTCTGGATTATAAAGCAATGTTTTTACATGTAACTACCTTTTCGGGCCGACACTTTGGTAGAAATCCCGAAATAATGAGAGTCCGAGATAAAGAACTTTTTCATTATGACAACAAAGAAGGATTACGTCGGGACCGTAAGTTCAGTCCTGTTTATACAGCAATCCAAGAAAGACAGAGTCCGAGTTTGACAGAGTGCACTGCATATACCAGAGATACAACTCTATAACATGAGGACAGAATTAACGTTCATCTTCTGTACCCCTGATGGTGTGGTAGAGACGCTAGTACAATTATCAGGCCAGTGATCATCTGTAAGTCACCTTTCTCATTGCTTACACTGGAGTTAATCTTACAACACATATTCGGTTTGGAATAAACACCAAAGAGGGAGTTATATGAAGATACATATGCCAGGGCTACAGATAAGGGGCGTACAGGCGTAATGTACGCCTCAAAATCAATTAAGTACGACATAATATAAGATTTCAAGCGTATCGTGTACGCACATAAATACCTTTGTACGTCTAACATTTAATTTCCGTGCGTATCGTGCAAATGGAAATCTATTTCGGATAAATACTTGTCAAGTTTCTTTTGCGAAACACGATTTGACACATGAGGAAACCCCGACATTAGGAATCACATGCGTTGCCATGCAACGATATGCGTCAATATTTTTTGATTGGCTAAAAACTTCACTGTTCCTATTTATATCCAGTCGGACCTGACATTTCGCGCATCACACGGTCGCTCAGTTATTTCTCACACGTCTTCAAATACAAATACATGGTAGGAAATAGTGATCGATGAATCGTCCAGACAAACCACATCACAACTCACTCACACAAAAACATGTCAGTACTCCTTCAAAATTCTCAGTACACCTCCAAAAGTTATCTGGAGCCCTGATATGCTAAATGTCCAAAGAAAGCCTCAAATCATATATACTACAGGTATAGAAGCATTATCAATACAAGTCCTGAAACTTTTATTAGTAAAAAACCTCTTCCAAAATTCGAACCTACACTCTCTGTCCTAAGTGTTATACATGTAAAATGTTGTAGAATGTTGTAGAATGTTGCCTGGTACTCACCAACGAGCAGCTCTCCCTTGTTCTCGCTGGCTGGAGATATGGCAGTGCACAGGCAGGTGTGTCTGGAATGGACAGGCACTCATCAGGGCCCTTATTCTCGAAACGTTCGTAGCCCTAAGAATTCTTAACTTTGATCGTAGCCAATGCATTAAGAATGGGCTTAAGATGTTCGTAGGGCTACAAACATTTCGAGAATAGCTAACCAGGGCTTTACACATCCCAAATTATCAAGCCAATAAGCACTGATCAAAATGCAAAAGTAAAATATAAACATTCACATAAATATTGAACTCAATGTTACTCTGACATAAATGATACAAATGATACTGACTGTATCTTCTCATTGGTGTGAAGTCGATAAAGCAGTGCAGCTGAGTCAGACATTTTGTCATCGTCCTCAAACAGGTAGATGAGTGGCGGGTCAACACTCTCCACATCTGCAACAAAGCAACAGGGTCAGAGCCTCATTCTTTACAATTACTGCTAACCTATATCTATTATAACAACTAGGTCCCTTCAACACTACCAGCAATAATGCTGATGCAGGGGACTGCAATATGTACTCATGCTATCTATATTTCTACAGGGGCGGTGGGGTAGCCTAGTGGTTAAAGCGTTGGCTCGTCTCGCCGAAGACCCGGGTTCAAATCCCCTCATGGGTACATTGTGTGAAGCCCATTTCTGGTGTCCCCCGCCGTGATGTTGCTGGAATATTGCTAAAAGCGGCGTAAAACCAAACCCCCGTCAGTCTATTTCTACAACAGTGTGTTGCTTTCCCCCCATTGCACTTCATGCCATTACTCATTGTCTGAAGTAACATGAAAACTTATCCCTGACAGGTTGACCATCGTCCAATGAGAGAATAAACAGTTCTCAACATTGTTTGAGTAGTACATAAACCTGGCCAAAATGCTCAATAGCTGAAAGTTTGACATCATCAAAGGTACTGCTGATTCATACAGGTTTCTCATACTGGGCTTCTACTTTCATAAGAAGATATATTTGGAAATAATGTAACAATCTGACAACCTGGTTGCCTGGCAACATTACTAATGTAGGCTCCCTCCTCACCCAGCTTCTGCTTGTAGCCTTCAGCCAGGTATTTCTTGTTAATGGCAAGATGACACCGCTGGAGCCTCTTCCTAATCCTGCCTGGTCCCTCGGTGGGGTCCAGCTGCCATGACTGGGGATAGGAGGTTGGGTGGAACCAAACCGCTCTGGGGGAGAAGGAAGCTCAATAACAATGTGCAGGTTCATGCAAGATACATGCTACAGTAGTGTGTGAGGAACTGATCGAAGCACTGTGTCTTTACAACTTCAATATTTATTGCTAGATTGACTATTAATTATAATAACAAGAAGGTGGGTGAAGTTTGTGTCTCCTATGATTTGAAGAAGCACATCAAATGAAGCTTATGTTTGATACCTTGAAACATGCGATGTAAAACAACTCACCTACAGATAAATAAGAGAAGACAACTCTTGCAACCAGTACCTGCTCACTCACGAGCAAACAATGTAAAACAACACTTCCAAACAGTGCTTACCTCGCCTTCAGAAAAAACAAGGGAAGATAACTCTTCCTACCAGTGCTTACCTCCCCTTCAGAAAAACAGGGGAAGATAACTCTTCCAAACAGTGCTTACCTCTCCTTCAGAAAAAACAAGGGAAGATAACTCTTCCTACCAGAGCTTACCTCTCCTTCAGAAAAACAGGGGGAAGATAACTCTTCCTTAAAGTGACCACTCCTCCTATAGAAAACAGGGAGATAACACCAAACAGTGCCTACCTCTCATGTGTGAGTGTCTGGACGAGCTCCTGCCAAGCTTTCTTCAGCTGGATCTGTTCTGTCATGGACTTCTTGATGTGGTCCACCAGGACCTTCCTCTGGTTGTTCTGTAGCTGAGTCACCGTCTGGGTGACCGTCATGGCCTGGTCAGACACCAGCTTCATGTGCTTCTCATAGTGCTGCAAGACTCTGCAACACAAGACACATCCCAGCTTCACTACATGGGGCACTCTGGCAACAATGCCAAGCTACAGGAAAATGCAATAGAAAAAGCTGTATACGCTTTTCCCTCTCACAAAAAAGCATTTAGAATCGCCTATTCTGCCCCAAATCCTTATAGGGACCCTTTCATCTTGAATCCCTACAAAGGGAGAATCATGGTGCACTGAGTACCTATTCTGCCCTGTACTCCTCACAGGAGACACAAACACAGTATTCAGGGCCTAGATTAGCTCTCTTAGCACTAAGATAGTTGTAAGTTAATGTTAATGTATGGCACTTACGACTATCTTGTAGGCCGAAAATCTAGGCCCTGGGGACTTGAAATCTCTACAGCCCAGACAGTGATGTCATCACTCCAAGAAATGGTTTGAGGTACAGAAATGAGATTCTGTGTAACGATTCTGTTTTCGATTGAAACTACTTTGCATCATAAACCTAAAGTACCTATAATCGGCAGTTCAACCATGAAAACTGTATAGTATATTAAGCATATCCAGGAAATACAGATCCTTCACTTGCTAGTGATCCCGCCCGTCTCACCTTTCTGCTGCCACCTGCTTCTTTTGGGACCACAACTGTTGCGCATTGGTGAGCCGTAGGTCAATAGACCTTTTCTCCTGAAGACACAGACACATTGCAAAGTTATAATAATAATAATAATAATAATGTGTCCATTTATATAGCGTCAAACTCCACACTAGGTATGCTCATAGCGCTAACAATCAAGGCACAGCACATTATTACCCCGGATAACCCAAGCTGCCTGTTAGGCGCTAGAAGGTTATAGTCATATGACTTTTTCCACCGGGTACCCATTTTCCTGCTGGGTGAACAGAGACAATTTTGAACAAACTCACTTGCCTAAGGTGAGACCACATGTGTCACATGTGCTTCGTTGTGGGGCAGGACTCAAGTCCTATAAAACTCTCAGGAGTCAAGCTGCCAAATACAGTCACCCATCCAAGGACTCTCCGAGCTCGCCGATTTGTGACCTGAGCTTTGAGCAAAGGACCACACTATGAGCATGAAACTATGAGCATATATATCAAAGGAGAAACCAAACTACTAAGGATGAGTGAGCGAGCAAGCTTAGTTTCATGCTGCATTCAACAATATTCCAGCGGTCTGTCAATAATCGAGTCTGGACCACACAATCCAGTGATCAACAGCATGAGCATCGATTTGTGCAGTTGGGAACCGATGACATATGTCAACCACGTCAGCGAGCCTGACCACCTGATCCCGTTAGTCGCCTCTTACGACAAGCATGGGTTAATGAAGATCAATATTCTAACCCGGACATTCACGGGTACAAACTACTAAGGGAAACAGAGTTATAACTTGAAAGGTCAGTAAGTACAACGCACCTCATCTAGCACAGCCTGTTGCTGGGGGGTGAGCATCCTGTCAGTCATGTAGACGACAAAGCCACTCTGCCGCAGGAGGTTGAGGAGGATGCAGCCCTGCTCTCTCTGGGTCCCGACCAACCAGTCTCTCCAGGTTGTCAGCAGGTTGTACAGGTAGTAACTCAGCTCCTGGCCCTGGAGCAGGACAATCACCCTCACTCAACATCACATACAGTACAATGTCATAACCTCACAGTTCCACTCGGTATATTTGAAGTCTAAATGTCACGGTACCAGTCTGTTGGAATCAAACTTCACAGTACCACTCGGTCCTTTCACAGAACCATTCAATGTCAGAGTATCACTCGATCCTGGTACATTTGAACCATTGAAAGTCGTTACAGAACCAACCTCTACAGTACCAATCTGTCTTGTCAAAGTACCTGTTTGTCCATTTGAAGCCTCAACCCCACAGTACCACTCGATCTCGTCACAATACCATTCAATCCTTTAGAAATTTCAACATTACTAAAAACTTGATCAATAGAAGTACCAGCTTATCAACTGATCAAAGAGACTTAAATGATGTTGTTAACTAAAGTTGATGAAACTAAAAACACTTCAGGAACAATCACTAAGCAATTAAATCCTTCTTCAACTCTACTCTTTTTTTTAAATCCTGTAACACATGCAAGTAGATACGGACTGTCCTATTAACTTTTGGTCTTGGTTTCTTATAAAGAATACTTTATGATGAGCCAACAATTATAGCAAAGTGGGTTAACAAGGTGAATATGCTCAATGACAATAACCGCTTGGAAATTAAGAAAAAGTACAAGAGCCATTATCTGTTATGCAAGTGTCACTCACCAGCTGCGGTGTTGAGATGAGCATCTTGATGACGTCCCGCCCCTTTGTCTCTCCCATGATGAAGGACAGACCATACAGACGCATGTTGAAGTCCATCTTGGTAGACAGCATGCACAGGAGCAGACGGCCAAACTACAACACAACCCAAGTCTGTAGCACGAAGACACAACCATAGACCATGTATACAGAATCCCTTCCCAGACTACAACACAACACTATAGGAGGTAAACACCACCATAGTCCATGTATACAGAATCCCTTCCCAGACTACAACACAACACTATAGGAGGTAAACACAACCATAGTCCATGTATACAGAATCCCTTCCCAGACTACAACACAACACTATAGGAGGTAAACACCACCATAGTCCATGTATACAGAATCCCTTCCCAGACTACAACACAACACTATAGGAGGTAAACACAACCATAGTCCATGTATACAGAATCCCTTCCCAGACTACAACACAACACTATAGGAGGTAAACACCACCATAGTCCATGTATACAGAATCCCTTCCCAGACTACAACACAACACTACAGGAGGTAAACACAACCATAGTCCATGTATACAGAATCCCTTCCCAGACTACAACACAACACTATAGGAGGTAAACACCACCATAGTCCATGTATACAGAATCCCTTCCTAGACTACAACACAACACTATAGGAGGTAAACACAACCATAGTCCATGTATACAGAATCCCTTCCCAGACTACAACACAACACTATAGGAGGTAAACACCACCATAGTCCATGTATACAGAATCCCTTCCCAGACTACAACACAACACTATAGGAGGTAAACACCACCATAGTCCATGTATACAGAATCCCTTCCCAGACTACAACACAACACTACAGCAGGTAAACACCACCATAGTCCATGTATACAGAATCCCTTCCCAGACTACAACACAACACTACAGCAGGTAAACACCACCATAGACCATGTATACAGAATCCCTTCCCAGACTACAACACAACACTACAGCAGGTAAACACCACCATAGACCATGTATACAGAATCCCTTCCCAGACTACAACACAACACTATAGGAGGTAAACACCACCATAGTCCATGTATACAGAATCCCTTCCCAGACTACAACACATACACTATAGGAGGTAAACACCACCATAGTCCATGTATACAGAATCCCTTCCCAGACTACAACACAACACTATAGGAGGTAAACACCACCATAGTCCATGTATACAGAATCCCTTCCCAGACTACAACACAACACTATAGGAGGTAAACACCACCATAGTCCATGTATACAGAATCCCTTCCCAGACTACAACACAACACTATAGGAGGTAAACACCACCATAGTCCATGTATACAGAATCCCTTCCCAGACTACAACACAACACTATAGGAGGTAAACACCACCATAGTCCATGTATACAGAATCCCTTCCCAGACTACAACACAACACTATAGGAGGTAAACACCACCATAGTCCATGTATACAGAATCCCAGACTTCCCAGACTACAACACAACACTATAGGAGGTAAACACCACCATAGTCCATGTATACAGAATCCCTTCCCAGACTACAACACAACACTATAGGAGGTAAACACCACCATAGTCCATGTATACAGAATCCCTTCCCAGACTACAACATGACACTACAGGAGGTAAACACCACCATAGTCCATGTATACAGAATCCCTTCCCAGACTACAACACAACACTACAGGAGGTAAACACCACCATAGTCCATAGTCCATACAACATGACACTACAGGAGGTAAACACCACCATAGTCCATGTATACAGAATCCCTTCCCAGACTACAACACAACACTACAGGAGGTAAACACCACCATAGTCCATGTATACAGAATCCCTTCCCAGACTACAACATGACATTAGTCTGTATGAGGAAGACAGGAGCCTGTCCAGAAGATGGATCTTACCTGCTGTCTGATGACATCTTTGGCTCCCCACATGATTACATTACGTGACTTGCGGTTGGTCCCACCTTTATCCTGTGACAAAGAAACACAGGATCATCCACGATCAAAATATGCTAACAGGATAAATCATTTAATAAATCAATTACTCCAGTTTGTACTATGTTACAATGCTTGAAACAGAGCATCAACGTTTATACAGACATCTGCATGTCAGTGTGGACATGAAAGAGTTACATGACTTACCAGAGTAAACTCCAGACATCTGACCAGTGCGGACATGAAAGAGTTACATGTCCTACCAGGGTAAACTCCAGACATCTGATGTCAGTGTGGACATGAAGAGTTGTTGTCTTACCAGACTAAACTGACATCTGCATGTCAGTGTGGACATGAAAGAGTTACATGACTTACCAGGGTAAACTCTCTGCATGTCAGTGTCTTCACCAAAGAGTTACATGACTTACCAGGGTAAACTCCAGACATCTGCATGTCAGTGTGGACAGGAAACATACACCACTTACCAGAGTAAACTCCAGACCACGGTAGGTGATGTTGAAAAGTTTGGTGAACTTCCAGACTGTGGTTTTGCTGAAGAACATCTCTATCACACTCATCCTTCATGATCAACATGATCTTCAACAATAAACATGAAACTTCACACTCCATCCTTCATGATCAATAAACAATAAACATGATCTTCAACAATAAACAGGAACTTCCATAGTAAAAATATCACTTAAGTGACGTGTCTGAAAATGAAGGAGAAATGATATGTTTGTAAGAAAGTGTTGAGCTCACCTATGTTAACAATGAGGTCCACAGCAAACACCAACAACTTCTTGAATCGTTCTAAGAGTTCGGACTGATTCACAGCAACAAACATCAGCTTTTTCCTCTTGCCAAAAAACTGTGCAATGCGGGACTGATTGGCTGCTTTCTTCTGTGCAATATCACGTAACTTGCTTGTCCGAACAAGTTGGTAGGAATCCAGAAAATCGGTATCAGTTGAGCCTGGCAGACCCGTTTTAGATGAAGGCGCTGTGTCGTCAAATGGCTGATCTGTAAATTGATCAGAGCTCTTCGATGATGATGTTTGTTTCCTTGTGGGTTGTCTCCCCTTGGCTAGCTGTGATTGGATGCTGCTGGAGAGGGAGGAGTCGGAGGCGGGGAGGAGTGAATAGAGGTAGGCACTGGAGGGGTCGCTGTAGCTGCCTGCAAGGGAGGAAAGGTCAAGGTCACAGATCCGTGAGGTGGATTGTGTGGGTGGAAGCCATCAGGCATGGTAAATTGAGTTTTGGATATGCTACTGTGCAGAGCTGCATCCCTAAGGCACACCCTGAAACCAATGATAATTGGATTGTTGTCCAAAATTTCTAAGCTGTAGATGTAGCATATAGAATTAGCAAAGCGGATGATGAGGTGCATATACATGTGGTTTAAGCAAGAATTTGTTTTCATACTGATGGGCCTATGTAAGCACACTTATGTCCGTTTTAATGCTTTTGAATATAATGCTGATACATACAAAAAGACACAAATATACATCATCTGCCATATTCTACATAGGGCTCACACATCAGTAATAAGTAAAACAACATTTGCTACAAGCTGATTGGCTAAAATCAGCTGTTCCATTGTTTTAATTTTTTGTGAATATTCCTAGAGGAACGTGACCCTACCCCTCCAGTTTCAGTGACTGACCCTGCCCTTGCAGTTGAAGATATGTTCCCCTTACAGTTTAAAGGATGTGCCCCTGCCCCTACAGTTTAGTTGAGGTGCCCCTGCCCAGTTTTTAGGTATGTGCCCTTGTCACTCCCGTTTGAGGGATGTGCCCCTGCCCCTACAGATGGAGGTATGTGCCTCCTGTCCCTACAGTTAAAGGACATGCCTCCATCAGTAGTGTGGGCGATGTGCCCCTGCCTCTATAGTGTGGGTGATGTGCCCCTGCCCCTATAGTGTGGGTGATGTGCCCCTGCCCCTATAGTGTGGGTGATGTGCCCCTGCCCCTATAGTGTGGGTGATGTGCCCCTGCCCCTACAGTGTGGGGGATGTGCCCCTGCCCCTACAGCGTGGGGGATGTGCCCCTGCCCCTACCATAGCTGCCAGCGCTGGAGGTGCTTCCCCCTGACATGGTGAACCAGTTGAGAGGCTGCTGGCTGATGTCCTCGCTGCGTCTCTCCACATACTCGATGATGAAGATGACCATGACATACTGGAGGTCCCGCAGGTTCTGACAGCGCCGCTGACTGTCTTCTGTGGGAACAGTCAGGAGAACAGTGAACATCTCAGAAAACATGAAGAACTAACTACACCAACATTACCTATGACCACATGGATATACCAATGAGAACACAAAAACAACAAATATTTTTGTAGGCACCTAGTTTCTGTCATCAAAGGCAATTATATAACAAGACTAGTAATTCATCCCTTGCCTGAACAATCTTTTCCCATGTATTTTCTTTTCTTCTCTTCACTTTTTCTTGGTGACTCTTGGCCCCATCCGCTCACCCTAATTCTCAACATTTAGCACTCTCATCACTGCTTTACCCACTCCTTTTGTCCTTCCTACTTTACCCCTACCCTCCCGCTACTCCTTGCCAGACTCCATACCTGATGCCTGTTCCTTGTCCTCCAAAGCCTTCAGAAGGTTGAACATGTCCTCTACCTGCTGGTAGTGTGTCACCCCACTCCAACTGTCATGAACAAGACACATTTTAATATTCAGTATCTCAATCAGAAACCAGTAAATCAAAAATGTAGAATACCAACATTCATTCATGAAGGACAGATAACCCATAATTCTGAGTACTGATCCACTTGACCATGGAGGCGGTATCTATATGCTATGACTGACAGCTATCTCGACCAACCAGGGCTCCCTACCTGTACTCTCTGACAGCTAGGGTACACAAGACTCTTAACCTACTGGACCAAACTCTTTTACCTAGGCGGGTCCCTATATGCTATGACTGACAGCTATCCTGACCAACCAGGACTCCCTACCTGAACTCTCTGACAGCCAGGGTACACAGGACTCTTTACCTACTGGACCAAAGGCCTATATGCTATGGACAGCTATCTCGACCAACCAGGGCTCCCTACCTGTACCTCTACAGCCAGGGTACACAGGACTCTTTACCTACTGGACCATGGAGGCGGGTCCCTATATGCTATGACTGATCTATCTCGACCAACGGGGCTCCTACCTGTACTCTCTGACAGCCAGGGTACACAGGACTCTTTACCTACTGGACCATGGAGGCTGGGTCCCTATATGCTATGACTGACAGCTATCTCGACCAACCGGGGCTCCCTACCTGTACTCCCTGACAGCCAGGGTACACAGGACTCTTTACCTACTGGACCATGGAGGCGGTCCCTATATGCTATGACTGACAGCTATCTCGACCAACCGGGCTCCCTACCTGAACTCCCTGACAGCCAGGGTACACAGGACTCTTTACCTACTGGACCATGGAGGCGGTCCCTATATGCTATGACTGACAGCTATCTCGACCAACCGGGGCTCCCTACCTGAACTCCCTGACAGCCAGGGTACACAGGACTCTTTACCTACTGGACCATGGAGGCGGTCCCTATATGCTATGACTGACAGCTATCTCGACCAACCGGGGCTCCCTACCTGAACTCCCTGACAGCCAGGGTACACAGGACTCTTTACCTACTGGACCATGGAGGCGGTCCCTATATGCTATGACTGACAGCTATCTCGACCAACCGGGGCTCCCTACCTGAACTCCCTGACAGCCAGGGTACACAGGACTCTTCGTACATCCAGCAGCAGAAGGTTACTCTCTGAATCAACTACATCTGTCGGCCTGAAAGAGGGGAAGAAGTTGATACAAACATGTATTTAACTTACAAACCTACACCGCTGTCATTCTATTGTTCTTAAAGGTCACATAAACCCTAGGGGTAAAATACATAAATCACTAACTGGCATCGTTATAAATGAAACCCGTCATTAAAACTACTCATTTCGACCTTTAATTGACTTAAATCGACCTTTTGACAACAGTGCACAATTCTCACCCATGAACAAAATTTCAACCAATCAGAGCGGCGCGACTCTGTGACATCATATGAGGAATAGCTTTGAGGGCCGATGCAGAATTCATCTACATTTTAGGGGTAAAATTATCTTGTTTACAGGCTTGTATAAACCTGAAATCGTGACAATTGTTGTGGAAAATGAAAGCTATATGTTCTCACAATCTACTGTCATTTAATTTTGTCTCCTGCTTTGCCTAGTTTCCGAGTTACAACTTGTTTTCATAAACGCTTCTGTCACAATTGATTGGTGTCGTTAGGCCCTATTTGTATAATGACTGATCCAAATTGATCCCATTTCTGTGTTTTTACCTCGATATTTAATCATGTCATGTAAAAATCTGTTTGTATTCTCAAAACAGTGTCGGCCCATAAGTTTTCACATGCAATACAGCAATTAATACTCCTTATGTTGTAACCCGTGTTAGGTGGTATAAACCTACACATGTTATTTGTCATCATTCACTTGATGGTCAGTTAATGAATTTATAACAGGTATAATTAGTGGTAACACACTTAGATTACCCGACAAAGGTTCCCATTTGTCATTTCTTGTGTCTGGAGTAAATATTCAACATTATAAACATCGATCAAAGGATTAACCGATAACATGGTGATTGATTAATTACTTTTATCTTACACAGCGGAATTGTCAAAAGGTAGTGTTTATGTATGTAGATTTACTAATCTATACTGAATACACTCTGCGTGTCGGTGTCTGCGTAAAAACAACGTCCTTCTTTCAAAGGATTAACCGCAATACATTGATTGATTGCCCATTATTGGCTAACTAAATTACTGTTTTTTTAATGAAAGGCGGACATTATGCAATTAGTTGCCAGGTGTGCTATCTTGGGTGACCAATGAGACTATACACCAATACCTGAACAGATTTATCACTTTTTTCGTATATTAAACTGTTAAAAGACACATCATTTGGAACAGTTTTGTGGATATTGATGGATACATTCCTCAAACAAGGTAATGGCCTGATATTGTTCCTATAACTGTTTTAATTTTAATATTTGCATTTTGTTTTTATTCATTTGTCGTGGCATTCAACAGAATAATTGTTTTCGCAGTGAAGTGTAATGAGACAGACAAGCGTTACACTAGGGCGTATGTGCGAATTATGATTCACATTGGCAAACTATAAAATGTCTAGATATTACAGTTCTGTTATGAATTCACTATAAGTATCAGCAGATAGTCAGCTTTTAATTTAGTTTCAAAATTCATAAAAGTATGATAATAAACTAATTAGGATTATAAGACCAAATATAAAGACGCACATTGACTAGTATCTACATACTGGTGAGTGGACATTAACCATGTGAATGTAGCAAGACATTTATCTCAAGCAGTATTGTGACTTCGACTCCCACCTCGGCTTCTGTGGAAGAAATCGTTATGTTATAAGTTGTGTCATGCAAAATCCTTTTGGTTATGATTCCAATACATATTTAACTCTGAGTAGAAAGTAGTTTTGATTTTCTAACTTGATGAAAACAAACTATAATCTCATTAATGCTAACAGACTTTACGATTTTCAAAATGGCGGCCCTGTGTCGGAACATCCGCCAGTCTGAGGATAAATGCTATTTAGGTTTGTTTTCACCGAGGTTACAAAATCAAAACTACTTTCTACTGGTAGTAAAAATATGTATTTTATTGATAGCCAATAGGATTTTGCATGACATAGCGTATAACATAACAATTTCTCTCTGGCAGCGAGGTGGGTGTCAATAAAATACTACTTACAATATTATTGTTACTTGACCACAACCTCACTTCCGAGGAAGAAATGCGTTATGTTACAAGTTGTGTTATGGAAAATCTTTATGGTCATCAATCATATACATATTTTACTATAACTAGTAAGTAGTTTTGATTCTTTAACTTCCGTGAAGCGATCTGAACACAAGTAAGATATCGTTTCAGGCTTCCACAACAGCTAAACCGCGCACTCACAAACATAACCCATTTAGCCACGAACTGCGGGGTCCTGTGGAAATCTGTGCATGGTGACACCATCACCCGACCCTAGGAGCAATTGGCGACAAAGCAACGATTCGGCATGTAATGCGTTAGTTCATGTCGAGAAATCATCAAAATGATGGCGTGCTACACACTTTCTATACAACTAACTGAAAATCGTTCCTCATATGACGTCACTGCAGTGCTCTGGCGACAGAGTTCACGTAACCTGTCTGTGGTTTCGTTGGCGGGCGAGAGGAAGCAAGGCGACTTTTGGCCACTTTTAATCGCTTCGGTATTAATTAACCACAAGTTTTTAAAGAATAAATTTGGTGTTCCGCGCATAAGACTAACCACAAATCTTTCATATGTATGGTTAAAAAGAGTAACAAAAACAAAGTTTAGTGGTTCTTTAGTTCTTAAGGTTTCCTCAAATAGGGAAAAGCCTACAAACACAGTTGCTGGTACAAGCCTAGGTCCTTTTCTCTCACTAGCAGTTTTACATTTTAAACCAAAACCTCAGAGTTGTGCTGCGACATTAACCTAAACAAATCCTAATCTTAAAACACTAAGACTCTTGGCTAGTGACAATTGCTTTTACTGTTTTGTGCTCAGAAGCTGACTGTATTCCTGTATCAAGTGAGAGCATGAAGCCATAGTCAGCACTATTACAGATACAGCTATAGAACAGATGAGTGTAAATCTGTGCCAAGCATTCCAGCAAAGTACTGTTGGCATGCGCTGACACAGACAGACGTTATGCTGTAATGACAAGGCTGCTTTCTGTCCCACCAGGTGATGAGAGAGCTAGTGACGTACCTGTTGGTCTGTCTGTTGATCATGGTGATGAGGTTGGTGAGCACCTCCATCAAGCCCTGCTCCAGGAGAATGGAGGACAGCATTGGGCAGTGGACCAAGAGCTGCAAAACATGGCACAGGGTACAAACACAAAACACAACACGCCAGAGAATACGTACAGATTTCTTGTGGGTGGGTGATTGGGAAATGATTGAACAAGTTATTTACAAGTTCACTGAAAGAGAATGAGTGGCTGAACATAGGGGATCATGAATAAATGAACACCTGGAATCTGTATACTGACCTGATCAAGGAGACTTAGAGTGTTGTGGCACAGCGGCAGGTCATGTGCCGTCTGCTCAATCAGGCACAACAGCAGCACCACAGATGACTGCTGCAGGCTGGAAAACTCCACAATCTCCCCATCTAACCTGGAAACAAGCAAAATCCTTTCACTAGGAAACTCAGGGGATCTGATTCAGCTGCCTAGGTCAAACACATTACTATCCTCCAATGACAACTTTGGAATTAATGATCAAAAACAAACTTACTCGTCTTCAAACGTAAATGACCGTTCCAACATGATGGAGACAGCTGCTTCAATGTGTTCCTTCCGGGCCGGGTATTGGTGGATCTGATTGGCCAACAGGGAGAAGCCATCCATTTTGACGAAGTTCTCCAGATGTTGTGGAGGTGCCATCGCAGTATACATCCCAATCAGCTGGGTAAGTTGGGTAATCAGAGAAATATTTCAATTATAAAATGTCGGGACTACGGGGTGAAGACCTCAGGCAACGTGGGAGTAGAGTCTATGGTATTATGAAAGCCTAACATAATAGAACAAGGATCATAAACAGGCAATTCTTGGATTAAACTAGATGGAGCCTGGCAGGAGAGGACCACATGCCGTACAGCCCAGACTATGTGACATGACCACTATTCACAGTAACTCCCACTCACCTAACTCTAACCATAATTAAGCAATGGCCTCACTCAGCTAATCCCAACCTTGATAAAGGTATGACCTCACCAGCTAATCCCGACCTTGATAAAGGTATGTCCTCGATCAAGGTATGACCTCACCCACCCTCGATAAAGGTATGACCTCATTCACCTAATCCCGACCTTGATAAAGGTATGACCTCACCCAGCTAATCCTGACCTTGATAAAGGTATGTCCTCGATAAAGGTATGACCTCACCCACCCTCGATAAAGGTATGACCTCACCCACCTAAACCCAACCTCGATAAAGGTATGACCTCACCCAGCTAATCCTGACCTTGATAAAGGTATGTCCTCGATAAAGGTATGACCTCACCCAGCTAATCCTGACCTTGATAAAGGTATGTCCTCGATAAAGGTATGACCTCACCCACCCTCGATAAAGGTATGACCTCACCCACCTAAACCCAACCTCGATAAAGGTATGACCTCACCCAGCTAATCCTGACCTTGATAAAGGTATGTCCTCGATAAAGGTATGACCTCACCCACCCTTGATAAAGGTATGACCTCACCCACCTAAACCCAACCCGATAAAGGTATGACCTCACCCAGCTAATCCTGACCTTGATAAAGGTATGTCCTCGATAAAGGTATGACCTCACCACCCACCCTCGATAAAGGTATGACCTCACCCACCTAAACCCAACCTCGATAAAGGTATGACCTCACCCAGCTAATCCTGACCTTGATAAAGGTATGTCCTCGATAAAGGTATGACCTCACCCACCCTCGATAAAGGTATGACCTCACCCACCTAAACCCAACCTCGATAAAGGTATGACCTCACCCAGCTAATCCTGACCTTGATAAAGGTATGACCTCACCCACCCTCGATAAAGGTATGACCTCACCCACCCTCAATAAAGGTATGACCTCACCCACCCTCGATAAAGGTATGACCTTACCTACATAATGCCAACCTTGATAAAGTTATCACATTTTACAAAAACATCTTTTCCTAAACACATTGAGGATTTTACCAAAACAAGTAACACAGTTATCCAAGTTGAATGAAACAATTCATTTCAAATTATCTTTATTCCAACTTTATATGTTCTCTAAACCTGTATGAGACACATACCCTAATGACTGCTTCTCTGATCTGTGGAGAGCTGTTCTGGGCCAGGACAATGAGGCTGCCGGCATTGAGCACCTTGTTGTACATCCTGTCTGCATTGCTGTCTGGCAGTCTGGCCACCAAGTCACTCAGGTAGTTGAGCAGATCTGAAGGAAAACAAGATGGAAGTGCACCAAAGTCACAACCAAGGAACCTAGCTCATTACAGGAGAACATTAACAAACTCCTGTGCCTGCCATGGGCTGAATGTTACAAAGAACATGAACCATAGGGTAGCCAAGGAGATAAAGGATTCACGCATCACACCAAACACAGGTTTGATTCCCTCTTCAGTACACACACACTGTGTGAAACTCATTTTCGGTGTCCCCACCCATGATATTACTTGAATATTACGAACAATGACATAAAGTAGTTGTCACTCACTACCGGATCAACAGTTGATGAAATTACATCACTCTCATGGTGCTAAAATTGTTGAGAAGCTGAGGGCCAGGGTCCTGTTTCACAAAGCTCTCGTAAGCGCTACGACTATCGTAAGTCAATGTTACAGTATAGGAGGTAGGAAAGTTACGAGATCTTAGCCTTACGAGAGCTTTGTGAAACAGGGCCCAGCAATGCTAGTAACGATTGTAACCATACTCTTGATAAAAGGTGAATGACATGCGAGTCTTTTGACCTGTATCATATGACATCCTTGGAATTGAAGACATATGAACAGATATCCAAGGCTTCCTTCCAGAAAGCTATCACAGAATTTGGTTTACGATGCCCTCAGTTCTCTGATTACTTTCCTGAACTGGGCACTCAACAATCTGACTTGAATTCTGGCTTCTACTCACTAGCACAGAGGGTGACCAGTCCCACGTCCCGTTCTCCCATGTCCTTCTCGTCTTCATCAAACTCCATGTGACCGTCCTCCATATCCTCATCCTTCTCTCCCTCCACAGCTGACAACAGCGACGACGTCTGCTGGCTCTCCTCACTGACGATCGACCCCTCAGATTCTCTAATCACAATCTTCTGATCTTTAGCACTTATCTCCAAATGCCGTTCCGATTCCGCACTCCCATCATACCCGTTTCCTGCTCTACTCTCTGAGCTTGTGGACTCTGTGTCAGTGATGGAGGCTTCCTTCAGAGTGTGGGTCCGGACTCGTACCTGCCCCTGGAGAATCTCATCCCCACTCTGGGAGTGTGAGAAGCCTGGCGTGGCCATGATGGTTGGGCTAGGATGTATTGGGGGAAAGTCAGTAGACTCTGATGTGCTGAGGTCTGGTGAGGGGAGAGACGAGAGGTCCTCCTTTCCAAGAGAAGGAGAATCAGACTCTCTGACTGCTGAACCCTCTTGATCACCTGCTGATTCTAGAAAGGATAGAATTTTGTGAAATTTATGTGACCCATTTGAACATACTCAAAGGTCAACAATATATACCACAAACCGAATTCAGTACCGTGAGGGGCAGTGGGGTAGCCTAGTGGTTAAAGCGTCTGCTCCTCACGCTGAAGACCTGGGTTCGATTCCCCACATGGGTACAATGTGTGAAGCCCATTCCTGGTGTCCCCAGCTGTGATATTGCTGGAATATTGCTAAAAGCGGTGTAAAACTAAACTCACTCACTCAGTACCGTGAAATTATATTTCACAATGTTGCATACTACAAAACTCCCTGAAAGCAGCCTCTGTCATAATGTAAGCATAACAGAAGCGTACCTGTATTGCTGCTTCCCCCATCTGTCCTTGACCTTGGATCGTCACTCTGATCCTCTGATCCCGAGACAGACTTCTTCACAGATCGGCTACGCACAGTGACTTTTGTAGTTGGTGTCGACTTGGCAGATGTATTTGCTACAGAAACAGGCATTGTTTAAACCAAATTGAATACCAAACTCAACATTTTTGATAGCAGAAAGGGACCAAATTTCAATTCTTGTTATCTGACATCAACAGCAACATCAATGTTAAGAATAACACGGACACAAGGTTTTCAGTCAAGTCATTGTTGTCTATGGATGACATACTTAAAAGGTGAATACAATGCACTGAAAGAGGAAATCATTCTGGCTGTCATGTATAACTGTCCAAGATGTCTACGTACCCCACCAGCAGCGCAGGAAGTGACTGGACGTAGCATGAACGATAAACGTGCTGGCCGCAGGGTGGACCAGCAACAGGAAGTCAGTGACCGCCACAAGCATTACTGGATCAGGAGGAAATCCCAGCATGCCCTCTACAATGGCCGACACAGCTTGCCCAACAACTGGAGTCATAGATGGCAGGCCTTCTTGGATACGTTCCTGAAATATTGACAGCTAGTGATAGTTCCGTTGATCAATTTTAGTCACGGTGTGAGATGAACTAAGTGTCTGTGACTTTTCAACAGACATCCATAACTGAGGGTAGTGGTCAGAATCATTTCTACAACAGCACCCAAACAGAATAGAAGGCAATTCGAACCTACCAGATAAATATAGAAAATCTTGTTCATAATTCCCCAAGCGCGGAACTGCTTAATGTTGACGTCCCGGTGCTGATGGTCTGGACGTATCAGAGTCTGCAAAGACTGGAAAAGTAGCTCCATCACTCCTTCCTCTGCCTTCTCCCAGATGCGCCAGGACAACAGCAGTTGCTGAAGGATAGAGATGTCACGCACCACGGCCTCAGTGCCCTGACGCAGTATGGGCACGCATGCAGACGCATGTCGGGTCGGAACAGCGATTCCGAGGTACAGGAATCCAGTAGTGCCTGCAGTAGTACATATGAACAAAGTTGCCACATCAGAGTAGGTTCAATGAATATCAGATTCTTACCAAATTCTCACCCGTCTTTTCAGGTTAGAAAAACTAGCACAGCGATACAAAGTATGTTATAAGAGCATAAAGGGAGGAAAGGGACGCTACTCTTGGGTGAGTGATTTTACGTCTGCTTTTTTAAAGGGAACTTCAAGGGATTTCAAGTGTTCCACTATCATTCGCAAGAGGAAGGAGACAAGCATAATTAGCATGAGTCAGGATAAGGAAAAATAATAAGTTGTTCACTGCTCCCTCGGGGCCCATAGGTTGATGTTCCCTTGATGTTTGTTAATGTCAACTTCGGGCTCAGGGAACATAAACAAACATCAAGGGTACATCAATCCATGTCCCCCTCATGACCAGTGAACAACTTATAATAATCATTGTATGCAGTCCTATGTACAAATGATTCCTCTGTACTATAGTGAGCTAAGATTTTACATCATATCAGAAAAAGTGTAGATTTGGTGATTAACATATGGCCTATCTATTAAAAAGCAATCAGCCTAATTTTGAGACCTAGTCCTTAACAACAACCAGCCTAAATTTAAGAAATAGCTATAAAACCGCAAGCAGCCTCACCTTGAGGACTTCATATCCCACAATGCTCCTGGAAGTGACAAGAACTTTCCGCAACATGGCATAGCCCTGGATGTTGTGGAACTCGAGTGCCAGATGGGGCAGATGGTGGATGAGGCTGAACAGGAGTCGGAGGATCTTACTCTGCAGCCTCTCCACCCGGCGGCATTCCGCAGGGTCACTCTCTTCGCTACAACCCTCGTAGATCTAACAGATGACAACATCATTTCAGTTATATTTTCAATCTGGATATAACAGCAAGAGTTTTGAAACCAATTTTCAACTAGTTATTTAATAACAATTAAACCTCATGTCCAGATGTATCAGTAAAATGTGAAGGTCCATCCGATGCTTTCCTTTAACCACAGTTAATGTGTCATGGCATGATAGATATACCCTATTACATTAAAGAATCAGGTGGTCCTTCACTCTTTGAGTTGTACATAATGGCTGCAATTCTGAAAATCTGAGACTGGGAAAACATCAATATGAACATTTTTATTTCCGGAACACAAATGTTTGCAACCTGCCATTTGTGAAAGATTTCCGTATGTGACAAGTGTCTGTAAACAAAAGCAGAAGCAGTGTCTTTTCAGTACCTTTGCCACCATGAAGACGAATGTGTAGACTCCCCCGACCTGCTCCACAGCTTTCTCCAGTGTCTGGTGGGATCGGTTCTGGAGGCGGCCCAGTTCTGTCCACTTCAGCATTGTCGGGCTCTGGAAGAGCAGGGGATCCTGGGAAGCCGTTGGGTGCACGAGTCCGAGGTTCGTTAGCATCTCATGTAGGCTGTTGAAGCAGTACTGGCTCAGGCAAGATGGTGTTTCAGCTGAGTAAGTCAGGACAGTGGATGTCTGCAGGGAGAGCAACTGGCATGAAATATTCTGTATTGAAAGGTATGGATGTATAGCCCAGCATGTTTGGAGATAAACAGAGTGATATATATTTGATCATGACACAAATCATGTCTCCGTAACCATGGCAACAAAACATGATGAATCTTGTCCTCCTTACCCTCGCCTTCTCCATGTCCGACAACGTTGTGGCTCCAACCAGGACATCGAGCGAGAGATCCGCCTGACACAGGACGTCCTTGGAGAGGTACGGCACATAAATGGAGTTCATGTCTGAGCAGTCACACTTGCTGACCGAGGTCAGATTTGGCCCGAGACTGTAATGGTGGAACCACCACTCCCGACTGAGGCTGGCTGTCTTGAAGACCATCATGTTTCCCAGGTGCCAGTGCCCCATGTCCGTAGGCTCCTCTTTCACGTGACCCACCAGCAGCATTGGCACAGATGACGTCGGCTTGCGTGAGAAGTTGGCCGGGTAATCCAGAATTATCTCCCTTGACATGCAGCCATCTATGACAAGCAGGGTCTGAAACAATCCCAGGATATTGTAATATGGAAAGGAACAGTAGATCTACTAATGTCAGAAATGAAACATGCTATATTACTGCATGACATGCAAACATATTCACCACAAATCAACTTTTCGTACAAACTGAGCTGAAACATATTATGCACATTGCATACACAATCAGTTGTTCTTCAACCTCAGTGTATCTTAGCAAATATACCTTAAACAGGAGATGGTACTTTTACCGTAAGCACACAATACAAAGTGTTCTCTTCCTTGAGATTAAATTTTTTTTAAAGGTGCACAAGTCATATTTGTATTCAGACTGTACTGTATCAATAAAGCACCAAGAGATAGGGGTGAAACGGTACGCCCTTTCCATGGTATGGTACGTATTGCGGTACAAGAGTATATGAGATAAGAAGATAATGCAGAAAGAAAACAAACTCATAGGTTTTGACAAAATGATTCAATTTCTCAACATTTTGGAAAAGGTTTAAAAAAGGTTAATAAAACGATGGTACAAAAACCGAAAATACTGATTTCGGGGATTGCATTACGGTACACCGAACTGAAGGCAAAACAATGCGGTTCTACTAATACCGCAGTATACCGTTTCACCCCCTACCCAGAGATATGTTGTATCAATACATCCCTTGTTTTCATATCAGTACAGTTTCAAGAGACACACTGTATAAATACATAATTAAATCCCTGTGTTTATATCAGTACAGTATCATACACGTTGTAAAATCACTACATGTAAAGGGGGACACGCTATTTCAGCATATCAACATTTGATATATTTCATTACTGAAACACAACCATGATAAAGTTTAGTAACCGTTAGATACTGTCATGCTGATTGTATAGTAGATTACCTTCCCAACAAGGGTACTTCCATTCAGCTTCTCTTCATAGGAAACAACCAAGTGATGCCACATGCCAGGGGGAAATAACTCTGTCAGAACTCGACTCCTTCATTACCTCAGTCTCCAATGAGCCACTTGTTATTCTGGGTAACACAAACATTGCCACTTTAATGAACCAGGTCTGGTAAAATGGGTTTAAAGTTGTGTTGAAGATTACTACTATGATCCATACAACGACATAAAAGCGAGAGTGTACGGCATCTTGTACTAGCCCAGACTAGTTCGATGGAGCTAGCCCACTGAGATACCATGTCCAAGATTAACATGGGTACCCTACTCAGACACAGTACAATGACTCCCAGCTGCCAAGTCCATGTCATGTCCTCTGAACCTGCAGGCAGGGTAAGAACAAGTACCATCATTTAAAGATTTTTAGGTGGATAGAACCACGAACATTCCACATTCTTGGCACACACTCTCACCTCTAGGCCATGAAGGTAAGAATAATCAAAGGGAATCTGAAGGATAATCTCCATGAGTGCATGAGTGAGTTTTGATTACACTTTATTTGCAGCATTTAGGCAATATCACACCATGGAACAACATCAATAGACTTTATACCCCCCATCAGGTGGGAGTCAAACACAGACCTTCAGTCACACTTGCAAATGATTTACCAACATGGCCACCCACTGCTCCAACATATCATAAGGTAATGATCACATGACATAAAGATCAGCAACTTCTCAGTACCTAAATACAAATGATCTCGTCCTGACATCAATCCACACTTCAAACATCTTCTCAACATTGCCGACAGAAAGTACATGCAGACACTCGCAGACAGGGTATTGAGACAGGTTCTTCTGGGAGCCCTCGGACTTGCACTCGCCATCTACAAGAACATTTTCAAAATCATTTCAGCAAACGCATTTCAATGCAGTCAGTGAGTCAGTTTTCCTTGGTGTACAGTGAGTGAGTGAGTGAGTTTAGTTTTACGCCGCACTCAGCAATATTCCAGCTATATGGCGGCGGTCTGTAAATGATCAAATCTGGACCAGACAATCCAGTGATCAACATGATGAGCATCGATCTACGCAATTGGGAACCGATGACATGTGTCAACCAAGCCAGCGAGCCTGACCACCCGATCCCGTTAGTCGCCTCCTATGACAAGCATGGGTTACTGAAGATCAATATTCTAACCCGGACCTTCACGGGTTCCTTGGTGTACAGACAAAACAAGTCAAACCAAAAACATGAGAACAACATGTGCTAAGAATTCAGAAGGTTCTCTCCTTCAGTCTTACATAGTACTCAAAACAGCTTTACATGGTTAAGGATCACTGGAATCTTTCAAAATACTTGAGTTAATCTGTTACTTGTCACACATACTTGAACAGAGTATCATAAACAGCATATCATGATACCTCCCAAAGAATGCCTGATTTGAGGATGACCCATTGCCATGGTTTCTGGTACTCACTGAAATTGATGGAATTGAAGACAAGTGATGATGAATGATCCTTCCTCAGCTTTGGGAGGTGCATGAGAGGGTCGTCCGTGACGTCTGCTACTTTCATCCACCATGACACACTGAAGCCATTGCTGACCGGCGGCCATGTAATCGAGTCCTTGATGTCACACTGCATGGCTGTTTTGCACCACACATACTGAGGACAGGGGTCTTCGGAGGATTCTGAAATAAAGCAAATCATTTAACTAAAAACACCCAAACCAAACAAAAATATACACAAGAGTCATCAGAAGATGACATATTCCCCCGGCCCCCACATATTTGAAAGAACAAATCATCTGACAGTTACTTAGAGTCCAGCTTGATGTCTTTTCAGACTAAGTCCAAATCGTTTCCATGGAAATCATGAAAAACATAAATGCCAAAAATGTGTAAATAGCAAAAGGCACCACTTCAAAATCTGACTCATAAATCTGCCAAGTTCTGTTGTAAAGATATTAAGGGTTTTTGAGTTGTGCGATGGAAATGAAGCCCATCCCTCCCTTTTGAGACTAAGTCCAAATCGTTTCCATGGAAACCGGGTAAAAATAAAAATGCCAAAAATCTGTAAATAGCAAAAGGCACCACTTTGGGATCTGCCTCACATATCTGCCAAGTTTTGCTGAAAGATATTAAGAAGTTTTTGAGTTGTGCTCCAGAAACGAAACCTACCCCTCCCTTTTGAGACTAAGTCAAAATCGTTTCCAATGAAACCAAGAAAAATAAAAATGACAAAAATCTGTAAATAGCAAAAGGCACCACTGTAGATTCTGTTTGATATATCTACCAATTTTTGTTGAAAAATATTTAACGGTCTTATGCTCCGGAAACAAAATGATTATGGACGGACGGACGGACGAGCCGTCGACTATATCCCCCTGCATTACATGCCGGAGGGATAAAAATAAATGTGTCTCTTTAATTCCAGATTTTAAAAACAGAAAGATGATCAAACTGTGTCCTTTTCTTAAACATATTTTTAAACATGGTCTTGTTTTCCAACAGAAAAAGACAGAAGATAATTAGAGACAGTAAAATAAGGGTTGGTAGTGAATTACACCATTCTCCAATTTTTGCAAGCTGTTAATAGGATGTTATCTGTCAATTCTGTTTTATTTGATTTATTATAATACATATACTGTTAGTAACTTAATATGAAATAGAAACATCCTTTTTACCCCCAGTGCTACCTGTACAATTAGAGAATACAAACTACAGGTAGTAACTGTTGCTGAGAGATAAATGACCTTGACCTCCTGTCCAAATGTCTGACCTGTGTCTGGAGCAGCTGGTGGGTTTGTCCGGGACGTGGGGAAGGTGATGGTGTAGCACGGCTCCACCTGGGAGTTCTCCACGACACTCATCAGGGTTGACAAGATCGAGTCCTGAAGGGAGGTAATCATCAACAGTTTCAATGTAGTATTCTCACTCAGTATTAATGCCGCACTCAATAATATTCCAGCTGGATGACGGCGGTCTGTTAATAGTTTACTCTGGGGCAGATAATTCAGCAACCAACATCACGAGAATCTTGAGGATCCAATGACAATCATCAACCAAATATGTGAGTCTGACCACTTGATTGTGTTTATCACATCTTACGACAACACAAGAGGACCATTTCTAACCCAGATCTTGCAGGCAGCATTTTCATTCAAACACAGACAATCATGTTTCCTGTGATGGGAAGTTGGATTATGTTAGGTCCCTAAAAGGCCCACCTTTTAATAAACTTGAACAGGAAAGCAGAGCTCCAGATAAGATTTAGCTCATGTGGGTACTGTACCCACTGTATGTTTTGGAGCGGGTATTATGAATGTTGAGTGGGTATTTCATTTTCAGTTACCCACTGCTTTCAAATATGTGCGTATTTCAGTCATTTTACTCACCTAAGTATTATGTCATTAAGTAAGTTTACTAAGCAGGTATGTCCCGCCGCCTTATATCATACCTAATCAAAGCCAACTTAAATATAATGGAAATGATTTCATAAAAAAATCACTTATCCGATACTGACAGTACAACACTAGTCCTATACTAACAGTACAACTTGATAGCAATCGATGTCTTTTTCATTACGGAAGCGATTTTTATAAATATATTCCGCACGCATTTGTTTTAAACTTTTTGCGTATCTAACATTTTAAATGTGTAATTGGTACGCAACAATTATTTTTCAATGCGTAATTGGAAATTTTCTATGCATATTTTACCCGGATACGCAGCTTATCTGGGCCTCTGGGAAAGGTCCTCAAAATCTATTAGAACTTTTTTAGACTTACGGACAAGACAGCTCATTAGTACTCACCACAGGGTACCCCTCGACAAGGAACAGACGAATGTACAGTCGCAGTTCATTGGCTGCTATTTCCCGTCTGTGCCACAAGCTGGATCAGAGACAGCAGAATCTCTCGAAGAGCCAGCTCTGAAGTTAGGGAGCAGAGCAATCACCTTCAAATAGTGACTGTTAACAAAAGCTACTTATCCATCATATCACTGCAGGTTATACTGTAGCTGTACATGACAAGAGTCATCAGAAGATGACATATCCCCCCGGCCCCCACATCTTTGAAAGAACAAATCATCTGACAGTTACTTAAAGTCCAGCTTGATTTTAGACTAAGTGCAAATTGTTTCCATGGAAATCATGAAAAAAATAAATGACAAAAATCTGCAAATAGCAAAAGGCACCACTTTGGGATCTGCCTCACATATCTGCCAAGTTTTGCTGAAAGATATTAAGAAGTTTTCGCGTTGTGCTCCGGAAACAAAACCCATCCCTTCCTTTTTGAGACTAAGTTCGAATCATTTCCATGGAAACCGAGAAAATAATAAATCACAAATATCTGCAAATAGCAAAAGGCACCACTTCAAGATCTGCCTCACATATCTGCCAAGTTTTGCTGAAAGATATAGAGAGGTTTTTGAGTTGTGCTCCGGAAACGAAGCCCACCCCTCACTTTTGGGATTAAGTCCGAATCGTTTCCATGGAAACCGGGAAAAATAAAAATGCCAAAAATCTGCAAATAGCAAAAGGCACAACTTTAGGATCTGTTTGATATATCTACCAAGTTTTGTTGAAAAATATTATACGGTTTTTGAGTTGTGCTCCGGAAACGAAAGCAATCCTTACTTTTTGAGACTAAGTCCAAAATGTTTCCATGGAAACCAAGAAAAATAAAAATGCCAAAAATCTGCAAATAGCAAAAGGCACCACTTAAGGTTGTGTTTGATATATCTACCAAGTTTTTTTGAAAAATATTGAACGGTTCTTGGGTTATGCTCCGGAAACGAAGCCCACCCCTCACTTCTGGGACTAAGTCCGAATCGTTTCCATGGAAACCGGGAAAAATAAAAATGCCAAAAATCTGCAAATAGCAAAAGGCACCACTTAAGGTTCTGTTTGATATATCTACCAAGTCTTGTAGAAAAATACTGAACGGTTCTTGAGTTATGCTCCGGAAACGAAGCCCACCCCTCACTTTTGGGACTAAGTCCGAATCGTTTCCATGGAAACCGGGAAAAATAAAAATGCCAAAAATCTGCAAATAGCAAAAGGCACAACTTCAGGATCGGTTTGATATATCTACCAAGTTTTGTTGAAAAATATTGAATGGTTCTTGAGTCATGCTCCGGAAACGAAAGCAATCCTTATTTTTTGAGACTAAGTTCAAAATGTTTTTATGGAAACTGGGAAAAATAAAAATGCCAAAAATCGGCAAATAGCAAAAGGCACAACTTAAGGTTCTGTTTCATAGATCTACCAAGTTTTGTTGAAAAATACTGAACGGTTCTTGAGTTATGCTCCGGAAACGAAGCCCACCTCTCACTTTTGGGACTAAGTCCGAATCGTTTCCATGGAAACCGGGAAAAATAAAACTGCCAAAAATCTGTGAATAGCAAAAGGCACCACTCTAGGATCTGTTTGATATATCTACCAAGTTTTGTTGAAAAATACTGAACGGTTCTTGAGTTATGCTCCGGAAACGAAGCCCACCCTTCTTTAAGACTAAGTCCAAAACGTTTCCATGGAAACCGAGAAAAATAAAAATGACAATAATCTGTAAATAGCAAAAGGCACCACCTTAGGTTATGTTTGACATATCTACCGATTTTTGTTGAAAAATATCGAACAGTCTTTGAGTTATGCTCCGGAAACAAAATGATTACGGACGGACGGACGAGGCGACGACTATATCCCACCGCATTACATGCCGGTGGGATAAAAATGGATCTAAGTACAAGTACTGTGGTCTGGATGTTCAATAGGCTGAAGGACAGAACCACGAAAAGTAGAAGACAGACTAAAACCTAATTGTACATTTGTTGTTTTGTGTGGTAAGTGATTTGCCAGCTGAGTGTGATCCTCCCACCCTACTCCGTCTGGACCAGAAACTTGTTCACCAAAATAACCTTAGGCCACTGACTGCCAGTAGTTTAACATTGTTTTCAGTACCTTGCTGGTCAACAGTGGACTTGGTAAGGACGTCCTTGAAACCATCCAGCAGAACCTCCAAGATACCCTGCAACAAACACGCATAGCATCTCACATTGTTTGAACTAGCAGTTAATAGTGTTGGGAATTGGTTAAAATCTCATAATTGATGATTGGTTTATTACAACCGATCAATCATCGAAAAAAATTGGTTAGCGTCATTAATGAAATTTGTTAATGCACATAAAAATATGGAAAAAACATGTAGTTCTTTTGGGCAAAATTTCACATCTTTAAAGGATGACCAGTATGTAAGGAACATAAATTTCTTGGAGTCTTTAAGATAAATTCAATCATGACTTGAAACGAGCTTCTACTGCTTATGAAATGTAACAGACAAACCAACCTTGTGAAAAATATTGTTTATGAAAACAAGTGGTCCAGAATTGTTTGTGTTCGATTATGAGAAAACATGATCGATTTCTTAGTCATTTAGATACTGCAACCAATCTTCGATTATTTCAATTAATCAGACCACCACTAGCAGTTAAACAACTGTAACTAAAGCTTAAGATTAATCAGGGAGCAAAGAAGAGCAATTCTGTGTGAAGAAGAGTAACGTTTTCAGGACCTGCAGTAGCCTGTATGCACATGCAAAGATGACTTGATCAAATTCCTGAGAGCGCTTAAATATATCAACCAATCAGCAACTTTGTATCATCGAGTAATGGGTATGTTAACACTTGCAAATTACAACCATATCTCATTCTCAGCATAAGTTAGCTGTAGAAATGAATCAAGTGTATTAAAAGTTTACTCTCTGTCATAATTTAGGAATAATTTGTGAAGCCAATGAGGACAGCGTAACAAGCTGAAAGTAATGTCATTATGTCTGGTCCCATATATTGGAATTACCACTTCATGGTACACTGAATCATACAGAACAATTATCTTTTCAACAGAAATGTTTATAATGTTGCATTGATCAAACATTCATTCTAAAAGCTATTTCTGTTGCAACTTGTTCATATACAAGATACCAGAGCCACGATTACCTCTGAACACACCCCTTGTACAGCAGGGGGACTACTCCTTAGCGTCTGCAGCAGCCGTAACAACACTGACATCACCACCTTGCTGACAGCTGCGGTGTTGTAAGTTGTGATTGCCAGCTCCACAAACAGTCGGAACACAGACGGGAAGCAGATGGTGTCTGCATGCTTCAGACGGTTGTCGTAGCTTGTCTGGAGACCTGGAGGACATAATGGGTGAATGAGTGGGGTCTAATGCAGCTTTGATATCAATTATATCACAGCAGTGAGTATATACAGGAATGGGTGAGTGAGGGACTTTAGTTTCAAGCCACTTTGATCACTAGTTTGGTCTAATGCTGCTTTTGATCAATATTTCAGTCATACCACAGCATGGAGTACATACAGGAAAGGGTGACTGAGGAGTGAGTGAGTGAGTTTGGTCTTATCTCACTTTGATCAATATTTCAGTCATACCACAGCATGGAGTACATACAGGAAAGGGTGACTGAGGAGTGAGTGAGTGAGTGAGTTTGGTCTTATCTCACTTTGATCACTATTTCAGTTATACCACAGTATATATCACATACCAGAATGAGCAAGTGAGTGAGATTAGTCTAATGGTGCCTTGATGACTATTTCAGTTGAATTACAGCATGGAGAACATGTAGGTGTGAGTCTTACTTTTCTTCCAGTCATTGTGCATAGTTGTTTCTGTGTCTGCCTCATAGCCATGCTCAGTCCATACAGCCTCCTCCTCCTCACTCCCGCCGAAGTGAAGCAGCTCTCGGTATTCATCCTCATCCACCATCTCCTTGTCCTTCAGATTCTGGGTCAAGGTCAAACAACAGAAATGATACTGAGGGCATCAATCCATATTTCAACAAAAGTACCAGCTTATATTTCCCTGGTCAATCAACAACCTTAGAACTTACCCTTAGGTCACAAGGTCCATAGCTATAAATCAAGTGATGAACATCACGGTCCAATTGGTTCCAACCCAGAAAGTCACTTGTTGATCCAATATAAGGATATAAGTCACTCTACATAACATCTCCTACTGAAACCTTTAGGAGTTAAGTATACACGTGACTCACCAGCATTGCAATGATTTGGTCGTAGGAGTACTCCAGGATGGATGGCAGCTGGGGCAGGGCAGTGTTGAGGAGCATGTCGAACACGGCCTTGAGCTTGGTGGGGTCCAGCTTCACACACTGCTGCAGGGAGTCACGCAGCTGCTTCCAGTGGGCCTCCTCGCCACCCTTCTGTACACACAGACGGTCAGTCGGTCAGTTTGATTAATGCCTAACTCAGAACTATTCAAGCCCTATAATGGTGTTCTGTCTATAGATCCAGTCTTGACCAGACATTTAAGAGATCTATACTGTGAACAATGATTCAAGCCATTGGTGTACACAGTCAAAGAAACTGAACATCCAAGCCATGAAGCTGCTTCTTGCAACAAAGAAAACTTGGTAAATCTCTCTGTTCTGTGGCATTTACAGGAACATTAGCCCTTTGTAGGCATGACGTTTTTCTGGTGCTTGGAAAAAATGCTCTGTTAGATGACAAACATAACAGAATCAATTGCAAAATATTTAAATAATCATGGTTGGAAGATAACCATTACATGATGTACTCAAGGGATCACCCGATGATGAAATACTTAGACCCATAGGCTACTGATTTAATCCACAAGTTTATTGATGCCATAATCAGTATTCAGGGTAGTCAGTTCCTAATGTGAAAATAAAGCCCAAGATGCTCATGTGTCAGCATTTCTCATAAACATGGGTCACTTGTTGATCCTGCAGTATGGAGGAATATTTTTGTTAATATTTTTGCAATTGGAAGACAATTTAAGTTTATGGCAAAATAAGCATGTCTGACACTACTGTCGAGATATTAATGAAGGTGAGGCTGAAGGAAACAAATTAGCAATATCACATTCCACATTACTTTAATCCTCAACTGTTTCAAAGTCATTACCTTTTGTGTTGGAGAGACTGTGTGACATGAGAAGCAGACAATCATCACAGCCTCGATGAAGGTGAGCTTCTTCAGATGGCAGGAGAAGGACCTCACAGAGCTGGTCTCTGTCACAGATTCCCTCCGTGACTGGCACAGCTGGACCCCCATGTCTGACAGAAGCTCCAGAGTCAGCAGCAGCGTATCCTGGACAATGTACAGACACGGAGAGTTCCTATAGAAGGATCTGAATGTAGGACTATTCATACACAGCTTGGCACAGGTCTGCCACATGTCCTGTAGCAAGGGCAAGTCTTTGACAATATCATGGTGGCGGGCAGGCAACAGGGTAGAAGTAGAGTCTTCGTCCGAACCACTATCCTGGTGATCGGTACCACTTCCACTGCTGCCTTGCTTCTCCAGATGCAGTTGTTGAAATGCTGCAGTTATTGCACATGTCTTCTTTGCCAGGATGTCAATGAATATCTGCATTACAGTTCCACGGATGTACTCAGAAGTCAGTAATGTTACTTCTTCAGCATTCTTTGTTTTCATCTCTCTCACTTTCTGTTCATCGATCATTATCAATGCCTCAAAGACTCCCATAACTGGGGCTCTCAAATGACTGTCCTCTAAAAGATTATTGAGTCTGGAGAGTCCCTCTTTCTCCACAAACACATTCATAACTTTGTCTACTTGCAACACATAAGGCAAGGCTGACACACAGTACAGCATGATAGAACTTGGAACCTTCCCCAAGGAAATGAGCTGTTCATCGGAAGAAGTGTCTGTGATCTCGGTGGAGTCCTCCAGGGCAGAATGCACAACATGCTGATACACCTTAAAGAACAACTCTTGCTTCAGGTCACTGTTTCCTCTGATGGCTAACACAATCAGATGCTTGGCAGTTATCAAGGCTAGACTTTCATCAGGTGACACAATAAACTGTCTGAACACCTGAAGAGGACGCCACCTCTGTAACGACCACTGTTTCTTTGCTTCAAGTCTACCACTGCTAGAAAATCCACTATCAATTATTCTGGACAGGTCTCCCATACCATCTGGAGTACTTGCTGAAGAAGATATGGAAAACTTATCTTCAAATGTACACAACTTACACACATTTATCTCTGGTAGTTGTTTGTCTGTGAGTTCTTCTGAACCCATGAACTGGTCCAGAAGGATGTCATTGAGGGACTCCAGGCTGCAGCTTCTGATGGCTGGCGTGAAGCTGGGAAGCAGAGGAGTCACAGCTTCAATGATGGTCTTGGGATGCATACAGCAGCAGATCCCGGGATGTCTAAGGGTGGAAAGGATTTGTACCTGCAGCTTTGTGGACTTTGTTTCTGCCAGCATTTCTAGGAGAAGTTCCGTCAAGATGGCGACCTGGCACTTGCTAGGGTTGGAGGACCAGGACCTGTGTCTGCCATCACCAGCTGCCTCCACCTGCTCCAACTCCAGCCCCGATGGGTAGCCCAGGATGTTGTGGTGATGGCTCAGGTACATGTGGTACTCACAATTCCTGTGACGTCTCTTCAAACATTTCACTGCATGGATATAGTTCACCTTCACCAGCTTCAGTGTACTGATGAGAGAAGCAATATTCTTCAAGGGATCTTCCTGAAGATCACCTTGACCACTACTTAAGTCTGTTTTTGTCAACTTAGATGAACATACCAATTGTTTTATGTACAGGAAACCATTATTTGTTTTGAAGCAATCCAGGATCCCTAAGGCACAGTTTATGAATGATGGATTAAATGGAAGACTCATGAATACTGTTTCAAAGAGAAGGATCAGTCCACATATGACATCCATCACAAGGTCAAAATGGTCTGTTTCTACAATGTCCCCAGAATCAGGATTAGGGTCCACTAAGCAGGCAATGGCTGCCATGATGCTGCTGACTGTATTGTGTCCCATTAAGATTTTGACACCACTCTGTTGGGTGGCAATGATTCCACTGGCTGTCAAAATCAGACGGATCAGGTGTCTCTGAAGTGTCAACTTTGTTTTGTTCTTCCAGTTTAATTTAGAGGCATTTTCAGATGGCTCTGTCTCACACAGACGGGAAAATATATGAAGAAGATGTGGCAGCATTGTGGGTGACATTACCTTGCCAGGGGCCACATGGGAAAGGTCAAGGATACAAAGGTCAAGTAAAAGGTCAAAGATGATGAGGGTGAGTTCTGCAGAACTGACAGATTCCTGCACAGCTTGAAAGTCCGGGAATGCTCCCAGTAAATCCTGATCGGAACCGGAATCTTCATCTTCCTGAATTCCTGTAGACTTGAACAGCAGCACTCTTGCTGGCCTTCTTATCCGAGAATGTTTGATCTTGTCTTCTTGCACCTCTTCTTCCTCACTCTCAGAATTGTTCTGCTGTGTAACTGAACTAGACACTTTTGTAAACCTTCGTTTTCTGTGGTGATGAGCCTCTGTTCCATGGTGACTGGGATGGTTTGGGTGCATGACTGTTTCTCTCTGACAACCAAAGTTTTTCAACTTTGAGAGTTTCTGAGTGTACACGAAACATTGCTGAACAGGCATCCATGTCTCTTCCCTCCCTACAAGCAGAGACCTCAGGTTTAAAGACATATTTCACAGGTCCTTACAGTAAAATATTACAAAAATCTAAAAGAAAACCCCATGATCTTTTTACACTGTTTTTCCAGAATTAGAGGGCTCAACTATGCTATATTGAACAAAATAAGAAATGACTGACTGACTGAGTGAGTTTGGTTTTACGCTGCTTTTAGCAATATTCCAGCAATATCACAGCGGGGGACACCAGAAATGGGCTTCACTCATTGTACCCATGTGGGGATTCGAACCCGGGTCTTCGGCGTGACGAGCCAAAGCTTTAACCACTAGACTACCCCACCGCCCCAAATAAGGAATGACAAGTCTTTATGGATGATCAACTTCCTTATTGTACAACAGCGACGTTTCGGTATAAATACTTATACTGTTTCCAACTCACAACTTTTAGAATGCCTCTCAAACAGTTCAAAATAGGTTAGAGATGACTTTGTGGTATATTTGTTTAAAGTTGTGTGCTCACTACAAAACAAAATAGTGAAAATAATCCCTACTCCATTCTGTTCAGCATATTTCTGGGTCTGGGTTTCTCACTAGTATTTTGATCATACTTTGGAAAGTACTTATGTGCCCATCATGGGGTGTCCTAACATCCCAATAATATGTGATATGAGCAAAATGTTAGGAGCAGACATGGAAAAAGGTAGACATCCACATCTACTTAATTGTCCTTACTGAAGTAACTACTGAATACCCAAGTTTGTGATGAACACTCTACCTTTGAAGATGATGGAATCTGTGGGAGGCTCTGAGGGCTGGAACTGGATGGTCCATGGCAGCAGGGACAGAAGCAGGTTGCACAGGTCTCGACTGTTGGATAACGTCTGGAAGGAAACATACTGAGTAATGGTGGATGGAACATATCCCACTGTACTATCTTATAACATCACCATCAGATTATTAAACAGATATATGTCATGAAAAAGGACAAACTAATAAGATGTTGGGAAGCTACCTTGACCCTGACACTGTAAAACAACTTACCTTGACCCCAACACTGTGTAAAACGGCCTACCTTGCCCCCAACACTGTGTAAAACGGCTTACCTTGACCCCAACACTGTGTAAAACGGCTTACCTTGACCCTGACACTGTGTAAAACAGCCTACCTTGACCCTCACCCTGTGTAAAACAGCTAACCTTGACCCTGACACTGTGTAAAACAATCAACCTTGACCCCAACACTGTATAAAACAGCCTACCTTGACCCCGACACTGTGTATGACATGGAGGAGCTTCCATCCTCGGCCCTCCAGAAGGTACTGCTGCAGCTGCGAGGAGTCGCTCTCATCCTGGGCGCTGTTGGACACCAGTAGGATGTCATTCATCAGCTCCTGACTCAGCTGGTTGCTAATGTTCTTCATGTTGCTATGGAAACAAATTGGGGAGTTAGCATGAGATTGATGATGGTCTTAGCCATACTGTAATCTTTTAATCTCAGGGAATGTTATTGCTTCACGTTCTACTTTTGAATAATTACTACCTTCCTGAGACAAATTCTTTGCAAGATTGAGAGTTTTCTTTCATACACATTAGGCTCAGAGCAGTATTTTAGTTACATGTCAGAGGTTCAAACATTTTTTAAAGAGCCACTTGCCACAGGGCAAGTCACTTTAAGAAAGTAACTTGTCCTGACTAAGTTTCCACTTGCCCAGATTTTATGACATAATTATGATGATGTAATTATGAAAGAAGAAATCAAGATGGTATTTGATGTTAATGTTTACTGGACTATTTATTGAAAAGTGATAAATAGCAAAGAAAGATAACTCTACTTTATTATCATTGCGAAATTTAATAGTTACATTTTGAGCAGATATGAAATTAAATCAAAGTTTATTTGCAGTTTGAAACCATAAGTGGAAACTATCTAGTAACCCACGGACAAGTAAGATAGCATTATTAGATTGCCCGAAATGAAAACTGACTTGGCGTCGGGCGATGGGATTTTTGAACCCCTGCATGTCATTGCACGTCACAGAAGTAGGGGAGGAAAGATTGAAATAATGCATGTCATAGTTGTGTTTGAAACTGGTGACACATTGTTTTCATAAATCAAATAATCTTTAACACAACAGTAAGCCTCATTATTTCACCTTACTTTGGTTGGTGAACCCATTACACATGGTTTTGGTGAGACCCATTTCTGAAAGGGTTCCGGCATGCCAGATATACCATGAAAGGGGAAAAAAGGCACAAGGCAAACTGGTACTTCAGACATGTTAGATGATTGGTTTGCCCTTTCACACTGTAACCCATGTTTGCAGTCACACTGTATCATGAACCCATGTTGCAGTCAGATAATGGTGCACAATAGTCTTGCTTGAGATACGACACTGTGTTCAGGTGGCCGTGTACATTGCAGTAACTACCAGTATTAGTGTATTAGTGAATGTCTGTTAGGGTACTGTACTGTTGATGCTGAGTGTATCAGTGAATGTCTGTCAGGGTACTGTACTGCTGATGCTGAGTGTATCAGTGAATGTCTGTCAGGGTACTGTACTGCTGATGCTGAGTGTATCAGTGAATGTCTGTTAGGGTACTGAATGTCTGTTAGGTTACTGTACTGCTGATGCTGAGTGTATCAGTGAATGTCTGTTAGGGTACTGTACTGCTGATGCTGACTGTATCAGTGAATGTCTGTTAGGGTACTGTACTGCTGATGCTGAGTGTATCAGTGAATGTCTGTATGCTGTATCAGAATGTCTGTTAGGGTACTGTACTGCTGATGCTGAGTGTATCAGTAGGCTGACTGTATCAGCTGATGTCTGTTAGGGTACTGTACTGTATGCTGAGTGTATCAGTGAATGTCTGTTAGGGTACTGTACTGCTGATGCTGAGTGTATCAGTGAATGTCTGTTAGGGTACTGTACTGCTGATGCTGAGTGTATCAGTGAATGTCTGTTAGGGTACTGTACTGCTGATGCTGAGTGTATCAGTGAATGTCTGTTAGGGTACTGTACTGCTGACTGCTGATGCTGAGTGTATCAGTGAATGTCTGTCAGGGTACTGTACTGCTGATGCTGAGTGTATCAGTGAATGTCTGTTAGGGTACTGTACTGCTGATGCTGAGTGTATCAGTGAATGTCTGTTAGGGTACTGTACTGCTGATGCTGAGTGTATCAGTGAATATCAGTGAACTGTCTGTGATGCTGAGGTGTATCAGTGAATGTCTGTCAGATGCTGAGTGTATCAGTGAATGTCTGTATCTGAGTGAATGTCTGTCAGGGTACTGTACTGTACTGATGCTGAGTGTATCAGTGAATGTCTGTCAGGGTACTGTACTGCTGATGCTGAGTGTATCAGTGAATGTCTGTCACTGGGTACTGTACTGCTGATGCTGAGTGTATCAGTGAATGTCTGTTAGGGTACTGTACTGCTGATGCTGAGTGTATTAGTGAATGTCTGTTAGGGTACTGTACTGCTGCTGAGTGTATCAGTGAATGTCTGTGGGTACTGTACTGCTGATGCTGAGTGTATCAGTGAATGTCTGGGTACTGTAGGTGAGTGTATCAGTGAATGTCTGTCAGGGTAGCTGAGGTATCTGAATGTCTGTTAGGGTACTGTACTGCTGATGCTGAGTGTATCAGTGAATGTCTGTCAGGGTACTGTACTGCTGATGCTGAGTGTATCAGTAATGTCTGTTAGGGTGATGAGTGTATCAGTGAATGTCTGTCAGCTGAGTGTATCAGTAATGTCTGTACTGCTGATGCTGAGTGTATCAGTGAATGTCTGTCAGGGTACTGTACTGCTGATGCTGAGTGTATCAGTGAATGTCTGTGGGTAATGTACTGCTGATGCTACTGTATCAGCTGTCTGTTAGGGTACTGTACTGCTGATGCTGAGTGTATCAGTGAATGTCTGTCTACTGTACTGCTGATGCTGAGGTACTGTACTGCTGATGCTGAGTGTATCAGTGAATGTCTGTTAGGGTACTGTACTGCTGATGCTGAGTGTATCAGTGAATGTCTGTTAGGGTACTGTACTGCTGATGCTGAGTGTATCAGTGAATGTCTGTCAGGGTACTGTACTGCTGATGCTGACTGTATCAGTGAATGTCTGTTAGGGTACTGTACATGCTGATGCTGAGTGTATCAGTGAATGTCTGTTAGGGTACTGTACAGCTGATGCTGAGTGTATCAGTGAATGTCTGTCAGGGTACTGTACTGCTGATGCTGAGTGTATCAGTGAATGTCTGTTAGGGTACTGTACTGCTGATGCTGAGTGTATCAGTGAATGTCTGTTAGGGTACTGTACAGCTGATGCTGAGTGTATCAGTGAATGTCTGTTAGGGTACTGTACTGCTGATGCTGAGTGTATCAGTGAATGTCTGTTAGGGTACTGTACTGCTGATGCTGAGTGTATCAGTGAATGTCTGTTAGGGTACTGTACTGCTGATGCTGAGTGTATCTGAGTGTAGTGAATGTCTGTTAGGGTACTGTACTGTGTATCTGATGCTGAGTGTATCAGTGAATGTCTGTTAGGGTACTGTACTGCTGATGCTGAGTGTATCAGTGAATGTCTGTTAGGGTACTGTACTGCTGATGCTGAGTGTATCAGTGAATGTACTGATGCTGAGTGTCTGTTAGGGTACTGTACTGTGATGCTGATGCTGAGTGTATCAGTGAATGTCTGTTAGGGTACTGTACTGCTGATGCTGACTGTATCAGTGAATGTCTGTTATACAGTGAATGTCAGTGTCTGTTAGGGTACTGTACTGCTGATGCTGAGTGTATCAGTGAATGTCTGTTAGGGTACTGTACTGCTGATGCTGAGTTAGTATCTGTACTGTTGATGCTGAGTGTATCAGTGAATGTCTGTCAGGGTACTGTACTGCTTGATGCTGAGTGTATCAGTGAATGTCTGTTAGGGTACTGTACTGCTGATGCTGAGTATCAGTGAATGTCTGTACTGCTGAGCTGGTACTGTACAACATGCTGATGCTATGTATCAGTGAATGTCTGTTAGTAGACTGTACTGCTGATGCTGAGTGTATCAGTGAATGTCTTGTTAGGGTACTGTACTGCTGATGCTGCCATTACATTACAACCTGTATGTCCATATCATTACAGTCTGTATGTTCCATTACATTACGACCTATATGTCCCATATCATTACAATTTGTATGTTCCATTACATTACGACCTGTATGTCCCATATCATTACAGTTTGTATGTTCCATTACATTACGACCTGTATGTCCCATATCATTACAGTCTGTATGTTCCATTACATTACGACCTGTATGTCCCATATCATTACAATCTGTATGTTCCATTACATTACGACCTGTATGTCCCATATCATTACAGTCTGTATGTTCCATTACATTACGACCTGTATGTCCCATATCATTACAATTTGTATGTCCCATTACATTACGACCTGTATGTCCCATATCATTACAATTTGTATGTCCCATTACATTACGACCTGTATGTCCCATATTTGTATGTCATTACAATTTGTATGTCCCATTACATTTGTATGTTCCATTACATTACTTATGTTCCACCTATATGTCCCATATCATTACAATTTGTATGTCCCATTACATTACTTTTTCTGTATGTCCATATCATTACATGTTTGTATGTCCCATTACATTACTTAATTCCTGTATGTCCCATATCATTACATTCCATTACTTCCTGTATGTCCCATTACATTACATTACATTAATTATGTATGTCCCATATCATTACAGTTTGTATGTCCCATTACATTCAACCTGTATGTCCCATTACATTACAGTCTGTATGTCCATTACAATTTGTATGTCTCATTATGTCCATTACATTACTTGTATGTCCATTACATGTATGTCCCATATCATTACAGTCTGTCCCATTACATTCCATTACATTCATTACACCTGTATGTCCCATATCATTACAATTTGTATGTCCCATTACATTGTCCATATCACCTGTATGTCCCATATCATTACAATTCTGTATGTTCCATTACATTACGACCTGTATGTCCATATCATTACAATTTGTATGTTCCATTACATTACCACCTGTATGTCCCATATCATTACAATCTTTTGTATGTTCCATTACATTACTTAACACCTGTATGTCCCATATCATTACAATTTGTATGTCCATCCATTACATTATGTCCCATTACATTGTGCACCTGTATGTCCATATATCATTACAATCCATTACATTATTCGACATTGTATGTCCCATATCATTACATTCCATGTATGTTCCATTACATTGTATGTCCCATATCATTACAGTTTGTATGTTCCATTACATTACGACCTGTATGTCCCATATCATTACAATTTGTATGTCCCATTACATTACGACCTGTATGTCCCATATCATTACAATTTGTATGTTCCATTACATTACGACCTGTATGTCCCATATCATTACAATTTGTATGTCCCATTACATTACGACCTGTATGTCCCATATCATTACAATTTGTATGTTCCATTACATTACGACCTGTATGTCCCATATCATTACAATTTGTACCATTTGTATGTCCCATTACATTACTTACATTGTATGTCCCATATCATTACAATTTGTATGTCCCATTACATTACTTATGTCCTGTATGTCCCATATCATTACAATTTGTATGTCCCATTACATTACGACCTGTATGTCCATATGTTACAATTTGTATGTTCCATTACATTCTGTGTCTGTATGTCCCATTATCATTACAATTTGTATGTCCATTACATTACGACCTGTATGTCCCATATCATTACAATTTGTATGTTCCATTACATTACGACCTGTATGTCCCATATCATTACAATTTGTATGTCCCATTACATTACGACCTGTATGTCCCATATCATTACAATTTGTATGTCCCATTACATTACGACCTGTATGTCCCATATCATTACAATTTGTATGTTCCATTACATTACGACCTGTATGTCCCATATCATTACAATTTGTATGTCCCATTACATTACAACCTGTATGTCCCATATCATTACAATTTGTATGTCCCATTACATTACGACCTGTCCCATATCATTACAATTTGTATGTCCCATTACATTACCTGTGTTACTTACTGTATGTCCCATTATTATTACAATTTGTATGTCCCATTACATTACTGTACCTGTATGTCCCATATCATTACAATTTGTATGTCCCATTACATTACAACCTGTATGTCCCATATCATTACAATTTGTATGTCCCATTACATTATTACCTGTATGTCCATGTCACTACATGTCCATATCATTACAATTTGTATGTCCCATTACATTATGTATGTACCTGTATGTCCCATATCATTACAATTTGTATGTCCCATTACATTACGACCTGTATGTCCCATATCATTACAATTTGTATGTCCCATTACATTACGACCTGTATGTCCCATATCATTTACAATTTGTATGTGTCCATTACATTACATTCATCCTTGTATGTCCCATATCATTACAATTTGTATGTCCCATTACATTACGACCTGTATGTCCCATATCATTACAATTTGTATGTCCATTACATTACTGACCTGTATGTCCCATATCATTACAATTTGTATGTCCCATTACATTACACGACTGTATGTCCCATATCATTACAATTTGTATGTCCCATTACATTACTGACCTGTATGTCCCATATCATTACAATTTGTATGTCCCATTACATTACTACGACCTGTATGTCCCATATCATTACATTTGTATGTCCCATTACATTACGACCTGTATGTCCCATATCATTACAATTTGTATGTCCCATTACATTACTTACCTGTATGTCCCATATCATTACAATTTGTATGTTCCATTACATTACTTTACCTGTATGTCCATATCATTACAATTTGTATGTCCCATTACATTACTTACCTGTATGTCCCATATCATTACAATTTGTATGTCCCATTACATTACGACCTGTATGTCCCATATCATTACAATTTGTATGTTCCATTACATTACGACCTTTGTATGTCCCATATCATTACAATTTGTATGTCCCATTACATTACTTCACCTGTATGTCCCATATCATTACAATTTGTATGTCCCATTACATTACATTTGTACCTGTATGTCCCATATCATTACAATTTGTGTCATCATTACATTGTATGTCCCAGTCCCATTACATTACATTTTACAATTTGTATGTCCCATTACATTACAACCTGTATGTCCCATATATCATTACAATTTGTATGTCCCATTACACAATTTTGTATGTACCATGTCCCATATCATTACAATTTGTATGTCCCATTACATTACAACCTGTATGTCCCATATCATTACAATTTGTATGTCCCATTACATTACGACCTGTATGTCCCATATCATTACAATTTGTATGTCCCATTACATTACAATTTGTATGTCCCATTACATTACGACCTGTATGTCCCATATCATTACAATTTGTATGTTCCATTACATTACGACCTGTATGTCCCATATCATTACAATTTGTATGTCCCATTACATTACAACCTGTATGTCCCATATCATTACAATTTGTATGTCCCATTACATTACGACCTGTATGTCCCATATCATTACAATTTGTATGTCCCATTACATTACGACCTGTATGTCCCATATCATTACAATTTGTATGTCCCATTACATTACAACCTGTATGTCCCATATCATTACAATTTGTATGTCCAATTACATTACGACCTGTATGTCCCAGATTATTACAATTTGTATGTCCCATTACATTACGACCTGTATGTCCCAGATTATTACAATTTGTATGTCCCATTACATTACAACCTGTATGTCCATATCATTACAATTTGTATGTCCCATTACATTACGACCTGTATGTCCCATATCATTACAATTTGTATGTCCCATTACATTACGACCTGTATGTCCCATATCATTACAATTTGTATGTCCCATTACATTACAACCTGTATGTCCCATATCATTACAATTTGTATGTCCCATTACATTACGACCTGTATGTCCCATATCATTACAATTTGTATGTCCCATTACATTACGACCTGTATGTCCCATATCATTACAATTTGTATGTCCCATTACATTACGACCTGTATGTCCCATATCATTACAATTTGTATGTCCCATTACATTACGACTTGTATGTCCCAGATTATTACAATTTATATGTCCCATATCATTACGACCTGTATGTCCCATATCATTACAATTTGTATGTCCCATTACATTATGACCTGTACGTCCCAGATTATTACAATTTGTATGTCCCATTACATTACGACCTGTATGTCCCATATCATTACAATTTGTATGTCTTGTACATAAAAGATGAGTAACGGGATCGGGTGATCAGGCTTGTTGACTTGGTTGCCACATGTCATCACATCCCAATTGTGTAGATCGATGCCCATGCTGCTGATCACTATATTGTCTGGTCCAGACTCGATTATTAACTCACTGCAGCCATATAGCTGGAATATTGCTGAGTGTGGTGTTAAACAACAAGCAAACCAAACCAAAAATAAAGATTCCAATACAGTCTGTATCTTCCATAACATTACAAGATGTATATTTAATAACACAACAATTTGTATCTCCTATTTTTTATCACAATTTCTATCTCTTATTATTATACAATTTGTATGTCCCATAACATAAAAATTTGAATGTCCGATAACATTACAATTTGTATCTCTTGTTATGTTATACAATACAGTGTGTATCTTCCATAACAATACAATGTGTACCTCAGATAACATTACACTTTGTATTTCCTATTACATTACAAGGGGCGGTGGGGTAATCTAGTGGTTAAAGCGTTGGCTTGTGTCAGGTGGGGTTAGTCTAGAAGACCCGTTGGTTCAATCCCCACACGGGTACAATGAGTGAAGCCCATTTCTGGTGTCCCCCGCCGTGATATTGCTGGAATATTACTAAAAGCGGCGTAAAACCAAACTCAGTCAGTCAGTCAGTATTACATTACAATCTGTGTGTCCTACTACATTACACCGAGCATGCCTCATATCATTATAATTAGTATCTCCCATTACATCACACTACAGCTTGTACGTCCCACAGAGGGACACCAACAGTTACGGAATAAGATATCCCACATGTCAACATGATAAATACCAGGTTGATTAATGCTAATGTTTCTCCTGTAGAACCCATTAGTTATACATTATATCCCACCACTCTGTACACAGTCATCTTGTTGGACCTCCTGGCTGTGTTACACATTCTGCACTCTCACTATAGGGCGACTGACCCTCGTTACGCTTGCCTGCATGAAATGCATGTTACACCTTAAACTACAAAACTGGTTTTCCTTAATGATAACAGAAAATATATTTCAAATGCAGAATTAGCATATAAAAATGGAGCAGTTATGTAAGTCCTTTATCATGTTGACGCCATGTCAAATAATGCATTATGCCAACCAGTTGGATATTCCTTTAATCTGATTGGTCAGTCAGTGTTGTTAAATTATAACAACACGCCTCTGATTCTAGCTTCTACCACACAGTATTTTCTTATTATAAGGAGCCTGATCAACGAACAAGACAAAGAATGTTAGAAAAGTTGTGATGTTGTGGTTTAGTGCTGCACTTCCAGCTACAGACAGACAGACAGACAATGTCCATTTGGTGGTCATACTTCTGACCCACAGGTAAATCCTGTTAGAGGCCTCTTACTACAAGTATGAGTTGATAGAGGCCACATATAACCCTTCATGGAGGAGGTGATGCTAACTGTCAATTGTATGTCCATGTTCACCCTGTTGCCATGACATCATGCTAAAACAGATTCTCACCTGAACCTGGGGGTTCCCTGAGGTCCGGCAGTGACCATCAGGTGCAGCTTCAGGAACTTGTCCAAGATCACGTGACGCTTCTGAAAAAGGAATGTCCTTCATTGTAACATGAACACAAAATGTACTGGAATGGTAAGTAGGAAGGTTATCGTGTGACTTTCATGATACAAAAAGTATCAAAATCATATACCTGAAAAGACTGAGGTGGTGTACCAGGAGTAAACATTTAACTTTGTCCTGACTGTTTTAAGCCAGGTCTCCAGCAAAGCAAGTGAACACTTCATTTATCTGGCCACCCTTGCCTGCTTAGATAGGAGTGAATATGTTTCCAAACCTGGGCCTCCTTTCACAAAGCACTAAGGTGACAGTAAATCACTCAGGTAACCTTAGTGGAATGTTAAAGAATGGGAGTTAATGATAACCTTAGTAAAGGCTGCTTCGTGAAAACAGCCCCAGGTCTGCCGCCTAAAGTGAACATTTCACATTTCATCTGTGTGACACAATCTATTTACCAGCAGTACGAGGGTGACATGCAGGGTACTGGCATGTTTGATATTCTGTCCGTCATGTGAAGGTCACCAAGTGTGAAGCTGAACAAGGATCACAACTGGAGGTAACCTAGGATTCAAACCTACAGCCTGACAACTAAGGGGCACAACTCTGAATATTTAGTTGTTGCTTCTCACCCCGCTGGGCCACCATTGCTCAGAATAAACAAAGAAAAAGCTTAAATATCTGCAGCTCATTGGGATTCAAACCCAACCAGGTCATTGTCCAAACAGAAAAGTCCAAGCTTGGCCCTGTAATCACCCCTACAGTAATTACTGTAATCAAGTCTGTAATGACACTCATATGCATGAAACTCGAAAATATGGTACTTACTTCGTTTCGATATCGTAACAATATTACAAACTAACATTTATCATAAATCAAAGGTAAAATTTGACATTGAAGCTCACAAACGTGAACAGTGATAACATGTGACAAGCATAACAATACAAGTAAAGAGCAAAAATTCTTATTGATGATGCCTTTGACATAAGTCATGCTGATGCAGCTCGGTGTATTGATCCAGACTTACACCATGTCCAGTGTTGGTGACATCGACATAAGGCATGCTAACATCAACAAATAATCAAAGTGGAGCATTTCCATGATGGATATCATTCTCAAAGTGCAGATAGAATCATTACCGTGGTCAGTGGAACAGTGTCAACTCTATTTCGCTGTCATTCCGAGTTCCCTGTGGAGCAGACAAGCCAAGCTGTCTGTGAGGCGTAACTTCACATGATTATTATTGACCTGCGTGTTGTACCTGACCACGTTCCGTCATGTCAATATACACGACACAAAACCCCTAAACATACTGATAACTTTAGTAACTGACTACAAAACTGATAATTGTTTGCAGATAAACACATATCATATATTTTTATCGCTAATCAGAATTTTTACAGTAACTGATAATGTTATTAAGCGTGATACATGTTTCCAGATTACTGATTGTATTATGCTGAACAAGGTCACAGAGACACACACAACTGATCAGCTGATATGGACATCTGTCACATTCATCAAGGACATCATAACTTAACTGTCAATCAATACTGATATATAGGTCAATATTACCCACATGCCCATGTGATAAATCATGTACATCAGTCATATCTACATATATACTCTGACATCATCACTGCCCTGGTGCTGTATCAAGCACAAGCTTGGGAGCAAGTTCTGGATCGGCCATGTACAGTCATACATGAAACTTGATCACACTTCTGTCACATCACGACATGATAACATCTGTATCGACCGATGCATCAAACTGCTGCATTATTATTCAAAACTGTTTTTGTTTCGACATACTAGGATTGAAAAATGAAATTAAAACATGTTATTATAGTGAGTGATGAGCGAAAGAATGTGTGGGTAGATTTTTATGCAATATTCCAGCAAATATCATGACTGGGGGCAACAGAAACAGGCTTTACACATTGTACCCATGTGGAGAACTGAACCCAGGTCTTTAGCATTAGGAGCAAACACTTTAACCACTAGGCTACCCCACTGTCCAGTGAGTGGAATAACAAGGTCACTATGGTCACCGTGACAATGTTACAGCAATATATATCACTAGTCACGGTCTCCCCACTGTCTGCGCAGGGAGAGTTTTAGGAGGGAGGGAGCTCATGACAACATTAAAATGAAGATCGTTCATTCACCTTGCCGTCCATTCAAAGTTTATTCCATGTAAATAGGGTCAGTAGGTCCCTAAATATGAATGAATTCTGACACGGCAGCGAACCTGTCCCCCATACACTGCCATGATCACACCACCTGTACTGGCATCTTGTAGCAGGCATGCCACACTAAGGATTAGACCAACATTTAGTCCAAGAGACAATGTCTACTGATTCAAGGGGATTTATCCACAAACTAAAAAGTAAAATCCAAATGGATCCAGTGTTAAATTTCTGGTCAAGGGCTGAGAAAATCTAGACTTGCAAATAACGGCAAGATTTAAGTAGGATGCAAATTTCATTTATTCTGTACAGTCAGGAAACATGCAATAGGATCTACTATGCTCATTTATCCTCAATGGGATATATTTCCTGACAATTACATATCTAGCATAAAAACAAAGGACATGACAGAGTGTAGTAGATGCCATCCCCACAATCATAAACAACCTTTATGTGCAAAAAATTATGCGCCAAATCCATGTTAATCTCTAAAGCAGTGTCCAAAACTCTGACCAATGGATCAGTATGCACGTAACTTGCATTCTCAGCTCTACAGAGCATACAACCTAAACTGCCCCTGAAGCACCAGAATATCAACAGTCACATACACCCAAATACTAATTCACTGCTGCATCCAAATCGTCACATATACCACGCAAGGGAAGTTACATGCCTCACAATTCTTTCAGGTGGTATGACAATATGAGAGAATCAAGTGCTCCTTCACTTCTTTTGAGCAGTATACAAGCATGGAGTGGCATTTAGAAGTTGGTGTGATGAACAAGGGTGATAGTTCTATGCATACACAACTTCTTTATAACAATATATGCACTGTTTCAGTGTAGATGGCAATACTATTATCAAGCAAGTGATCACAAACAACAGAGATCACACCGAAATGTTGCCTATGTTGTAATAAAGACGTTGTATACCCATAGAACTATCACCCTTGTCCACAGACTTGCTTGACACTCAAACAATAAATGGCCTGGCATGCCCATATGCGAAATTTCTAACAACCCTGGATGCGCTTGTGGATACCACAATGAAGATACTGTTCATTATCTTTTTACATGTAAGTTATACACTGCTATTAGAAATAATACCTACTTCTATGTAAATGGCCACAATCTCCAAACTGTGTTATACGGAATACCTCCGGCAAACAACAACGTCAATAAGAACATAATAGAGTCCCTGCATCAATACATCTATAAGTCTAAACGATTTGACAAATTATACTAACAATTATATGCAATCAATTAATGAAGTGTAGCTGCAAGCTCAATGTTTATAAGCACCTACAATGCACATGATTTAATTTGTCGGTTTTTGTATCCAGTTCTTGTGTATTTGTTTAAATGATATATGTACTGGTGAGGTATTGATATAAGTAGAGTTCTGCTTGTTTACCAAACCAGATTCTCTAGGAATAAAAATATGTTTAAACCATATGCGAAATATGCATTCAGGGGTGGAAATAACTTTAAAATTATTAGTGTACTCCGGTACAGTGGCACATGTAAAATCACTTGCCCTGGTAATTTTTTCACTATACCGGACGTTTTCTTGTTGATTTTTTAAAATAAACAACATAATTAATATTGGAAAGTCAACTGGACACCGGTACAGTGTGATATACAAATTTGCTTGCCTGACAGAAAAAACCACTGGAGTCGGGCAATGGGTTATTTCCACCCCTGGCATTACATCAAAAAGCGCATGTTAAATCTCCAAATCATCATCATCATCATCATCATCATCATCATCATCATCATCATAACCACCACCACCACCACAGACTTGTTCTCACCTTCCTAGGAACATGCTCAGTCCCTGGAAAGTCTATTGTTTTTCTTCATTGTATACATTAGTTAGCTACTTACATATATGATTTTCCTGCCAATACATCAGTGTATATTGTACTAGTCGTCTCTAGTTCTACTTGGCTAAGCTAACCACTTCGGTCAGAAGCAGATACTCCTCTAATGCCACATGTCCTGTAGGTAACACAGCTTACACCTTGGATCCAGGCCGACAGGTACATGTGTCTACACATGGGTTCAATTTACTGTTACACAACCAGGTCGCAGTGACCTGTGGATTGGCATTGTGTAAAAAAGGTGCGTTTGCAGCTATTTTAGAAATTCATATAACACAAAGACACATAAAATAGCAGTAAGATTGTATAAGGTCATACATAGTTATACAAGCCTCGAAGATATTAAATACTAACAGAGATCTGTTTGTGGAAAGAGATTACACTATTTGAAAGATGCCCAATCACAATACACAACAGATTTCAAGTTTGAAAACATGTGCCCCAATGGTTAAAAAACGACAGAGAGTATGTTGTGATGAACATCTGACATTTTGCTGGTGTTTTCATGGCTATTACAGTAACCATTGATTACATCACTTCCTGCAATCGGCATTTCAATGTGTCAAGATTTTTGTCAACACTATACATTTCTGAACCAGTCTTATTATTATAATTTGAAAACAGAGGAATTCTTTTCTGTTTTGGGGATGCAGCATAATAGGAAACAGTAATTACACTGAATAGCGATAACACTTAGGGATACTCCCAGAAAGTCTGATCAGTGATAACATGTGGGGATACCCTCGAGAAATGTTATCACTGATCCACCTTTAGTGCTCCTAGGGGTCAGGCGATGGTGTCACCATGCACAGATTCAGATTGCTTCATGGAAGTTAAAGAATCAAAACTACTTACTAGTTGTAGTAAAATATGTATATGGTTGATGACCATAAAGATTTTCCATGACACAACTTGTAACATAACGATTTCTTCCTCGGAAGCGAGGTTGTGGTCG